TCCTATTAGACATATTTCACGCAGATTTTGCCGCACCTTTGTCCTTAAGACTTATTAATAGACAATTTTCAATACACACGACAAGCATAAGAAATTACAGGATACACCTGTCGTGAACTGATAGCTAATGAGCTCTATGTCTGTCTAATTGAGAGGCTTAATTGACTGACTTGATCCATTTAATTCCTGTGTTATACATTTTCGTAGTCAACATTTTTCTTATACCTAAAGGCAGTTACGCTTTCACACAAAATTATCTATTACCGATGAATGATTCCTCCTCTAAAAAAATTTCCTGCGAGCACACATGTGGGTAGTTTTAAGGGTGAATCTAAGTGGAACTCTGTGATGAATGAAATATGTCTAAAAGGTGTTTAGAATTACCGGGTTGGAAGCACCGTCGATATATCTATAGACACTGGCGTTCATTCATGATTGTACATTTGTTTAATTACCAACAATCCTGTCGGGGAGCACAAAATGGCTGGCGCGTTGGAAAAAATTACTGAAACAGTGGCGTATCATAATGAAAATATTATTCGCGTCGGCGATGTATTTGTTTTGGAAGATTGGTTAAATCAGGCTATGTGTATATATACAGGGTGTTTCAGAACTATGGGATCAAACTTGTAGGGGTTATTCAGTGTAAAAGTAGAAAACATTTGAGTATAGGGGCCCATATCCGGAAAAGTGTCACTACGGCATTACGGCCCTAAGACGCGTTAAAATTTAGAAAGTCGATTAATTGCCTAAACAGGATTTAATGCATTTAATTTTTGCCTTTTGTACATGATATCATCACAACAATTGTTCAAAATGTCTTCCTCAAACCTGAATACACCGATTTAAACGTCGCACATGATTTCGGTGGACTTTGCTAAAAATTTGATACTCGTTTTGAATGATTTCAAATGCTGCTGTAATTCGTTAAATTAAGTCTTGCTCTGTTTCTACTGGAGTTTTGTAAACCAAAGACTACATGTCCCCACAGGAACGGTGTATTCAGGTAGGAGGAAGACATTTTGAACAATTGTTGTGTTCCTGTGGGGACATGTAAAGTCTTTGGTTTACGAAACTCCAGTAGAAACAGAGCAAGACTTAATTGGACGAATTACAGCAGCATTTGAAATCATTCAAAACGAGTATCAAATTTTTAGTCAAGTCCGCCGAAATCATGTGCGACGTGTATTCAGGTTGGAGGAAGACATTTTGAACAGTTGTTGTGATGATATCATGTACAAAAGGCAAAAATTAAATCCATTAAATCCTATTTAGACGATTCATCGTGTTTCTAAATTTTAACGCGTCTTAGGGCCGTAGTGCCTTGGTGACACTTTTCCGGATATGGGTCCCTATACTCAAATGTTTTCTACTGTTACACTGAATAACCCCTACAAGTTTGATCCCACAGTTCTGAAACACCTTTTATAAAAAGGTTCTGTTTTCAAACCAGAGACATATGAAATTCTCACAATGTATAAGAATTTCGCAGGTGAATGAAAAATTGATTTTACGATCAGGTCATAAGATGTAAAAATTCATGAAATATGTATTCGTCTCAAAAAAAAAACGTCAGCGTTATTTTTATTTTTTGATTTCCAATTGAATACCAAATACGTATTCCTTTTGGTATGATTCTGGATAGATTCACAGAATTTGGGTAGATTTTTCTACAAGAAAAATACAGTAATAAGTAGGTAGTCATAGTTTAATTTCATGTTTTATTTTGTAATTTTATAATGTATTTGCAGATCGTATTGTGCAGTGTATTTCAATTACATTACAATATAAGAATAAATAATAAAATGTCTGTGTTTCATCTGGCGGAAAATACTGGTTTGGATGCCAACCAGGACTCCTATTCTTTAAAACGAAGAGAAGAATCACTGAGTGGAAAATAGCCGTGATCCTCTTCCCTGTGCAATTATATCAAACATCTGACAGATGTTGACATTTGACAAAGAAGTTTAACCTAAACAACTACACTGTTACCCATTTTTCCCTCAAGACGCTCAAAAGGCGTTGTTAAATGTCCTTACTTTTCTCCCTCAGTGAGTTTACTTCAACTTGAAGTCCATGAATTCTCTTTATTTGGACCTTTATGACATTCTTCATTATACGAAAGTTTTTTTGCTCTTACAGGCGAGGAAAGATCACTACTGGACGTATCTCCAACATAATGGCTTTTTTTAAAAATAAAATCAAAATCGAATCTATCGGAATCGTAGTTTTTCAAAGCTGAGTCTTTTTTTCAATTGATTTTCCAATATATCAACAATTTGAAATCAAAACCTCATAGTATGTTATATCAAATTGCTTTGTTTGAAAGAGCCTATCCTAATAATAATAAAATGTAAATAATTCTATTTAAAAAATGTATGTTTGGGTTATCACATAGCATTGATTACCATATTCCACCAGAATGTAGTCACACATTACTCAGTAGACAAATATACATATTTTCCAAGTCAGTAGCATGCTGTTGGTTGCAATTTTTTTAGACACCTTGTGTAATAACTGCGCACGCACTAAGAACTCATCCTGTATATCAGGTATAAAATTACCTCCTTGGAGTTAATAGCTTATAGGTATGTAGGAAATTGAACAAAATAAGAATGACATGCTTGAAAGCTTAGCGTATTAGTAAGATGAGATTACAGTCATTGAGATATTCTTGAAAGTAGATTTTCGTAAAATACTGAACCTCGTAACTCTAGGTAGGTAAACTATGGAATGTTTCACATTCACTAATTCTTCCACCAAGGCCTAAGGCCTAAACACCCATTGGGTACCGCGGGGCTATAGGGGGATACAAGGGAAAGGGGGAACGCCACACGGACTCTGGCGAGGGAACACGTGTGCATGCGACATGCACACATTCTGGCTCCACCTATGAGATCCGCCGGGTGGTACCTCCACGTTCGACAGTCAGAGACCGTCTACCACCTAGGGACAATCACAACATCCATAGCCAAGAGAAAAATTTCTCCTGGGACGAGACTCGAACCCGCACAGCGCGCGGCCACTGATCAGGAGACCGAAGAGTCTACTACTGCGGCCACCGCTGCTGCCTAATATTATTGTAATATTACCTGGCGCTTTTTGTGAGTTCAGAGGTAGAATGAACAGGAACTGGAACAGCATTACATCGCAGATGTCTAACTACATCAGTGTTTTAAGCGACGATGGACATGAACTTTTGATATTATTAATTGAAATGTCAGTGTCTCTCTATGAAAAAATTGTAATTTGATTTTTGTTGTCAAAATATAATAAAAAAAACTGAAATGAACTTTTTTTAGACAAATCAGATTTGTTTCAGATATTTACTTGCTCATTAAACTCATTTTTGAAGTTCGACTTGAGCTTGAGGAAAATATGATTTTTAGTGTTTATTAACAAGAGGAGAAAAGTGTTAAAGTGAAGATCTCTGATATATCCAATATAGAAAGTATCGATTTAATTTTCGACATTTCTGCGTTCCAATTTCAGAGCCCAATAGCGCTGATTTAATGTGCCAACGCCCTCCTACATTATTAAAAAAACAAAAAGGACGCTAGACCTCATCGAACAAGAAAATCACCGTTTCTGAAGGGTCGGAGCCTTAACGGTTATCAAACAAAAGAGTTGTCTGTACGTCTGAGAGGAAAAAGAAAGATCTTCTGCTCTTGTTATCCTCTCGCGATTTTCATTATAGCCAGAAACTAATTAAAAGTTTGAACCGGCAGGAATCTTTTCATCAACTGACTTGTCGACAATTGATCACTTTTATTTCAGTCAAATTTATCGGCAGACTCTGAAATACTTTATCAGCGTTTTCATGGTTTCTTGTTATATAGGGGTTGAACAGTTACACAGACGAAAAAGCCGGAAGCTACATAGTGAAAAAATCATAAAGGTTATCTTATCTTGGTTATTTTTTGACATTTTAGACCATTACTCGTCGCTAGCTTGGCTCAAAAATTATTATTTGTATTATATTATAGCTAGTAAACTTCCTCAGCATTCATTTTAGCAATACTAATTTTTAAGGTTTCTCATTTCTCTCAAAATATAATTGAAAAATGGCGTCGAGTAGATTGACTCTATACTTCCTACGCCTTCATTGGAGAAGGGATTAGTCAAGTCGTTTCAAAAGGCGGAACCCAATCGTGACTAGGTAGGTTCACTCAGATACAATGAATCTTCGACCTCTACATATCAAATTATATAAACATACTTCTGTTTCTTTGACAGATGTAGTCAAAACATGTGTGACTCTTTATGTCTAAGAGGTGCGTAATATTACCGGGATCGGCAGCTTCTTAATTATAGAAGGTATTTCACTGACACCGAATATGCAACAATGTACAACCATTTACCGGATACAGCTTCAATCGTACAATTTCCATTCCCTCCAAATAATGTCTGAAAATGTCAGTGGGTGTCTGTCAATCTACTTGACGAAATATTCAGAGAACCATCATGGAGCAACATAAATGTTAGGCGAAATCAGTGGGTACATTTAAGGATCATAAAATTCAGAAAAATATATGTATGAATATAAAAACAGTTGTCATCATTCACAAAAGCATCGCGGAACGCTAAAATGGTACATACTGCGACAAAATTTAAATGTTGCTAGAATATATAAATATTTCTCCTGTAGCGGTGTGTCAGTAACGACACCACCGCAAACCAGTTGAAGTTTTTTACCCCCAAACCTCCAAATTTCAACTCCCGCCTAAATTTTCCGCTAATGATCAGGAGCCTCCAACTAAAACGTCTAAAAACGAGGTTTAAGCGATTTCTATTTTTTCGTCTTTTTGTCCCTAGGTTCACCACCACAAGGCTGATTTTCAAAACCAGACAGACAGACCGACGGAAATGAGTGACATTATTCGACACCCAAGCGCAAATAGCGTCAAGTAGAATGACCTTGCTATCCCTGTAATCAGCTTAAAGACAAAGCGACTCAACAACCCGTTAGCATTTTTTATTCGTTCATTGTTTGATTTCAGCTTGCCGATACGACAAAGGCACATGGAGCGAGTGCAACGCGCAGAGCCAGATGACGAGAAACGATAAATTAAAAGCGAACAGCGACTCAAACTGCGAACAGACAAGGCAGATGACCAAAAAGTGCAAACCTAAAGGCACCAAGCCCACGAAAGGTAAGAAAGGTAAACGTATCACACATCATTTCATTCATTTGACTAACAATTGAGTGTGACTTGGCTAATCTTGTAAGGGAAGCAGACTAACCAACTAATTCCTAGATATATACTAGCTTGATTTTATTTTTTGTGTCATTGTTAATGAGACGATCAAATTAATTTCATTAATTAATACCCATGGAAACTTAAAAAAAAATTAAGTTTTGATAGTTGAAATTTATGGAAGCTTTCCTCTTCAATGATCTTTACTGCCAATACCAATGAGCCACGTAAGGGTTATAATCGTAAAACATTTTTAAATCGAGATATTTTTTGGATATACCTACATCGCTCATTTTCATCGGCCTGTCTATCGTCTGTTCAACAATCTTTTTCTCCTCTCGGATAGTCAACCATGTATTGTATGGGGTCATCTATGAAAGCTTGTCACAGCTATGTTTCTCGTCTCCGCACACTTAGAAATATATTTGTATGATCATATAGGGTGAATGTGTCAGTAACCCGGACACTACCAGTAGTCGGACAAATCTTATACCTATTATTGGATAAATATTTGAAATCCTATACTTGCTGGTAAAATTGGTTGATAACTTTAAAAAATTTCACATCCACAGTTGACAACAGTGTTAGCGCGTTAAGAACAGCACGCATTCGATCCCTCAATTTTTGTCAGTTGTGAGTGACATAAACTTTAAAGGGAAGTGGAATCATCAGCTGACAATAAATATGGTGTCCCAGAAATAAAACGCCAGAGTGACACGGGAGGTACATAGATTGGCTTCAGGTCAATTAGACAAAATCAACATGACCTTAGTAAAATTTTTCTAGTTTTCCATATATTGCCACTTTCAAAAAATCACTACTTTTTGCTCCTTTTTGCCTCTTATCGATATAAAGAACTTCTAACTTATGATTTTTTTCCTGGACTATCACTGACAGTTGGTTGAGATAACCGAGTATTTATTTCGTTGAAAACTAGCACGGTATGCTCAAAAAACAAATTATTACATTTGGTTTCAATGCGAAAACCTTTACTAAAGGCTTAGAAATTACTGTGAAAAAATGTACCAAACCGAATCACTAAATAACCTAAAAATTAGCTACTGAATGCTCTTTCCAAAATAGTATAACATTTGTAGGTTCTTTTTACTAAAAACTGAATAATTCCATTGTCATTGAAGTCGTATGCGTAATACTTACGAAATAGTACAAATAAAAAACAATAACTGCCGCCTTTTGTATCCAAATTACAACTTTGTAGTTGCTGTAATCGCGTTGCGAAGGTACCACCTGCATGTTGGAAAAATCAATGGAAATAAAAAAATACAACCTAATATTCTGTTCATTATTTTGATGCCTGCATACAACAATGAATAAAAAGTATAATGGATAGATGTTTTAGACATTTGTAAACATAACAATCGATTACAGCAAGTACAAAGTTGTAATTTGGACACAAAACGAATTACAATACAATTAATGTTATAGTATTTTTGAAAGAGCATTGAATGGCTAATTTTTAAGTTCGTACATTTTTTTCACGGTAATTAGTAAGACTTTAGTAAAGGTTTTGATTTTATCTGATTGATCTGACGCCAATCTACCTGTGTCACTCTGGCGTGTTATTTCTAGGACACCCTGTATAAATGTTGTTCTTGTTACATATGTAGAAGACATTCAAAATTTACGAAAAAAATAAATTTAATATGTTGTTTCAATATTTTGAGGTCAAATTGGAGTGGCACCATATACTAGTCAATATCCAATAGTCGGCCAAGTGCCCGATTACTGTAATCACGTGGTTGTTATCACTATATCTTTTTCTATCTAACCATACATACTATTAAACTTTCTCTTGGAAATAAACCAAAATATGACTACAGCCGCAGCCAGTGGACTAACAGCAAAAGATAACAAATGATGTAGATATTGTGTCCGCCTACTGGAACGAACGAAATTTCATAGCATCCAAATAACCGGCTACTTCCATTTTCCCGCCATTTCTTCAGACTATGGAATAATACTTCACATTTTCACTTCATTCGGGAATGGATACCAAAGAGAAAATAAATTCCCTATATATAGCGAAGACTGGTTAAAGGAGACAGTCGAAGCTGTGAGAAATGTTGAAAAATTGCTTGAAAGATGTAAACGGTATGGTAGTTCAAAGTCGACAGTGCAGGACAGGATTAAAGAAAAAAATTAGTTTCTTGTTCATTATCGTGTAGTTCGTATTTATTTTTGATAAAAATGTGTATATTAAAAGGATTCAGTATGAGTGTGCCTGATGTATTTTCCTTAAAGTCTTAATGACATAACTGATTTGAATTGTCTATCCTATAACAAATCTGTAAATAGTGCTCTGTTTAAAACTAGTCAATCAAATGCTGTCCGACAATTGGCGACTAGCCGGCCGACTAGTAGCACGTTCTTTCCGAGTACTAGCAAAATAGCGCATTTTTTATTGATATTTTTTATAAAATTGCACATAAACCGAAAATTCGTAATTGCAATTTGTATTACATTTTTGTCTAATCTTTTTAGCCACCTGTACATTCACCCTAGTTGGCTACAGCGCCATTTATGGACACTAATCTTTTCAAAGTAGATTTCCTATTGCGAAGAGGAGAAACATAGCTGTGACAAATTCTCATAGCAAGGATATCTCATTTCATCCCATAACATCTGAAACCAATCCTGTGGCTGACTATCTGTATACGTTAATCAATGCTACTATTAAAAAATTGCTTCAGGAGCGTCGGATTCATGACCAAAAGAAATGACTTAAATTAGGTTGACTGCACTTCCCACGAAACGCGCTTATCAGTGCATAAATAAATATGTTCAGCATAAACTAAACCCTCTGAGAAAAAAGCGAGTCAAAAAGGTCAATATAATTAGCCCATATCCCCGATCCCTAGCTCGAGCAGACGTGGCAACATGGTGGCTTGATCAGAGCATAGAAAACACTATGCTATTGCGTGTGACTCCATGCCAGAAAGAAGTTTTCAGGGCTAATGTACAGAGAAATCTGTGATATGTGAAATAGGTCTAATATGTGCGTAGCATTACCAATGTTGGGAGCTTATAAATGTACCAGCATCAAAAAATTGAGACAAACCTTTTCCCACCTCCTTAAAACGTTAAAAATGGAGTTTGAGCAATATTTACTTTTTTCGTTTTAGACCCTTTTCTCTGCCGTCACTGGACCGATTTTCAAAAACTACAAAGCTTTTTGAGTCCTTGGCGTAGTCTTAACATTGAGCAAAGATTTTATCGAAATCCGGGTGGTACTTCTCATATTGTAGGCGGTTATAATATTAGCGGACAGACCGAGAGACAGACAGATCGTCGGAAATGAGTGACATGCTTTTTCGTAATATACATGTTATATAATATCCAAAAAACATAATATTTCATTTTGGAAAATTTTCGCCACTAGTCTTGGGAAGTAAACACATTTTCCGATGTTTTTGTTAATTTTCGGACGTAGTGGAAAATTCTCTGGAAGGATGAGAAATTTCATTGAATGAAATCACTAATCTGTATTTTAAACTTTTTGGTTACTTCAGAGCGTAGTCAAAACAAAGTATAAAGGTTACAAAAATGAAATCGTCGACACGATTCTGAGTTTTAGAATTTTAGCACCAAACATTTTCTGTGGATGCAGGCTAGGGCTCAAATTCAAATTTGTTAAGTTGCATACATGCCTTTTGGTATGAGTTGTTTTATTTCATTGCAGTACCGCATGTCCTTATTTTATAACCCTTCTTATTAACAAGGTTATTAAGGAAAATTTTTCAATGTTGAAAAATCCACATGTGAATATGCTCGGTGATAAAGAGAATAGAACACCCAGTAAATATGGTTTTATCTTAATGCACTTTTATATACAATTGGACATAGGTAAGGTGAAGTAGTAATTAAGTTTTGAAGTGAAAACATTTGGTGTATCACTGAATCTCCCTAATATTGTGTGGAGGTGATTTATGTCTTCTTGAAACTAGTTGCACTGGGTTCCGCAGAGCTGCTAGTATTAATGTAGGATATCCCACATTTATGTTCAATGGGCTATAAATCTGTAGATCTCAGAGACCAGAGCACCAGAGACCAAGGAAGGAGGATGATTTGATCATTACTGTGGCCTTTCAATCTCAGTTGAAAAAGACGTAATGTAAGTTTTCAGTTGAACGTCACGCGCACCATACTGCAGGAATTATGATTTAGGACCCCACTACATGTGGTGCTAAATCACCTCTAGTTTCCATCAGGGGCATAACGTTCTCTAGGGAATACTGATACCTCATCTCTTTTCATTTCACCAAACGCTTAAGAACCTTATTTTCCACTAGTATGATGACCGTCCCCATATTGGCTTCAACCGCCGCCATAATGCTCAAGTCAGCCGCCTTCCTTGGCCTTCTGGATTTAGAGACCTTTCGCCCATTAAAGATGTGTGGAATATGACAAATCCTAGCAGTGCTTCGGAACCAAGTGCAGCTAGCTTGTGATACTTCAAGAAGACATAAATCACCTAAAAATCACATAAAGCATGCCTTGTCGTCTAGATGAATGTATGCAGTAACATGGTGCCCCAACACATCCATCGACATAGCAAAGTATAACTCTTTTTCTTAACTTCTTCTGTGTCCAACAGTATCTAAAATTCCATTCAAATTTCAAATTAAACCATTTTTACTAGGTGTTCTATTTTTTCTTTGATGTATTTCCTTAAATGCAATGGTTTCACCTTCTACATCGAAATGCGTATGTACGTCGCATGTGAAAAATCTATATGTATAAAAAAAGTTGGGATGAAATCAGTTTGTTTTTATCTGCTTTGCATGTAAATATGTTAAATAAACAAACGCCAAAAGTGAAACACGGCTAAATTCGTTTGTTTACTCTTGTTAAAAATTGGGAGGGATTTCATCGACATTGTATTATTTATACCGGCCGTGATTGAGGCAATTACGTTTGAATTTTACAGAAACATAGATCGTTTGAATTCGTTTCGAGGCATAGTAGTAACCTTATGTAAAAATTTCATAAATATCTATTTTTATAAAATTAGCGGACAGATCGACAGACAGACAGACCGACGGAAATGAGTGACATAGTTTTTCGTGATTACAGTCATATAGCAACCAAAAAAACATATGACAGTTTCGATTACAATACCTCCTCGCCTGTTTTGGCATAGGAATTGCAACTGAGGTTTCTAAAATTTTCACTCTTCCCGAAAATGTCTTTGTCTACGCCCGAAAATCGTTCTGGGTGAAATCCATCTTTACCAATTACATTTGAATGTCATTGTATCTTTTTAACTCGTTTAAATGGAAGTCGGTTGAGAAAATCATCGGTTTCATAGCTATTACAACTAAATTTGATTCTTGTGTGTGTGTGTTGTCCATCTTTTCTCCAAAGTTATTTATTGATGACTACAGACTTAGATTTAGTCTTTCCGACGCAGTATTATAAATACATCCGGTCCATTTTTTCACTAGCTGACGCATAGATCTGTTTGAATTTGAGTAATAACCTGAGTTATTGAAACTGAATAATCTGACATCTACATACATGTACTTTAAGTACAGGATCCGTCAGAAAGAAAGAACGCATGTTTTTCGAATGGGTACTACATCGAGTGGGCTGGTCCCGTGTCGGTTGGGAAGGGCATGTTGGATAATGGGAGAAGTGCCGTTTTAGTTGACGAAATGGTTTGGAACGTTGAGCATCGTGTGTTCACTGTACGTCGGTACTTTCAAAATGGTGAGTCTTTCGTTCGTCGTGGGACAGTTCCAGACCGTAACACCATTTTGAGATGGGTGGAAGCATTCAACACAACAGGTAATGTGATGAAAAAAAAACTGCCAGAGCGAAACCGAACTGTTAGAGCCCCCGAAAACGTAGACAGAGTGAGAGATGACACGCTGCAAAGCCCGAATCGTTCCGTCCGTTTGCGTGCCAGTTCCCTAGCGATCCACGCGTCCTCTGTACGTCGCATCTTGAGGAAGGATTCAGTGTTCCATACTTACAAAATCCAAGTTTGTCAACAACTGTTGCCAGGGGATTATGCACAACGTGTTAATTTTGCAGCTCATGATTGAACAGTTGGATAACAATGACATGACGTGGTTTATGAGTGATGAAGCACATTTTCATTTACATGGATACGTCAATAAACAAAATTGTCGACATTGGTCTCCAGTGAACCGCCAACAGTTGCATGAGCACCCCCTGTATACCCCGAAAGTTACAGTTTGGCGTGCAGTAGGCCCAACGATGATTATTGGCCCTTATTTTTTTGAGGATGATGGAGTAACAACTACTGTGAATTCAGGGCGTTACATCCACATGCTGAACAATTTTTTTTCCGGAACTTCGACGTTGTCGTGTCCGTCCCAAAACAGCGTGGTTCGAACAAGACGGGGCAACATCTCACACTTCGATGGAACTTCTTCGGCAAAAATTCCCATTTCACGTAATGGCGATATTCCACGGCCCCCTCGCTCCCCGGACATGACAACGTGAGATTTTTTTGTATGGGGCTACCTGAAATCAAAAGTTTACCAAAGCAAGCCTCGACACAATGGGTTCATTTCGGGAGAGGCTTGATTCCTGCATTTTGGCTCAGCGGCAGCATATGGCGACATAGTTTTTAGAACGTAAATTTTGTTTTACTCAAAAAAATGGCATGTATTTCTGAGTATTTTGGTATAATAAAGTAATTTTTCCCATATTTATCTTGAATGTTCTACTCATTTAAAAAACATGCTTTCTTTCTGACGGACCCTGTATATGTTTATGATATTTTAGTTAATTTCGTGGAATCAGGAATATTTAAATACATTTTTGTGTTTAATCGTAAAGTATCTTTTATGTGTTTGTAGTAATGTGTTGTTGAAATTGTTTTCAAGGCAGTGAAAAGTTTATAGTTCGGCCAGTACAGCTATTCCCAGATGTTGTCAGGAAAATTAAAAGGCAGATTCAGCACGTCTAAATATTAAAAAAGTTTATATAAAACGCGCCATAACACCCGAAATATCAAATCCGTGGAATGGTTCCAATGAAAAGATATTCGTGAAACCTTTTGGATTGCAATGATAAAAGCTTATCCATCAAAATTTGATGATCTCCATCATAACAATTTATACCAACAGTTAATTGAAAAATAGAGAGAAAACATGAAGAATATGGAGAAAAACAATTTTATAGAATAGGGTGATTAAAAAAAAACAGTGTCAATATTTCCAGTACATAAAATAGATACAAAAATAAAACGAAAAAAGCATGGGTCTCAAAATACCCCATTACCAGTCAAGATACCATTTCGAAATCGAAAAAATATGCCTTCGGGTTGTTGTGCTGAGGTAAGCGAAAAATCTGCTAATCTTCACCTACCAATGGTTTGCCAAGTTGATATTCATCCTCATCCCATACGATGAAAACTGACGGAAGACCCCTATACGCTACCGGCTCATGACTGCTCGACGATCTGCGCAATGTACAGATACTATAGAAAAAGTCGACCTATCTAGCTGTCGTAAGACCAAGTATTCACAGAGCAGAACAACAAATGCTTTCTATGCAGTAACCGTCAAGCAAACATGTCCATTTCAACCTTCGGGTTGTATTCAAATATTGAATTAAATTTTTCTACATGGAGTAGCTTTTCGGTACTACACCAGTGGCATAGACATTGAGCGATTTTTATAATTACAGAAGCAAATAAATGTTTTTTGTATGCCACTGACTTTTTTTAATCGTCTATTGCATTTTTGAATAAGGTATTCATTTTTACACGAGTTTACACTCTTGGAAAGCTTTCGATATACTCCTTTTGGAGGAAAATCGGTTTTAATATTCTAGGCTGATATTTATAACTCTAAAATTGCTTATCAACAGGCAAGCAGATTTTTTTTCGTCTTATAGCCCTTGATTATACTCACAAAGAAATCAGTGGCGTGCTTAGTTAAGATTCGAAATACCAGGTCCCTGGGGCGATTCAGTTCAGATACAACCAGCGCAAACTAACTTCCTTAATGTCTATCGTCCATTCACAAAGCCTCATCTAAACCACTTAAGTAATTTAAGATAAACTGAAAATATCAATAATGGAAAGAATTAAATAGAACACCCTGTATCTCAGTCAGGAAGCCGTAAAATACACAAGTTGCCAGGAACTTTTTGTTCAGTTTAATGAGGTCCATCAGATGGTATATTATAATCGTGAAAAACCGTATATTTATTTAAATACAAATTTAAACAAATTAAAAATTAAAATCCAAAGCGCACAGAATTATGGCGTAAACGTTTTAATATATAGTTATTTTAAACACTATCCACTATGCTTCTCAAAAATCAATTCGGTGGCACCGGGTTCGGAGGTTTAATTTGTAAAAGTTATTTCATTAGGCTGTTACATCAGTAGTATTTATGCCAATAGACCTCTATGTTTAGCGAAATAAACAATACGACACTGGTCTTTGCACAGAATTGGTACCTGTGTCTTCAAGCCAGATACTACCTCATAGCCTTCGACATCAACATTATTTTATTAACCATCAATTAAGATAAACGAGAAACTCTGAGAAACACCTTTCAAGCACAATTCAATATGAGTTTGAAAAAAAACAGTTTTGCTAAAAACAGTGACCTACAATTTCTTGCTAAACATAAAGTTCCAACAACCGGCATCATGCAAACTGGAAATTTTCGGACCCATGGATATATGAACGTTTTTCATATTTTTACATGCTGAATCTAGCTTTAAATTTTCCTGACAACTTTCTGTAACACCCTGACATCTACATCGTATCTAATACTTTTTTTATTTACAGGCCCCCGTCGCAACAGACAGTAGAAAGGCACGAATAGGAGCTTAGGTTAAAAATAAGGTTTTGATTATTCCATCTTATAATAGTAAAACATCTATTGTATAACTCACGAAATCGTTCATAAACGCCATTTATTGTATCCACACATTCACTCCATTCAAGGTTCTTAGTTACAAAATAATAGCGTATGTGCCATATATGCCATTAGTTGATAATATAAATTTTATTTTGCATGCTAAAAACTCGAAAATAGTAGCAAATGTAAAAAATTATGTCGCCTAAAAGGTGGACTTGAAAAGACCAAAATAACTTGATTGACTTGAACGCTGATAGTAATAACAGTCTCTAATAAATGTTGTCAATTTTTCGTGGAAGGGAAGGTTAATCAATTGTCAATTATTTAAATGGTTGTGTTCATCCTCTACAACTAATTTCCATATATTTTGTAGGAAAATTATTATACTGCCCTTACAGTCTATCTAATCTCTAATCAAGGAAAGAAGAAAATACACTTTTGTATTTATCGCAATGAAATATTTAATTGATTTAACAGAAAAATAGTTTTTTTGTGAAAAGGAGCACTAAATGCAGAGAGGCAGTTGAAAGTGTTACTGATTTTCTACAAAATGTCCTTCAACACAAACTTAATCACGTCAATTGATTTAAACGTGAATATAAACAATCTATTTTGTAACTAAGGAAGTGAAATGGTCCGTGGCCTACTGCCAAATATGCATCTGTAGTACCCTCCCCCTTCATTTAAATTGTCCCATCTTCCGCTCACCCATTACTCTAGCAATGTCACCATTAATATGGAATTTCACCGTGCAAAATATCAATGTGTAGAGGTGGAGAATTCCTCGATTTTTGTAATCCAGTCGAATGCGTAAATCAAAATTACTTACTATGGAAAAATTTGACAGCATCTCGGTAACGTTCTAAAAATATATCTTGAAACTTACAGAAAAATACATGTAACGTTATGGATGGAAACTAAAGTTTAACTGAATTTCGCTAACAATAATTTTCTGGACAAGTATGCAAAACGTTATATTTTATTCTTAGGAAGCTCTTCCTGACACTGGTGCATAACTCAAATTTTTCCAAACATTGAGCATGGGCGCCCGCAGGAATTTTTATCATCCGATCATCGGCAATAGATAACTTTTTACGAGTATACCTGACCCTAGATTTTTTCAAGTGCGGGTGTTTCAAATTTTTCTGAAGAGTCAAATCCTAGAAATCCTCAAAAAATGTACACAAAAGTTGCTAAATATGCAAATGTTAAGGTCCAACTAGATTTCCAGGGGGCATAGACGCCACCCCCCCCCCCCTGCGAGCGTTTATGATATTAAGCCAAATTCGATTGGAAAATTGCAAAAATATGTATAGATGTTTGTTGTAGACTGTATAATAGCGAAACAAGATTTAACATTATGTGTGTATCATCTTGAACGGTATGTCATGTTAGTCTTAATTGTTTAAGTTCTATTCATCCTCGACCATTCTGTATGTATTTAATAAAAACGAGTCTACATAGTCACAAAAATTATCAGATACTAATGAATTTTTCACTTTTATACAAGATTTTCAAATGATCTCGACATATTTCATGCCAAGAGCCGGAAAAGCACGTTATAATGATCTGCATTCAAAAAATCACATTCCTCCCTTTAAGGGCTGCAAACAACCGATTTTTTGTAACTTTGTCGACTCTCAATGGGCAGTTCTAAATGTATATGCCGTACATATTTCTGTGTTAAAGACCGTATGATGTATACGTTTTGAAATGTCCCACAATTTTGTTGTAAAACTGTCATATTTTTTACTTAAGTACTATATTTAAATGTGAACGTGGAATATTCATATAATATCACTGTATTTGACATATTCGATTAAAATAAACTTTAAAAATGTTTCACAGGCATTCGTTTTATTTCACCTCCCCTCCTGTCAATATCGACAATCCAAAGAACTAATTTCAAAATAAGGTAGGTGTATGGGGTAACCATTCGCTGTCGGGTATTAAAGGTGGATGCACATTTTTGGGATCTCAAAAAATTCTTTTCCACAGTGTTAAGATTTTATGAGAAAAATTCAATCTGATACTCACGGTTTTCATCCGAATAAAATTCTCTACTAGTAAACAGAAGCTTCAAGAGGTGCAGTTCACTTGCCCGCCAATCAGGATCAACATCCTTTTTCATATCTCCTCGCACTTCTGCGATCCTGATAACAAATTTCACAATTTTCCAAGCGAAATTTGGACAGAAGTTTTCTACCACTACAAACCGTGCGAACTTCCCGCCAATTTTATATGAGGAGATAAACGCCTTTTTGTGGTGCTAGTAGCATTTTTTCCCTAGATGCGGCGAGAGTTAATTGTGTGAGAAATTCAAATTTGCTGCCCTTTACATATCAGGACAACGCGCTTTTTCTATACCTTTTCGCGTTTCTGCGATCATAGCAAATATTCGAATTTCTCGATTGCATGGGAAGTCTTGTCTATTACTGCACTGTAAAATTGTATAAAGATTAAAGAAGCTGCAGAGATAGAAGCTCCGCGCGTCAAATTCATATCAAGAGCAAAACGACTTTTACATACCGTTTCGTGTTTCTGCAATCATAGGAGCAAATTTTAATGAATCGAATTTCACATGTGGTGTCTAGTCGGAAGTGCTGTTCTCTACAGCTATAATAAAACCTCGGTGTCAGGATCGCAGAAGTAACAAGAGGTAAAATTCAAACTCTCCGTCAGTTTAATATCAGGAACAAAGCGCGTTTTCCATACCTCCTCGCGTCTCTGCGATCTTGGTAACAAATGTTGACAAATGGAGTTTTACGAGTTTTGAAAAAATTTCTGGTCACAAGTGATCTTTTCTACCACGAAGATCTGTATCAGGATCACAAAAGCGGCGAGACGTGGTCATGTTGGAATTTTAAATTTGCGGTCCTTTACATATCATGAGCTCGCATTTATAGTATCCTGGTAATAAGTTTTGTCTATCGCCTATCATGAATGCGCAAGCGAAGTCTGGTCATAAATGTTGAGTTCTACCACAAACAATCTTTATCAGGATCACAGAAGTGACAAGAGGCAACTGTAAAGGAAATTTTCCGCCAGTTCCATATCAGGGGCAACGTGCACTTCCATACCTCCTTGCGTTTCTGTTCTTCTGGTAACAAATGATCAACCGGATTTCGCGTTATTGCATGCAGTGAGCCACTAAAAAATCTGTGTGGGGATTAAAAAAATTCATATCAGGTGAAACGAATTTCTCAGGATAACAATAATCCTCTACCCACAAATTTAAGGAGATATTTGAAGTAAAACTCATATCGTTATTATCATTCGTTTATTATCATTTGGTGAAAACGTTAGAAAGAACATACACGTAGTGATTCTAAAACATCAAAAGGCATAAAATTGTATATATAAAACCCGATAGTTCAAAAGGCCTTGCAAACTACAACTAGAGAAGACACATTGCTTGTAGGCAGGTATACAAAGCAATCAAGAAAAAAATTACAAATGCTGTTTGTTTTGTAGCATTTCAGCCTCTCGTCAGTAGTTGGGGTGTTAATGTGTTAATAACACGTGTTTGAGTCTGATTGTCAAGGTACAGGGTGTCAAAGTTTCGTAAAATTTTGGTTTTTTATCAACATCTTATAGATCTTTGTGCCGATTTTGTTAAATTTTGGCACTGTTGTTCATTGCAATATGACGCTAAATTAGCTCTAACTAGAAGGTAATTGTGAATTCTCATGGCGTCTAGAGAGGTAGTCTCACGAATAATTATTTAAAAATCAATTTCACCACTTTAAAAAATATTTTTTTTTCAGATTGAATAGATAATCATACATACAACTTGTTTGCTTTGGCATCCCTTCGAATCTTACTTCGTTTTCGAGGACAAAGTAAAAATAAATTCATTGCATGTAGAAAAATTGTTGAAATACGAAAACATAAATCTTTGTCATCTTATTATCAATTTTAAAAAAAGACTTATTATTTACTATTCTAAATTGCTCAAATTGAATTGATTTCAACATTGTTTTTCATATGGTAAGAACTTGTTTTTATTTTTAAACTGAAAAAAGCATATTTTCTAAGACGACACCAGCGTACTTTTTTTCAATATTATTCGCGAGACTGCCCCCAGAGAGCCACTGGAATTCATAATTACCTTTTAGTTAGTACTAACTTAGCGTCTTATTGCGCTGAACAACCCTGCAAAAATTCAGCACATGGATATTTAATATGTTAATACAAAACCAAAATTTTCATAAAACTTTGAAGCTTGGTACCCTGGAAACCAACTTTTTAGGACACATATTTATATGAACTTTCCTTCTTGAATTTGTTACATGAATGCGCCCTTGTAACTACGGCCTATCATCAAGTAACACCCTATATATAGTAACAAAATTTAAGAGATTTAGAAACGCATTCAACATCCTTTAAAAATATCATCACACAAACATCAAATGCCGTTTTACCACAGAGGCTTGCACTATTTCTAAATTGTAAGATTCACAAAGCATTTCTAAGTTAAGCTTGTAATACATTATTATTGCAGGTACTTAGGTACTTCATTTCACATGTTGCCTCTGAAAATACATACTAAGAAATAACAACATGATGAAACACGTGCATAAACAAAACATAAAAATAGATGACACAGAGCCGGAGTATATGGTTATTTTTCCCTGGGCTAAAAAAGGCTAGTCTTCTTCAAGCTCCATGCAGTGCAAAATTAAATTAGAAAAAGAATGTTCACAAAATCTATCAAAATGGGCACCTTTTTTTATCTGTTCATGGTATTTTCGCCTTATTTCAGTATTTCAATGGCAAAAAACAAAAACTAAATCAACATGTGCTGAAAATATTGGTAGAATGATCAAAAAGTAAAAACTGGAACAAAATAAAACATGCATAAGTGTTCTTAGAAACAATAATACATTAAAAAATAAAACCAATCTGTAAAAACTAAAATAAAAATTCGACAACAACATAAACCATAAAACATTAATAACTCTCCATATTATAAAAGGTACAAATAAAATAAAACTTAAAGTGAGTTGGTTTTACATAGAATGAATCTATGTACTGTTTTTTCTTAAATGTCTAATAAAATCTGTAATGTAACACTCCACAGGAGCCCACTCATCCATTGTATTAGATACTTCAATTGATCGTGGTTTTCCATCTTGAGGTAGGATACCTAATAAAAAATATTTCAATGAAATATGATCCTGAATTCACCATATATACTGTAGATTAGACAAGTTAAAAATTGATCTTAATGATATTCTAACTTAATCTAAATCTCCAAATGTTTCCATAAAAAGTTGAATCATTAGAATGCCATAAATATAACATGACTGTTTCATACCATTTTTCAAACTTTCCATATATCTACTAAATATGGTGTATGGATGTCATACTTACTTATCGACTTAAGTCTGTGATATTGAGCAATGCCATGTAACAACAGCCTGTCAAAACTTGTTGGTGGATGTTTAACATAAACATCCTTAGGTGTTGTCTTGAAAAACATAATCAAATCTTCCTCACACATTTTCACTTCCTCCAGTGAAAGGTTTCGCCTTATTTTGATGGTGCGCCTGATTCGCGATGAAATTCGTCCTAGAGACAAAATTCTTTTTACAGGACACGTTAAATTAAACAGGGTGTTAATTGAGTAGGTCCCATAAATTTAACAGACGATTCTTTGAGTAATTTTAACAAAAAGTTCAGATAAACATAGGTTCGCAAATTATTCGTTCTCAAAATACAGGGTGCTATAATTTAAAAAAAAAATGTGTTTTCGTAAATATCCTGAATACCCTTTATACCTAATTTTGTTGTAATTTGGCGGTGGTATTTATAACATTATGGAGCTAATTTAACCATAAGTTGATTAAATTTATCAAGTCCAGTGACGTCTCGAGCGGGATCTGAACGAATATTTGTGACAAAAAATGTAAGCTACTGACTTTTCTGCAATTTTTATTTATTCTTTGGAATAAGCAAACAGAAATAAAACGCTTTTGTCCGTTGAATTTTTTTCAAATCATGCTTAGTTTTCAAGAAAAAACGTCTACTTAATTGCATATTATTTTAGATGTTAATGTAATCAGTATAATCTAATTTAGTGTTTATTTGTTGTTGTTACATAAATAGTAATAAAACATTATCAAAAATAATTTCCAAACACGACTTTTTCCCATATTCCTTGTCCTTGTGTAGTCCAATTAAATGAAGTTTTTTACTTGAAAACTAAGCTAGATAAAAAAAATTCAAGAGACAAAAAAGTTATCTTTCTATTTGCTTAATCCAAAGCACAAAAATTGCACGAAAGTCAATGGCATATATTTTTTACGCCACTGAACTTTAATCAAGTTAGGGCTAAGTTAGCTCCTTAATGTTATAAATACCATCGGCAAAATATAACAAAATTAGGTAAAGGATATACAAACCATTTTGTTTTTAAATTTTAACACCATGTATCTTGAGAAAGAAGAACTTGCGGACCTATGTTTATATGAACTTTTTGCCTCGAAATTACTTAAAGAATCGTCTGTTAAGACGACATGCTTAATTAACATATAGGACTTTGTACCACAGAATTTCAATTTTTGTCTCTGGTTGTTACAAGCAAATAAAACTTGGTACAGTTAATTTGATGGGCTGAATTATATGAACATACAAAAAACAGAAAACACATGAAGCTAGATTTAATGCAAAAAAGATCCACTTGGATCTCAGTGTCAAACTGACATCACTTTCTGCTATAATCGTTGTCACCTTTCTTGCCATAATAAGACTACCAGTATCCCTTATATATCTCCATCTCCCTCATACATACACATGCAACCTACCCTGTGTGTATGTTTATTCAGTAAGCTCAAATACATATGTTATTTAGATGTGTCTCCATTTCGAAAACTTTGTCATTACGTATGAGTGCCCTTCAATCATATTAGTCAGAGTGACAACTTACTTGACAACGGCCTGTTATCAATCTTCAATATAAAATTGAACAATGCCTGGAAATACGATCAAGGGAGAAGGCCGAAAGCTTGAGCTAAATTCTTTAGAGTATCTCCAGGAAGGGAATGAAAACAGCAGTCCCCTGTTACCTACTTAATGCGTACTGGAGAAAGTAGCAGATGTGCTGAAAATTACTCTGCGCAGAGACTCGATCTGTTTACTTATTTCATATGGCGTTAATGACGTAACTGCCAAGAAGCTGTGACAACTAAATGGATCCTATTAAATCAGTATACAAGTTTATGTTCAGAACACAGTGTTTTTAAAAAATGTTTATTACTAACCAGGCTTGTCATTTTTTTCCTTTAGTTTCTCATTTTCACAATAATGTTCACTGAATTTTTGAATTATCCTACATTGCTCCTCCTCAGATTTATCTATGAAATCATTCCAATATTCTAAAGCCTGCTTATCTTCCAGAAGACGAGAAAATGGACTTTTATAGGACTCCATTATTACAATGTAGCCATCATTTTCATCCTCTTCATTCAATGTTTGCAAAGTGCATCCTACAAAGTAGATAAGAAATATTCTTAGAATACTTTAAATGTGACATCAGACACACTACAGACCAATAAGGATTTTAATTCACTGACTCACCAAAAACTTAAATGCCTGCCTTGGCCAGGTCAAGGAATCAGGGATCTCTGGGGCCCCCAAATTAGAATTCCCGAGCAGAGAAAATTTGAAGACCTACTTACTGTTTTCATATCTGCGAAGTTTTTTCTTGCCACAGTTTCTTTTGATGTGGATATGCTCCTCAATGTTAGAAGCCTTAAATGGAGGTGGTCGAAATACAGTATGCAATCTATGAGGCCCAATTGGTTCATCATGCAAAGATTCTGCATCACTTGCAGATACACTTCCCAAACTGAAATTATATGCCTATTAGAACAGACTGAAACTTCTCGTGTGATTGTCCTACATAAGAATGTCCATACGAGAGTTTACAAATGTGAAACTAGACAAAGAGAACACTATAAATGCTGCCAATGAAAATCACATATTTATCTCGTATCCTAAGTATGCTAATCAAAGAACTTTTTCAACCAAGTTGTTTGAAGTATAAAAATTCTGACGCAATACTCACTGTAGGGATTCAGTATCAGAATTCACATTGGAGTTAGGTTTAGGGTAATTGTAGCTTTGTTTATCCTTAATAACAGTCATTTCTAAATAATTGGTCACTGTCTTCCTACTATTACGTTTTACCTTCTATTCATACGTAATACGTAAGCATTAAGATCTTACAAACACAACGCATAAAAACACTGATGATGATCAACAATATTATTATCAAATGTTTACAGAAAAAAATAAATGTCAAGATAATTTGACAGTTTTCTTTCTTACCGATTTTACCGGTCGCTCTTGCTTAAAGATATTACCCAAAATATGTCACTTTGCAAAAGACCGTACTGTCACATATCATACGTCATTTTAGGTAGAGGTGGGTTGTTATTTAGCAGCTTGTTATTTATAAGCTGCTATTCGAGAAATAGTCAATGTATGAAGTACCTTCGCATCTGATGACAAAATATTCTGGTTTGGATTTTATGCATACTCTTATTCAAGAAGAAATAAGCGATAAAAGATGTTTTTGCTCTGCTCAAAGGATTTTTAGGCTTTTCGAACATTCTGAACAAAAAAGTTGTGGTTTAGAACTTTTATTTGTTGATAATTTTCGAGATATGAGCGATACAATATTTGTAGAAGTTGTAATTATGCTTAGACCCCGAAAAACAATATGAAAAAATTTTAATATTGCCGAATTTATAAATGTTCTTTAAGCATCCATTAACAAAATTCCAAAGCGTATCAGAAGGTAATGCTTTGTTTTGACTGCCCTTATTGCTGCAAACCTAAAGATCATTTACATGGAGAAAAACAATAAAACATTCTTTGGAATTTGTTTAAAAGATTTAAATAAATGTTGATCCAAATTGACAGCTTCATTAAAAGGGATCCTTTTTGAATAAGTTTATGCAAACAATCCGATTCAGGATATTTCTCCCATCATATGCGCAGATACTACCTGCTACTATCGCTGATGAAAAATAATAGGTTCGCTGATAACTCATAGATTTTGCACGACGAGACCACCAAGCAACACACTGTTGCTGCAACAACTGGCTGACGCGATTATTATAGCTTTGTCCAGTAAGATATAGAAGAAACCTGCCTAATACCTTGATAGTGATAATCTATTAGATACTCTTTAGTGTAAGAAATATAACGACTCGTTACGCCTACCGTTTGACAGCGACATCATCATCATATCTTGATCAGCAGCGAAATCGGTTGTAACCCATAAGTGTCCTCATATGTTCCTTATGTATTTACTTGGATTATTCGTTATTGTATACAGGTGCCTATTAATTTTCAACAAATTCTTTTTTTTTTTTCTTTTTTACATCTAGTATTGTTAAGGGGGTTAGATGGTAGAATAGATATATAATCTAAATCTCGCCTCCTGTAAGAATATTACAAATAAAAGACGTTAATTATTATTAATTATTATTATATAACGAATGTCGACGGAAAAAAGTTTTTTGACCACTAAAGGGAACCGTAGCAATTTGACAGTAGTGACTACTGACATTCATGACAGGTTGATTCTTTTTCATAACAGTTATAAAATAACGATATTTCCCATTTCTAATTTTCTGACAGGTTTAAGTTGGGAAGCTTGAAATTTCATTTCTGACGCCATAAGATTTGTTTTAGAAATCAGAGAGTGAAAGAGAAACTCAAACATGATTTGTATTTAGGATTAACTTGGAAAAACTGTGATCGCAGCTTTTTCTATACCGTCACACTTGGCAACATCGAAATAAATTTACAGCTTCCTTTTTTGTGCTTAAACTTGCACCTAATAGATGTCAGCATCAGTTTATGAGGATGAGGATGCTGTCATCTGTCACTATTCTGTAAAAATGAAAAACTCCTGAACAGATTTCTTTACTAAATTTATTTTTCTACCATCCAATAGAATATCGCCAGTATCTTGCAGTATGGGCGGTATCTAGCGGAGAGGACTAAAAATTACAATTACCTTACTGTTGTGTTAACTGGTCTATATCTATGACCTACATCTTTATACGAGGAGAGTGAAAGAAATGCTTGCAAAAATGAAAAATTTTCATTCTAATATGGAAAATTGCACGTTTACTCTGAAAATTAATGCTTTAGATATTCGGTGTACTCGATAATCTTAGTGATATGGTCATCTTCCATGTCATTCATCCTTCCTTTTCTTTTCAGGAAGACAACTGTAGCCGGTGTGGTTGTAGTTACTGTGTTCATTCCATAGTAATATTGACTTTTGTATTTCAACAGATGTACCAGTTTCTGAAATAAAACATGGGTGTAACTTGGTTGCCTTTCCTCATTCTCAAAATTGTCAGCAAGAAGTTCTTCGCACGAAAAGGTACGCGCATCTCGGTAGATATGCCTTTATCGGTTACAAATCCACCACCCATTCCAAATTATAAATTAATATGGTATAGATCTACGTTTCAAAAACTTACTATAACTAATTTGATCAGAAATACTGAAAACGTAAGAAAGCCTATCGTCATCAACGCCCCTTCACTTGAATGATAATCCATGGGATGTTCCTCTTCTTTATAAGTCCTTGCTTCGCTATTCCCGTCAATTAATTTGAAATTAGCAATTTTCTCATCTACAAAAAAGTATCAGACTGCAAGGACATCTAAGAACTTTGCAGTAATACTCACTTATGTTCAATGTTAATACGTCTTTGAGGTGTTTCAAGACAGACATTTTGCTTCTATACGTATTCATCTTATACTGCAGCAAAGTCTTCTGTGCACTCTTTAAAAAATCCATGAAGCTGTTCATACCAATAGGAGAATCATTATCTTCAATGTCTTCGTAATCATCATCATCTTCTTCATCATCTGCTTGTTCGTGTTCTATTGGTGCTTTTTCCTTTTTAACATTTTGTGATATTTTCTCATCAGCATTGGCCTTTGTGCCGTTTTTACTTTCGAAACTCGGCGTCGAATGCGTGTCGAGATTTGATGTATGAGAATGATTTATAAAGGGGTTTCTTATGGATACCTCGTAGGCTCGTGTAGTGGTCGAAGTAGTAGAGGTATAGAAACGTCTATCTAAAAAAAAATAAATATGTACCTTGATCCCTGATGGATCCATCAGTAAACCCTAATAGTATGGATTACAGTATAAAAACTGAATGAATGTCTATAATCTTGACAAATCGCAAGCAACATTTTCCCCAGTCCAAAAGCATCATACGTATGTCGTTTGGACCCTAAAATGTTTTTTTTTATTAAATATAAGCAATGTTATACAGACAATTAATCGTGTTCATGATACTTTTCGTCTTTAATGCGCGGTAAGTAAAATCACCTCTTTGAAATCATATTAAGATGTTGGAATAAAATAAGAAGCCTACCTGATGTATTTTTCGAAATTGGCTGTATTTCAACCCATTCACAAACAACATATTCGAAGACATATAACAATAACGTTAAGTGTAACATTTCTTTGCAGAGTGGCTTCAGTACCAAACAGACAGATATGACTTGATTTTGCGCTCTTGATTTTGATAATTACCATGATTACAAGAAGTGCTGTTATTGGTGACAAAGCGTAACGATAACAATTATTATTAAGTGATCACGAGATACAATCTTGTGATGGAACTATTTTTTTATGTATGTATACAGGGCGTTGCAGTTCGAGTAAGCAACTCATTTCTCATCTATTTGTCATTGACTGTTAGAGCAGTTCGAAGGAGCTTTAGTCTTGATCAGAGTATCGTAGGTCAGTAGGTCTGAAAGAACTAGTTGCCCAGATACCAGATAAAGTCAGGAGAAAGAAGGGACGAATAAAAAAGGAGAGGAAGGCGTCGGTTGGAGGGCCGCCTTTTGTTTGTTTTAGATGAGGAATGTTAATGTTTCAGAGAAGGATCTTATTGGAGATATGTATACCATGGGGCGTTTTAGTAATTGTACACAAGGTTCTGTTCTGCTTACTTTGGCAAGAAAACAACATAACAAATTACACACACGTAAGTGAATGCTGATCTAATAACCATCTTGTACAGCCAAACTTTGTTGATCAAACTTCAAATTTAGAATTCTTTTAATTAATAAAGTTCTATACAACCAATTACAGGTAATACATTGTAACAATTGAATAAATAAGCGATTTATAAATAAAATGTATGTTGTCATTGTTACTTATTTTCCTCTACAAGAAGCCGTAGTAAAATTTTCAAATCGGCATTTCTTCATTCGACTTCCATCACCAACTTTGTTATTCCATATGGACGCTATATTGGAGTTTTGTACATTTGAATGGACTTTTCAGTCCTAAATTCAGTGATGTACTTCCTTAGTTGGCCACAAATTTGTTGGATGAAAACTATAAGGAAATAAAAAGGTATGGTCAAACCTGAATACAAAATGAAAATTTTGTTCGTGGTCACAATAATAATGATACCTTATGCTATAGCAGATGTTGCTATGTTTAATTTGAGGTCTGATCTGGAATTCGAAACAAATGAAATCTGAAATTTTAAGTCCTACCTCGGAATTTCTGATTTTCTGGAATAGCTAAGGTCTGGCATTGTCAATATATGACATATCATACATTTTTGAAATCCGAATCGAAGACTCTATTTTTTGAGCAAAAATCCATTATGGCGTCGTTAAGAAAAAATAAAGTTGATGCTGAAGGGAAAGAGACGAAACGTCATATTAAAATTCTAACTATGCCATCTTGTAAGGAATAAATATCAACCTGAAATTTATTTTGTAATCCCAATTCAAAGCTTTTCTTACAAATATTAAAAGTATCTCCACCTTTATGTGATGAGGTATTTTAATAGAAAAAAATAATTTTGAGATTCTACATAGTATAATGTAAAGTTGCCGAACGGAGCTTGAGATTTGGCTTTAAGCACTTCAGTGAGGTTCTGCTAGACCACCCCTTGTCAAGAGTGAGGGCAAGATAACTGGCAGAATTCTCTCATGGTAGGCGAGCTCCGTTCACTGTAACCTCAAACAGGGTGACTACGGTTCTAACACAAAAGGTTGTCTTGAATTTTTGAATAATCAATTTTGAACAATCCTTGATCCGCACATTCCACCGCTCCTGGTAACCTTTCGTAAACCAGATTCCCCGAACTCAACTGGGCCGTCAGAGGAGCGTCATCAGCATAGACTTTACAGTTGTTGGGGCAAGGGCCATCATGCGTAAAAAGTAAATAGAGAGAATGAAATTGGTTTAAGAACTGAGCTTCGAGGGAGAAGCACACCGGCTCTGAAGGGCCATACTGTGGACAATGCATTATCAATATTGACCCGAAATTTCTTCAACGTAAAATTTCAAAAGATTTATGAGCCAAAATGGAAATCCCTTTTGGATTAGCTTATGGAAATACCACACACCTTGTCAGATGTCTTCGAACAGCCAGAAGCAAGATGCCAGTACTTCCAATGAGTGTGACATCCCTGGTTACTCGCACCAACAAGCCTAACCGTCGGTAACTCTGTAGTGTGCTGAGAATCAAACCATTTTTTAACTTGAGCCAGTGAAAAATCAATGACTTGGGGCTAGATGTTACCTTGTATCGTTCAATATCTAAGCCTCGTACCCGGGCTGTGTGTTGCCTAGTAACAATTGACAACTGTTTGTAGGTTTGTAGGGCGTTCAAAATGCAGAAAGCTTCCAACAGTTTAGCAGAGTAAGTTCATCAATTTATAGATTTTCTAAGATACCATATACGTACCAATAATATTTAAACATGATCCAGAATTTGTCTAATTCTTTTATCAAATGTTGCATCTCCCTGTCATTTAGACAGCGTCAGTAATATTTCGGAGTATATACAGGATGTGGATACAATATACCCATAATATATAATGTTCAAAAGGCAAAACATTTTCATGAAAAAAACAGAATGAAGAGTACATTTGTACAACATCGTAAAAACGGCGCTTGATATAAGCGGTCATTGCAAAAACCTCGTAAGTCACACAATTTAATTTTTTCGGTAGAGAATAAAAACAACAACAAATAAACTAGTTTCATTGTGCTTTTCAGCTTAATATGATGTTTGTGTTTTACAAGACTGAAATGTTGAAACCTTACCGCTGTTCAATAATAATGGAAAAATCCAGAAAAACTGTTTTGGCCTTACGTTGTTTTGGCAGGAATTACATTTATTGCTGTATACCTTAAGTAAAAGAATCATATTAATCATATTATTAATCGTTCATTATTCAAAGTTTTACAGAAATATTGACTTATCGTGTCATATGTTTTAATATCTTTGAGGTACATGGGGGAAACCCCGCCAAAGTGAACACCCCGGGAAAAATTGAATTTTCCATCCTACTCAACTAACAATTAGCACTCCTATTAGAGTTGCAAGAATGATTATACAGTATTCCTTAAACAGAATTGTATACTGTAAGAACATTGGCAAAACCCTCTTAGAAATGCTATACAAGCGGAATGGGCACACCTAATAGGACACTTCAGTCATTTAAGAGGTTGTATAAGGGCTGCAGGTAACAGCTATACAACAAAAGTGTAAGCCTCTTGCAGTCGCTATAGGACATTTGCGTCAGTGCAAGATCAGTTTTTGTCAACTATATAACTATTCTGTTACGTGATTGTACTTTATTGCAACCAAACTATTCCTTATGTATTGTATAGGCGAAGAAGAATATACACATTACAGTCATCTTGTTTACTTACATATCGGCCATTGTGAATTTCATACACAGGTATATGATAAACTTCTACACTGTGATATAGGGCTATTGAATTACTTGCCCAGCAAATGTTATTGTGATTATCGTGCAAATTAGTTACGCAATTTCTACGGGCTTCGTATTTGATGCATATTTTGATAATGATCAAAAGTATGTCTAGATTTTTAAGATGAAAAACTGAACTTATCTGCGTTAAATCTTCCACAAATCCTATATTTAGACACAATTACACTAATGTTTATCACTTTATATCGGAAAATTTCGAACTGAAACATAATTATTTAATATTAAATAGAGGAATAAACGTTTGCCCAATATGGCGGGTGGTTGTGTATAATCATGGCATCGTCCATGTTGTCTTTAGGTTATTAGAATATTTTGGTGTTGCCTGCAGGTGTTATACAACAATTTGACAAATTTCTGAAATGAAATACCGACAGAGTCGAATGATTTACCTAGAATTTGTACCAGATCTATATCTTCTGTTTGAACAATTGATAAAACCTTTTGAACCAATACGCATGCGTTGTTTGTCTTAAAACATTGGTTATGGCATTTTAACAAAAATATGACAGCAGAAAGTTAGGTTATGGTGAAGTTGTATACCAACATATTTAGCATATGTACAGCCTTTAAAAGTTACTAAACAACAGTTGTATAAGTGCTTCCGTTGGGAGCAATTTGTTTGCTAAAGTAGTAAATTGCACAGCAAAACAACAAGGCTCGGGTTTGTTTTATAATCGTTACCACGGATGCCACAACACAACCATTTTGACTAACGTGCAAATATGCCGTATAAAATAGTTGTATAGACGTTTATGAAACAGTTAAAAATTTGCCCTATAAGGTGTTGTATAACTATGCTACAAGAATATTTTAAACACCTCACTTTAGAGCAAATATGTTGCAGAAAGCAAATTTGCATTCCACACAACATTAAGCCAGCATTTTGGTGTTCAGGCAACAACAATAGAGAGCTTTTATGGCTGAACGGTTCTTTTACCAAACGTTTATACCACCACTTTGCTAGTTGGGAGATAATATTCTTTTCATCAAAAAAAGTGAATTTGCAACAGAAGTGTTGTGCTTGTAATTCCATTTATATTCTGTCTACATGGACAGCTTGTTAAAATATATGGCGTTTATTCAAATTCATACAAATGAGAATCATTAAGTCAATGCTTATGGAAAGAAGCAAGAAAACTCTTCGATAAGTGATTTGGGGCAAAGCGGATCGTGAAAGACTTGTAGATAGGGTCGATCAAATCACAGGATTAAGAAAACATATTGGACTATAGTTCGAAAAGCCATCTAATTATTGCATACCTAAGCATTTACTGTTTCTTGTTTTGCTATACACTTATACACTACTCGCCAAAGTTCATACCTAGGGTGTGATGTTTATTTCCTTAAGTGATAGTGTGTGCTATTTTTAGGATCACTGTTTTCTGTAGTAAATGTAGGTTATGTTTTCCCGGTATTTCTCCTACCAACTTTTTCTGATATTTATATTCATTTTTGTACCGTAGTATCTTTCGTATTAATTTTTGATAATAACAAATTATTTATCATTCATCATTACATGCTGACAGTTTGAACAGAATTCTGGGAGTAGCTAGAAATTGCTTGGATAATTTATGATATGTAACTCACCTGAGTGAAATATGTTTTTCTTTGCTTCTTTTTCTTGTTTGTTTTTTTCTTTAAATGTTTTCTGTTCTTGTTATTTTTATTTAACTTAGGATTGTCCTGTAAGTGGTTTCCTTAACTGTTGGACAATAAACGCTATTTATTTATTTACATGCTCTTTGTAAACTATATCTCATTTCTGAGGGATAATAATCAGCATTTTATATAGGTAATATCCATTTGTGAGGCCATGTTACTAGGAAGTCTCGCTTGCCTTCCAGAGATAAGTTCAGATGGGGAATAGATACATACTTTGTTTTTGTGTGGACTGTGGTTTTGAAGGCAAAGCACCAGTAGTTGAGCTGTTTAATGCCTAGTGGTTGACATGTTTCTTTGAAATTTTGGAATAGAAAGTCACTGCCTTTGTTACAATTTTCTTAGGAACACCCTACCTCAAAATGAAATTATCTACACCTTTTTTCAGCTCACTTTGCAGTCTCAAAACGTAACGAGGTTCATTTGAAACTGATTCTAGGGCCAAACTACGTCATTTTTTAGAACCCTGCTGATGCAGTTGTTGTTATTGCCATAGGCTCAAAGTTTGTTTTGTTATGCTTATATCTCTAACAGTTGTCACATCATTGAACAAAGTTTTCTACATTTTTCCTCAATCCAGGCCAAAAATAACTTTTTTATTATTGTACAACATACGGTTTACGCCTGCATGACCTCCTGTTGGTAATATACACGTATGATCGTCGTTCAGAATAAGTTGTCTATACCGTATTCGTAGTCCATTTACGCCTCGGCACAACAAAGATGCAGCGCGGCAAAGCGGCAGCCGCCTAAGCGTTGCAATAGTTATTGGTCATTTGGTGATAAAACTACGAACAATTGCAGAATTCGACAGGATAAAACTCAGGCTCGGGGTATCGTTGACACGCCAACGCCGGCAGTTGTTGTTCATATTCGGTGCATACATAGCGCGTGTTTATATACTAAGTGACATATAAATCCGAACACCCAGTTTAAATGTTTTTATTTTAATAAAATTTTGTATAAGTACTTAATGAAGCATAATAAGTAAATGATAAAAATTTCAAAATGATTGCACTGCTTTAAAGCCCTTTGACCTTTAATAATGTGTGGATGCACCCTGATGTGCTACGCATTCTCCAACGCGCCTAGGCATGCTTCTGATCAGGTGGTCAATGTCCTCATGTGGTATCTCATTCCAGGCAACCACCAACTCCTCTCGAAGTGCTTCTAGAGTCTGAGGAGGACGTTGCAAATTGAGCAATCTCCTACCCATCATATCCCACACGTGCTCAATTGGGGATAAGTCGGGAGATCTTGGTGGCCATGGTAACAATGTGACATCATTATGTTGAAAGAAGTCTATTGTGACTCTTGCAACATGTGGTCGGGCATTATCTTGTTGGAAAGTTGGATCTGCCAGGGTGTCAAGATAGGGTAAAAGATGGGGTTCTAGAACTTCGTGGACATAACGCTGCGCGTTCATGTTACCTCTGATGAAGATTAAAGGTGACCTGGAACCATAAGCTATAGCACCCCAAATCATAACTCCAACAGTGTGATGAACATGTCTTTCAACAAAAAACTGTGGATTCCTCCTTTCACCACGTCGCCTTCTAACCCTGGCACGACCATCGTGCATACCTAAACAAAATCGAGACTCGTCACTAAAGACAATACTGTTCCATTCCTAATCCCAGAGTGACCGTTGTCTGCACCACTCAAGGCGATTACGTAGGTGTTCTCGAGTTAAAGGGAGGACCCAGTGTGGCCGGTATGAAAACAAGCCAAAACTTCCCATTCGTCGGTAAACACTTCCCATGCCAATAGGTCTTCCGTGTTCTGCAAACCATTCATTTGCAATGGACCTGGTAGTGGAGAAACGGTCCCTTAAGGCCAATAATCTTAGGCGGCGATCTTCACGGTCTGTTGTTCTACGGCGGCGTCCAGTGCCCCTTGCTCTTTGCGTACGGCCTTCTCGAAGCCATGCCTGACAACACCTAACCACAGTGTCTACACTTCTTTGCACTCTAACTGCAATTGCCCGAAAAGAAAGTCCAGCTTCCCGAAGTCCCACTATACGGCCCCTATCAAACTCACTAAGTTGACGAAATCGTACAGGTCTCCGTACTCTAGGCATCGTAACCGATCGTAAAGGATGTCAAGAACCAAAATCCGCCAACGTTGATTCTTTACTGCGGCTGAAATATTCATTTTTAGAGCGTTAGTGAATTAAAAAAAAGCAGTATAAAAACCGGAATGTCCAACTGATAAGGCTGAAAATTTTTTCACTTGTTATTTACAGTAAGATAAATACATTCACCAACTTTTATTAAAATAAAACCATTTAAACTGGGTGTTCGGATTTATATGTCACTTAGTATACGTTAGCATGTCAGCAGATGAAACTGATAATATTTCTCTCAATGCTTCCTTCAGCCATGCTTCCTCTTCAGTGATGTCTCCTTCTCGAAAACGTGACAAGAAGGGAGATTTGAAAATTCAGGTAAAAGATATTGCGAAATTTTAGAGCATCCCGAAATGAAAATTCATGATAAGTATTGAAAGATGTGTGGCGAACAAAACAGGCTTATGTCCTAAGATAATTTTCAACATTGTTAAAAAATATAAATATTATAATTATTATTATGCAGTTAACGTCGATTACGTTTTAAGGGGAAGGAATGTATTGATTTACGAGTTGTGTACACAGAATACGCAGCTACCTTCAATGAAACGTTTCCAGTAAAAATCTTGGAAAAAATGGACCTTAGTGGTTTTTGAAATGACTGATTCAATTCAATTGCCGAGTTTCTAAATTACACATCCATAGTATATTCCTTGAACAAGTCGTTTAAAAATGACGCTTAATTCAACTCCTTGAATTTGAACAGAAAAAACAAAATGTCACCCTAAACTTTCAGATGGATCAAAGTAGGCCACATCAACGATCTATGCTTCATCTGGAAAGATGTAATTTGCTACCATTCCGGCTGCTACATCCACTTCATCAATCTGTCCAATGGGGAAGAACTGATACACTCGGCGACAAACCATAACAAAAACGGTGACGGAATCGCTGCCGTAACGGGCCACCGGACCATGTACACTTTCGCGTATGCGGATAATTGCAATTCCCCGAAAGTTTTTATTAAGGCTTACCCGGGATGCGAGGTGGTTTGTCAGTTTACAGGTGAGGATTAAAAAAGTGTTGCGAATATACCCAATAAGATTCCTCTTAGAGACTATCCAACTGTTGACACACCATAACAACGACGGTGACGGAATTACTGTTGCAATTTCCCGATATTGTTTGTTAAGGTTTATCTCCAGAAGATTCTTTTTAGAGACTATCCACTCTTCGCCACACCATAACAACAACGGCGGCGGCATCACTCTTTAAATCTCCAGATAATGTCTGCTAAGGTCTACCCCGGATGCGAGGTAGTATGTCGATTTACAGGCGAGGATTGACAAAGTGTTGCAAATCTCCTCCAGAAGATTATTTTTAGAGACTATCCACTCTTCGCCACACTATAACAACAACAGCGGCGGCATCACTCTTTAAATCTCCAGATAATGTCTGCTAAGGTTTACCCGGGTTGCGAGATAGTATGTCGATTTACAGGCGAGGATTAACAAAGTGTTGCAAATCTCCTCCAGAAGATTATTTTTAGAGACTATCGACTTTTCGACACACCATAACAACAATGGCGATGGAATCACTCTTTCAGTCTCCAGATAATGTCTGCTAAGGAAACACTGTTGTAATTACCTGAAAGAGTTTGTTGAGGTTTATCCGGGATGTGTGGTGGTTTGTCAATTTACAGGTGAGGATTTACAAGGTATTGGGAATCTTTTAGAAGTAATTGTTCTTAGACGCGATCCACTCTTCGACACACCATAACAACAACGGCGGCTGCATCACTCTTTAAATCTCCAGATAATGACTGCTAAGGTTTACCCGGGATGCGAGGTAGTATGTCGATTTACAGACGAGGATTGACAAAGTGTTGCAAATCTCCTCCAGAAGATTCTTTTTAGAGACTATCCACTTTTCGACACCCCATGACAACAACGGTGGCTCAATCACGGTTGCTATTGTTTGTTGAGGTTTACCAGGGATGCGAGATCGTTTGTCAGTTCACAGGCGAGGATTGACAAAGTGTTGCAAATCTCCTCCAGAAGATCATTTTTAGAGACTATCCACTTTTCGACACACCATAACAATAATGGAGACGGAATCACTCTTGCAATATCCAGATAATGTCTGGTAAGGCTTACCCGGGATGCGAGGTGGTATGTCAATTTGCGGGTGGGGATTAACGAAGTGTTGCAAATCTTCTACAGGAGATTTTTCTTAGAGACGATCCACACGTCGCACCCCATGACAACAACGAAATCACGTTGCAATTTCACAAAAGTGTTTGTTAATAATTACCCGGAATGCGAGGTGGTTTGTCAATGCACATGTGAGGATTAACAATTTATTGCGAATCTGATACAGGCGACTCTTTAGAGACGATTCACAGGTCGACACCATATATACGTATTAGCAACTGTGATGTAATCACCGTTGCAATTTTCTGAAAGTGTTTGTTAACGTTTAGCCGGGATGCGAAGTGGTTTATCAATTCACAGGTGAGGATTAAGAATTTGTTCCAAATCTTTTAAAAGAGATTCTTCTTAGATACAATTCAGACATCAACATCACATAACAGTATCGACGATGGAATCACTGTTGCAATTACCTGAAAGTGATTGTTGAGGTTTATCCGGGATGTGTGGTGGTTTGTCAATTTACAGGTGAGGATTAACAAGGTATTGCGAATCTTTTAAAAGTAATTCTTCTCAGAGACGATTCACACGTAGACACTCCATGACAATAACGGTGACTGAAACACTATTACAATTGTTTCTTGAGGTTTACCAGGGAAATGAGGTAGTTTGTCAGTTTACAGGCGAGGATTGGGGAATCTCCTCCAGAAGATTATTTTTAGAGACTATCCAGTTTTCGACTCACCATAGCAACAATGGCGACGAAATCACTCTTGCAATCTCCAGATAATGTCTGCTAAGGCTTGCCCGGGATGCGAGGTGGTATGTCAATTTGCGGGTGGGAATTAACGATGTGTTGCAAATCTTCTACAGAGATTTTTCTTAGCAGCAATGGTGACGGAATCACTATTACAAATTCCTAAAGGTGTTTGTTAAGGTTTACCCGGGAAGCGAGGTGGTTTGTCAACTTACAGGTGAGGATCAATAAACGATCCACAGGTCGACGCCCCATAACAACAAAAGAGATGAAATCACTGTTGCTATTCCAGGTATTATCTTTTAAAGTAAATTCTTCTTAGAGACGATCCGCACGTCGGCACCTCATAACAACAACGGTGACTGAATCACTGTTGCAATTCCCCAAAAGTGTTTGTTAAGGTTTACCCGGGATGTGTGGTAGTTTCTCAATGTACAGGTGAGGATTAACAAGGTATTGCGAATCTTTTAAAGGGAGTTCTTCTTAGAGACGATCCACACATCGGAACCTCATAACAACAATGGTGACTGAATCACTGTTGCAATTCCCCAAAAGTGTTTGTTAAGGTTTACCCGGGATGCGAGGCGGTTTTGTCAATTCACAAGTGAGGACTAACAATTTGTTGCAAATCTCCTCCAGAAAATTCTTTTTAGAGACGATCCACACATCGATATTCCATAACAACAACAGTGACGGAATCACTGTTGCAATTCCCCAAAAGTGTTTGCTGAGGCTTACCCGGAATGCGAAGTGGTTTGCCAGTTTACAGGTGTGGATTAACAGAGTGTTGCGAATCTCATCCAGAAGATTCTTCTTAAGAACAATGCACACATTGACACCCCACAACAACAATGGTGACGGAAACACTGTTGCAATTCCCCAAAAGTGTTTGCTGAGGCTTACCCGGAATGCGAAGTGGTTTGTTAGTTACAGGTGTAGATTATCAGAGTGTTGCGAATCTCATCCAGAAGATTCTTCTTAGGAACGATCCTTACATTGACACCCCACAACAACAATGTTGACGGAAATACTGTTGCACTTCCCCAAAAGTGTTTGCTGAGACTTACCCGGAATGCGAAGTGGTTTGTCAGTTTCTCAGGTGTGGATTAACAGAGTGTTGCAAATCTCATCCAGAAGATTCTTCTGAGAAACGATCTCTATAACAACAACGGTGACGGAAACACTGTTGCAATTCCCCGAAAACCTTTGTTAAGGTTTACAGAGGTGCGAAGTGGTTTTTCAGCCCACAGGTGAGAGGTATATATTGAGGGCTAAATTCGTAACCACTTTATAGGACTTTTTGATGATCATATTTAAAATTAGCATCCATATTATGCTTCTGGATGTCTCAAAAAGTTTGATTTTTTGTATTTTTGGCAGATGGTGTTGCAGAAGGATACAGCTCGATGACATTTTCTGAAACATCTCTACTGATAGCACTTGGCAATCTACCGAACTTTTCGATCACTATTTGGAATTGGCGTAGTCAAGAAAAGTTTGCTGATCTACCCAATAGCGGGATATTTGTTGATAGACAAATATTAAGGTAGGTGCTACCAAACAAGCTTCAAATCTATATTGGTTAAGCTTAAAACAAATATATTTCTTAAAAATACGAACAACCAGTCTGCAGCAGTTGAAAATAATGAACTAATTCTGCTATCAAAGGAGTTCTAGGGACACCTTAATGACAAAATCCTTCAAGTCATCTTAGGGTGAAGCTATGAAATAGGGATTTCAATGTCGAACATTTTTTATTAGAAACTGTTATTTTAGTTTTATAACGGTTTTATACATGCAGTGTTACTCGCACTGCTAAAAAGAATCCATCAACACCTCATATGTAAAAATCTACCAAACCGTTCAAGTTGTATCCTCTTGAAATAGCTATTTCAAATTGAACTTCTTTTATTAAAATCAGTCACTTTGTTTTTATAAAATTTCAATTTTATCAGTTTACTCGCACTGCTAAGACAATTACAATGACGCACCATAAATATGTCAAAAACCATCAAGTCGTTTGGCCTGTAGCTCGTGAAATAGATTATTTTGGATACCTAGATACATACCCATGCGTTCAAAATATCCGTCATTTTAAGGTAGTTACGTAAAAATAAGTTTTTACCGAATGGTGTTTGCAAAAAAAGAGTTGTCTTAGAGCGTGTATATCAAATTTCCAAAATCAAGGCTCGTTGGGTTTTATTTTATAAAATACATTTTTTATTAAATAGATGCAGCTGGGGAAAACCGCCAAATATGTTGCAACTAGGTAGAGGTGGATGGAAACTGTGCGTTTGGGATCTCTACACCTGTTGCAAGAAGACAGTTCTAGCTAAGCATGTCGTTAAGATCCCCGATCTTAAGAAAACTGCTAAGTTTAGCGACATCCTTTGGACCACAGAGGGAGCTGCGCTTGTTGTTGATATGCGTGCCAACATTTACAATGTAAGAAGATATGCATATTTAGACCTGAAGCAACAAAATACCTGAATTGAAGGGGTTGGGGGTACCTAAGCCACATTTGATTTAAAAAATGCATTGGTATCTAACAATACCCGTCGCGTTGGTGTCTTCATCAGAGGTTGATTTTTTGTGAAAATTTGTTGATGGATATCGCTATAATTTGTAAATGCCGTTTCTGAACACCCAAACAAGGATGATTCTGGATTTTATTCAGGTGACGGTGGCGGTGTGAATGACAGATACTATCCTTCGACTGATATCAGTTCTGATAGAGAGCGGCAAATAAATATATTTATTAGTTAGGAAAACTATTTTTTGTATTCGTTTTACGTTACCACTAGATAGTGGGCTTAAACCATCTATTTATCAGAATGTACCATTATCCTTACTGAGAGTGACTATCGTAGACCGCAAACGTCAATAGTATGTAATTTTGTGATGAGTGACTTATGCCCTTCTTGACCAAATAAATTCATCCGTACAGCTTGTGACCTTCTGCAGTATTCAGGAACATTCATATTTTTTCGAAATAGAGAACTCATCTGACACAGTTCTAATGGACAAAAAAGCTTTAACACGGATAAGTAGTAGTTGTTTCAAGTATAACAACGAACACCCAAATTATATGTTTATAAAATAAATCATTTTTAAATTACTCTTAGAGTACAATTTTTTTTCAATAAAGCACCAAGCCACATTATTTTCAAAAATAAATTTCTCATACTAAAATGTGTTAGGTATATTTTTTCGATTCTGTTGTCATCAAATCTTTGGTGTAGGAAACGAAGAAACTTATCAAAGTTCGAGAATTGCGATGTCTGCGGAACAAAATGTGTCGAAATGACAAAATTTCCAAATGACTTTCAACGATTCATATTTGCTTCTGAGATTCATTTAAACGGCTTTATTAACGCAGGTTGATCGCGATTTCGCTATTGAAAGAATAATAGATGCCGAGATCGAGGGTGATTATGATCCATCATTGAACTGGTATAAAGGAGGGATGACAGTTTCTGGACCAAATAAGGAGATCAGAGTAAGTATTCCACATTAGCTTTCACGGAATGAAGACAATCAAAACTCCTTTACAGTTTGATTTCACGATTAGATTAGCTTCTATTGAGGAAATATTCCAAATGGGTGTGCATATCGAAAATTTCATATCAATTTTTTGTTAAGACCAAGAGAGCCCTAAGGCCCGCATTTAATAGTCGGCTGATTGAGGGTTCGTCAACCCCCGAAAATTGAGAGAATAGTATCTAACCTAGTCTTGAGCTATCCTCAATTGGAAATTTGCACTCTGCAGATACTACAGGTTTTAAATTTTTTCAAAATTCTCAAATGTTTCAGCAATATCAAAATTTTTTATCTTTCCAAATCTTTTGGCAATTTTTAAAAATCTAAAAAATGTAAAAATTTTGCTTGATGGAGGTTTTATTCGAATTTCAACTATTCATGAGATTTCATTAAAAAAAAATGAGCGGGCATGTATAACCCGTATGGCATGAGGGTATGACACAAGACACAAACGCATTCGCAGGCAACTACAAGTTAACTAGAGGTTATAGTTAACTAACTAGAAAGTTGCGATTGAAAAACCGGGCCTTAAAGTGCATTTTCTTAATCCAAATAAGGCTTCGCACTTTAGCTTTTCTTGATGGCCATAATACAAGTCAATCTTCAAGTTATCCTACTGAGAAGATTTGAATTCCGAAACAGAGGCGGCGTTGGGGTTCGGCAGTGGCCTCGCACCTGGGGGGCCTCGCAAAAAAGTTATGCAAATGTCCTATTTTTGACCATTGTGACCTAGGTTGAACAGAAATGAAATCCAGAGCCGCCAATTCGAAAAAAACTATATCGTGCGCGATACTCGTGGAATCCCAAATCGTCAATTATTTCTATGTAAACATCGTAGGGTTAAACATGTATATATCAATAAATCCATGTTTTTTGGTTTTCTAGATATTAATGAGCTAATAGATAAGGAGCTTTTATCTAGGGACTGTAAAGGTCAATTTCGTTAAGCTTGTGTGGTTCATTGTGTGGTTATAACCGATAGCTTTTTTCAGAAGAGGCATGTTTTTGTGAGTACTGCCACATTCAGTTTTATATTTCGCAAACGCGGACTGTCCCTCGTTTGGCCAAACCTTTAGTTTCTCCACTGTTTAAACTACAAGTCCAAAACTATCCAAACAAAATCAAACAACCAGAAACCACAAAACAACAATGAAAGTTTAAAGTGCTGTGAAAATTTCAAAACAAAAATGGCCATAAGAAATATATTGAATTGAGGTCGTATAATATGATTTGTCTTTAAAACTGTAAAATATATTCATTGAAACTGAGGAGTTTAGTACCTTAAATAATGTGAGAATTGTCACTCATTTCTGTCAGCCTGTCTGTCTGCCTGCCTTTCGCACGGTGGTCTATCTATGCGAAAACCTGAAAAAAATTGAAAACACAAAGTACTGAAAATGAACCAAAATTATTTCCTATTTTAATTATTTGGGTATTTTAATTACCTTGAACAATAAGTTGGCGATGGAATCAGAACTTTGCGTACACTACCTTTACATTGGCAGACTATTAAAAGTTTTTTTTTGTGTCATTGAACACTACCTTTTAACGGCAAGATTGGATAGTTTCTGTATTATCGTTGTATTTTGTGTTAAAAATATTTGAGCATCTGAATATGGATCATAATAAAGAGAATACGAACTTTCATTTGATGTAACAGAAGTATCATTATTGTTGTTTTCATGAACCCAGTGAGTTGACGGATTACTACTTTTGGCTTCACTTTTTTATATTAGTATTATTCATAGATGTTTTTAAAGAGGTTCCGCCCTTTTCTCCAATTGGAATTAGTGATGTACGGAATCCATGAAGCACAGCCAGATAAAATCAAGTGTTGGTTTTTGCTTACCTTTGCAAACTGTTGAGAAATAAATAACCGTTATACACTGATATATTAAGGCAAGACAAACTGGACTTTGATTTGGACTCAAAGATAGCGAAAACCTATACGACATGGGTCTAGACTTGAATGTTAGACTCATTTTGAGTTTGTCCTTGAAATGATCTTCAGGTAGAGCCTCATAATGACTAAGTAATCTCTGATTCGGACTAAATGAGTTGGGGGTTGGGATCAACTGCTCGGCTTTTTTGAAAATGTCCTTGATATGACCTTAAAGTGACCCTCAAATGCCCTTATACAGACAAACTAACGTCAGATTTGAAATCAACAACCCAAAAAGCCCTGTTGTGCTAAAGATTTTATTAAATAGAAATTGTATTTTTCCCAACTTTTCGATGTTCTAGACCACTGTGTCGGTCTGTCCGCTAATCATTGGCTCCACAATAATTACCACTCGGATTTTGAAACAGCGTTTAAAATCGATCTGCTGGCGGCGCACCGTGGTACGAAACGCACTACATAGCTGCTCAAAAGTCTGGAAAAGTACATTTTCCGAAAATAATAACCTGAATAGAGACCATTCTGTGGACAATTGAGTAAACTTTTATGAATCAAAACTACCCCTTTAACACTGGACAGTATTTATGGTGTGAATTTCCAGCCATGTATTTCCTCGAAAATGTACAAGAGACTGGTATATTATGGTAGGTAAATGATTTAATGTATATCCGTTTTGTCACATTTAATGAGACAAGCAGAGCATCAGTTGCTCCGGGCCTATAAGACGTGGCTTGATTTTTATTTTCCGACTGAAACTTCAGTGCTCTCGTGATTTTTGTAGCTCTAGACCAGTGATTCCAAAAGTAGTCCAGGTGGACTCCTAGGGGTCCATGGAAGGTTCATAAGTATGTGCTTACAACAGCTTGTACGATATTAAGGAGCAAAAAATTTGATTTGATTTATTTGAGTTGTCTCAAGTATAAATAAGAATGAGTTGTAGGTGAAATTTAAAAAGGCTATAAGCCATTCTGGTAATAGGTATAAATACCAGATAAATATCCTGGGCTCTGGAAAATTACGCAAAAATTTTTGATAGCGTTTCCCTCTTCACACATAGTCGAAAAAATTAGTGCTGTTACAAATCTATCGACAGAAAAATCGCGGGTAGGGATTCACTACTTGACTTGATTTTCAAGCTACATGACTTGACTCGACTTGAAATCAAGTCAAGCGCAAGTCAAGATATTAGCAATGTTAATTAAGTCAAATAGTTTTTAAGACAAGTAATTGAAAATTCAAGTAGTCTTACTTGAATATTTTTGTTACTTATATAAATACGAGTAGATTATAAATACTCAACGGAAAAACATATTGAACAAAATGTCTTGGTTTTCGTATAACAACTAAAAGAACGATAAAAGTGTAAACTCAAATAGAAAAAACATGTCTTCATCGGGTTATATAAAAAAATTAAAAATTCTTAGTTAGCTTTTCATGCGTTAAGACTCAATGAGGATCCTAACGGATTTATCGCTTGATCTGATCTGTGGGGTTTCGTAATGGTATGGTGGTGCCGCGTATCGTATCCCATTTTTATGGAGTTTTCTGGCCACAGCAAACATGAATTCCTTAAAAGACCAATCATTCAGGATATAGCCTTAGCTTCTTCTTCAAAGGTGCTGCTTCCAAGAAGCTTTTGGTTAGCCATCCCAGGAGAATAGACGACAGGCTTCGATGTTTATTTTCAATTTGGATTCGGTCATTAAACTAAGTTTCGTGGACGGCACAAACCGACTGAAGGTGCTGTTGGATTAGAACCACTTTTTCCTTGGCACCTTAATAAAACTTAAAAAAACGCTCTCTTCGCATTTAAACATAGGACCAGTTTTATTCAAAACAACACAGTTAACAGGCACTACAACACCAGAATAGGTTTTGACTTAAGTATACCAGTCCACGCAACAGGCCAGTTTCAGAAATCACTTCTCTATGTCTGTACAAAAATTTACAATAAACTACCAATTGAGTTCAGCAGAAGCACTAATATGTTGACGTTAAAGAAACGTCTGAGACGATATCTATCAGAAAAGTGTTACTACACCGTCGACGAATACCTAACTGCTTAATTTTATATATTTATTCTTTTTATTTATTTACTAAGCTTAACGGAAAAGAAACAGTCTATTTATTGCCCCTCTTCTAGGCATTTTAAGTGCTCAATTGTTTTTATTTATTTAAAATCGATTTTTTTTCATGTTCGTTAGATGTCATTAAGAATTTGTTTGTGTTTGTAATGACTCCTATTTTATTTATTTGTTTATTATTTATTATCTCAATTACTGTTTTAATTAACTACCTGTTCTTTATTGCATATCGCATACTTATGTATTGTATATATAATGTTGACAAGTCTTATGTCATAGCTATTTATGACCAAAAGACAATAATGACTATCTATCTATCTATCTAAAACTTTCAGGGATCACATCACATTACCATGGTTACTCTCAAGACGGGGGTAAATACGAGTTTTCCCATCCAATGGCGATGTAAACATTGAGTGTTTTTTGGTTTGGTTACCCTGCTGGTTCTTCAGTATTTCAACTAGAAAACGGTGTCCCACAACGACTTTCCTACCTGATAATTTCATAATTCTGTCAAACCTATACGGGGAGAAATAATTAAAACAAACCTCTAGAGAGGCCATGAGAACGGAAAACTATTTCAACTTTCACGTTCCATTAGGGACTGTAGAAAATTATAGCTCATAAATCAATGCAAAGAGGTGGAACGGAAAATTAAAAAAACATGTACATACCTCTCTCCGAGATTTCCATTTGAAAAATGTTCATTAAAAACGTAAAAGAACCAAGGTGAAATATTTCAAAGTTTGTCTTCATTGCCATCCACAATAAATGAATGACTCGTGATTGTTATAAAAATTGGTCTTAAAGTAATCTCTGTTCACTCTGATGGTACTTAGAGCACTTATCGAACTAAAAAGTCTATGAGGGGAACAGGCTTCTCCATGAGAAAAATATTCATTACTTGACTTTTGAACAGCAAGCTTCGCGTTTTGTACCACCGGCAAAAAACAAAAAAAAAGCTTAAGCCACTTTGACATTTCAAAGGTTTCAAACCACATTCAGAAACATTTTTGTAGGTGTTGAAAATTGAAGGTTGAGTGCTGTAGGAGGTAGGGGCCTGTAAATGTTGCAATCTTGGTATCATTGAAATACGTCCTATGATTAAAATGCTTCTAGTCCCAGTAATAACAAAAAAAGAGATTTTTTTATTATGCCCAAAAGTGACAGAGAAAGCACCATGCATTCATTTGGGTGAATAACATGTACTGAGTAGTGGCAAGACACCTGAATGCCACTTGAACGAGTAACTAAGTCTGATCCCTAATCCTTAGCATCTCTATAACTAGGAAAGTACAGATTTGATGAGATTTTTTGACAGAAAGTGACTACTATGCTGAAAATGAAGAAGTTCTGTCAATCTTACTCAATTGAACATACCTAGTCAAGTTGCGCTCAAAATATAGCTTTGCGACAATACAGTTTCTTTGACGCGTTTATCCAACCGATTAAATGTAAAAAGTAATTTCAATTTCCAGCATTACAAAAAGTCAGACACATGGGTCTGCGACTGGACGATCCCTTTACCCTGGGGATTGAAGCAAGTCATATGCAACAAATTCGATTTTCTAGTGGCTTGCACAGAGAACGATGACCTAGTCAAAATAAGCAACGATGGAATTTCGTTTCTGAAAGACGATGAAAGCAATATCAATGAAATCTGCCTCATCTATCCTGTTGGGAAATATGTTGTCGCTCTACGACATGAAAAAATATTGTGTATATATCAAGTGACCAGTGGAGAACTGGTAAGTGTTCAGATCTGAGCTTGAAACTTTAATAAAGTGCATTAGAGATTTTTCTTCTTTGATACAATTCAACTGCTATAAACACAGGATGTCCGCTAAGTTGAGGTTTTCCTTTACAAGGCGTGTAGATCTTGAGAAAATAAGCGGATTTTCTTAGTAGCATATACACCAATGTCTTCAGAGAACCGAGATATTGGGCTCCGCAAACTCAATCAAACCTGAACGAAACCGAAGCCGGTCCTCTCCTATCCCTCGATACGTCCACAGCGCCAGCGCCAGCGTACAGTTATATGACCTACGACTACGATGCAAATACTGATTTTACGGCAGAGCCGTACTTGGAATTTCAATTCAACTGAACAGTGAATTCTTTTTCATTTATTTTTTTTTCTTGTTCGCTCACGTTTTATCACAAATTAGCTTTATTATATCAAACGTAGCTGTGTCTGAAAAGGAAAACCCCAACTTTGCGAACACCCTGTATATTAAATGCTTGACACCACGTATGAACTGACAACTGAGTAAAAGGAACATATTCCGTTGGTATTTCGGAGTAAAAGTGTTATTGCCTTTCGATGAGACTTTATAATAAGAAAATTTCACCGACTAGTCAGATGGCTCTCCTTCAGACGTTATCAAACATAGATAATGCATCGACTGGTGTAGTGGGTAGTAGTTCTTCACACAAGTCAGTTTTTGGTATTTTTCGATTTGTTTTCTCGAGGAGCAATAATAAGTTGACCATACTGATTTTAGGTAGGCAAGATTGAACTTAGCAGGCGATCTATCTGCATGGTGGAAAATCCCCAATTTCCTTATGTAGCAATTGGATCTGAGGATGGATACATAGACCTTATATCGCTTTATAATGAACAGAAGCCGAAGAAAATGGCCACTTTTCATTTGTGTTCCAAACCTATACAAAAGATGTACTTCTTCGAGCAAGGAATGATTTTAGTTGGCGCCAATCTGGACGAAGGACATTTTTTTATCATTGAGGTAATACGGGTATTCAAATTAGTTATACAGCGTATTACAGAATGTTGTCAGGAAAATGTAAGACCGGATTCAATGTGTGTTTGGCAACGTGCGTTGTATAAGTAATTATTGTCGAATTTGAACACCTGCAATGGAACAACTATATTATGCTTTAGTTTGGTAAGTCATAAGAAAATAAATAATCTTAAAATTTGCAAATTTTTTGAATCATAATTTATTTAAACCTGCTATGCTCAATGCAAACACCGTATCTTCAAATTTTATGCAAAACGATAAGGGTTGTGCCTAAAAACTGAAAATACCTTATGTTTACTAGGAAGTTGACCTGTAAATGGGCTTGAGGAAATTCGGAATGGCAAGTAACTTTTCGAAGCTAAAGGCATTTCAATTAAGCAAGTATCAGTATAAAAAATTCTACAGGGAAAACAAAATTTGTCTGACGGCTTGAGTTCAAAGTGTACGGCAGAGAAGCGCGAAAAGTGTGTATCAACACATGTTAGAAAGAGATAGAAGCCGGCTGAAGAGGGAAGGTCATTTCTATTTTTCCGTGTCAGCGCTCTATTTTGAGGTTATGTCACAAATATCTATTTGCATCAAATTGTGCATCCTTTCTATTTATATCATATTATATCAGCCTGAAATTTCCTACAATTTAAAAAGAAAACATATCTTCACAATAGGAGAGCGCTGACGCTGACACAGAACAGATGCAATCTAGAAATTTTTGAAGGGAAGAAAAGAGTATGACAATCAAGCAGGCCATACAGGCGTCCTACAATTGTAGGAACGACTGACGATACGGCCCTTATCATTTACTTAAGAATTCTCCTTGATTTCCACCGATGGTGATTATATCAACACATCCTGAGTTATTGTTGTCTGTCGCAAAATGAAACAAATACCATTTGCAATCCAAATTATCACTGCCTACCTGTACGCAGGTGGGTACTGACCAAAATCGCTCATCTATGATCATAGAGGTAGACACCTTGATTTGGAATGTAAAAGATGCGGTGTTGTCAAACGAACCAATGATGCAATGTTGCACAATTTGTTGCGATCCTGACCTATCATTACGGCCTGAAATGGAGCGCCGTTATGATCGATCCGGAATCAATCGTAAACATATTCGACACAATTCACAACTCAAAAATGTGTAAGCGCAAAATAAAACCATTATTCGAGTGTAAGGAATAAACTAACGCATACAAATATTTTCAATATGCATTTTAATTCAAGGAACTGGTGTAACATATTGGCGATGCGGCAACTTTTTTTTGTGTTTTAACGTGCTGCTGCTATTCATTTTTCCTGCGATACCATTCTGTAATGCCATGTATGTTAGTCATGATTGATGATCACAGCTCGCACAGTTATTTTATGCATGTTTTGCTAGGAACAAATTTTTTTTTTTCGCAGTGGCTTTGATGTCCGAATATTACTGATCAACCATTAATTTTCCTGTGTCCTTTTACAATTAGTACTTATTACTAGATGTATTGATGTCCACCAGATAATCTTCACGTATAGTTAATACTGTCACTAGGTTCTCGAGCACACGCTCTGCTTTAAACACAAAACACTACACTACACACTACAAGTTCATATGCTTGGTCCTGTTCAATCTTAGGACTTCTGTATTAGGGTGCTGATGCAGCCTTTCTTTCTCACTTGCTGCTACTTTCTTGATCTCGTCAATAACCAGAGGGTTATTCAAATAACGATAAATATCCCTTTCACGAACATATCAAGGGTCATTTACCATGTTCCTCAGAATGTTATTTTTGAGTCTGTGATTGCAACTGACAAAGATCTGTTAGGATCTGTTAGTAAAGTACAGACTCCTACCAATAATTTCGTGAAGTTCTCAAATAAAAGTTATACCATTGGAGTCAAACGCTAAATGTTTAGGTTTGACACATGACATCAGGCTCAAGTGCAAACACCATATCAAAAACCAGAGAAGAGCAGAATCTCCGTTTCAAGCAATATTATTAATAATAATAATAATAAATGAGCTTTATTTCGTACAAAGTACAAAAAAGGCGAAGTGTCGCTAATTGTAGCGTTTTTCAACTTAACCTTTGAGAGAACATAACAAAATATTATAACATATTCACTAATGGAAATATATGCATAATTCTCAATTATAACTAACTAATTAACAACAACAAAAAAAGTAGAATCAATTACAAGAATAGTCCATATTTCCAGCATTTTGTGTTCATCTTCAGACCTCGGCGTGTTGTTTTCGTTTAAGCCTCTTTTTAAAATTAAAAAGTGAATTATCGGTTATTGGAAAAATCCTCAGGGCTATCGCTCCCTAACAAAATCAAGACTTATAACTATAGTGTATTTACACCCAAGATAGAATGGATGCGTGACTGCCAAAAGCAAGGACGGCGTACAGGGCCGCATTCAGGGCTACCTCCAAATGATGGACTACCACCAACGTGTTGTAAAACAAAGATGACAGTATTTAACAGAAACAGAAACTTAACAAATTACTCACATACACTTAACAACAACAACAGCAACAACCAAGCAAGGTGAATACGAAAACACGAGCACTTAGTATACACGCGACGGACGGTGGCCTGAGTGCAACTCTGCCTGCCCTGCCCCTGCCCTGCGCATTATTCCGCCAGGCGACCGCTGTTATTATTTACATCTCATCTTGAATTTGGATTCAGTTTAGATCTTAAAACCAATGTTGGTCTGTTCCAAGAGTTAGTCGAACGTAATAATTTTGGAACCATCTATGAGGCAAAAAAATGCGGCTTATGGGGCTCCCATCAGTTCTGGGTCCCGATGTACAGTACGTTATCTTAGATTCGCCCCTGGTTTGGACGCTCTATGTTGATTGTTGAAAATGGTGGATGTGTATCATATGATCAAAATAGATAGCGCTCCCGCCTTTATTGAAAGTCGGATGCACGAATGCATTTATTCATTTGATAAGACAGTCACCAAATTTTGAACAAATATACATTGATATGTATTGATATAAATCTTAAAATCGAAAGAACAAAATATTTCGTATAAATATATTCAAAACACTTCTAAGCTATCCTTTAATGCCCACCAGATACATGTCGTATCCACCACTTTTTGAGCACGTAAATAGTTACGTTAAATGTGTGACAATTTTTGTCACTTGTCAGACTGCTTGCATTCATTCGAATCCATCCGACCAAAACACATATTGCTAGAGTAAATCGATTGTGTAGATTACGAATCTGATAACAGTCTTTAGCTGAGATCGACAGAACACCCCAAAAGTTCGATTTTCCTAATCCGAATGTTTTTTGTGTGGAGACCCACAATACAAATAGGGCTTCGCGTCTCTTACGCATTTTGACACTCTTTGGAGTTCAAGAAAAATATTCTAAAATTCTTGCATATCGATTACGAATCATTAAACAAAATACCGATTTGCGTGCAAGATGGCGCTGTTTCTAGCCGATATCGGACAGAAATATTTCCAACTGATAAATCTGTTAGATCTGACGAATGTTGATAAACGAATATTTGCATCGTTTCGAGGCCTCCGTTGATCTCTTTACATCTCATGGCATAGGTAGATAGATATGCTTTATTGTCTGAAGAATACAATCATTCTTAATGACAAAGCTAACTTAGAACTAAGCTAAAACATAATTACAGAAGTGGATCTTATGTAGGTGAACTGTAGAACTCGCACATGGTATAATATGGTTTATATATTAAACAGATTTAAGTTCACTGCGGAATATCTTTAAATTGCTAATTCTGAGAGACACATGTATATATTCCGACCATTATAAATGATTGAGTCTTTCACAAGTATTGATTTAGGTACTACTAATTTAAGACTATGTAATATTTTTAAAAGTTAGAGTTACTGTTTCCAAAATGAACAGTGATACGACAGTAATTATTTTAAGATTTACACATGAAGGCCTACTTGTAGCTATAGGATAGCTTTAAGTTATATATCTAATAGTTCATTTTTGTAGAATACGCAGTTTTTTAAATAATTTTGGGAACAAGACACACCAAAAGGGAATGCTATCTCAATCTAGTTTCCAATAAGGCAAAGTAAGCTGCTTTTCCCTACGTTGTAACTGATTCATCTTATAATAATTAATAAAATATTTGCTAGTTGAGTATGCAATTTGTCTACACAATTGGTAAGAACTAATTTATGATCAATGGTCAGTTCCAAAAATTTAATGGTGTGTGTTTTGTGTAAAACATTATAAAATTGAGAGAGGATTTGAATGTCATCAACTTTGTCATATTGACATTGAAAGTCAAGTAATTGTTGTCACACCATTTTTTGATTGATTGTATACCACTACCAACTTTTGTCTTAATTTCATTTATATCTTTGTTTTGTCAAAGTGTTGTGGTATCGTCAGAAAAAACTACGAATTTACCATTCACGCTCGAGGTTAATAAATCGTTGATATAGACTAAGAATATTATTGGATCTAATACTGATCCTGAGGTCCCCCTGCGTTTGTATTTAATTTATTTGAAATATAATTAATGTCTTGATAATTTTACAATTTGGGATCGATTATTTGAATATGTGTTAAACCAATTGAGTGACGTTCCAGTACAACCTATTTCTTTTTGTCTACTGCGATCGACTTGATTCTCCCCTCCATGCACTTCACGCTTGATGAAGATACCATTCATATATCTTTCAGGGGTTTCCTGGTACTCAAATGAAAGTTGTAGCAAACGTTACCGCAGAAAGACAGATTGTCGACTTCATGCTAGTAGCATCAAGAGCTTGCCATAGATTGTTCGCCATTCCTGTCACAGCTAACATATTGGCTGGTAACAAAATTCTCAGGTTCTGCGTCCTTGCCAAGGAAGAGATCAATGTCAAAGAGTACGAAATAGAAGGGGATGCGTTGTATCATCGATTGATACCAATGTCAGATAGCAACAGGGATAGAATCTTCTACGCTTTGCCTTGTAAAGGCAGGACCATTCATATCTTAGAAACGAAAAGAGGGGTAAGTATACAATCGAGATTATAGGATTGGTATGAGTAATTTTGTAAAGAACAGAACTCAAGGCAGTGGGGCATCAATAATAATAATAGCATTTAGTGCCCAACAGTTACCCATTTACATGAACAAAATAAACTAACAGGTTGACAGAGTATTGAAAGTAAGTACTGATAAGCCATCCAAATAACTACACTAAGTGAATATATAAATATATCGCTATCACAGTTAACTCTATTGAGATATTTACTCATAACATGCACATATGAGTTGCCAAAACGTTAGTCCTTGCTCTAGATGGTTTCAAAGTGGCATAATTATGCGAAGAAAACGGAGGTACATTAATATTAATTTGCGCTAGAATTTTTCTTTTGAACTCCAAGCTCTGAATTTCAAATTACCCACACAGCTGTGCATTGCGAACTCCTGGCTCTAGATAAACTCGCTCAGACTTCCAATAAAGAAATTTAAGCAACCTTTATTGACCTTTTTCAATTTCGTTTATATAAATTTGGTAATACGGGCTTCATATGATCCTTGGGTATTCGACTATGCTACGCACATATGCAAAGCTCTTATGTTGTGAAATGAAATACATTTCCTGAAAAAAAACTTTTTGGGAAATATGGGGAGCAAATGTTAATCTTTGGTCATCAAGAACACTCAAATCCCTAATTGTATTACATCTATTCAACAACGCACCATCAATATTCTAGTTGAAAATATGAGTTTCTTACATACTATAACTAACAACCTTGCACTTCTTGGTATTTGGGGCCATCTCGTCAGTCGTTCCTACAATAATTGTATGACACCTTTCTGGCCTCCTTGATTTCCATAGTATTTTGTCTCCTTCAGGAAGGCTGTCGTATATCTAGGTTTAAAAGGCAGTAATAATCTAGGTTTATCAGCCTCAATTTTTTTAGAATTCAAAAAGTAAATATAACTTCAAAATAGAGAGCTGGTCCGAAACAGAAGAAATCCAGAAATACCCCTGCCTTTTTGAAGGATGTGGAAAACTATGAAAATCAAGAAGGCCTACAATTGTAGGAACGAGTGCCGATACGGCCCTTAGATGTAAATTATTGATATCGCACCAAGTTCGAATACTGTTCAACTCCATCTGTAAATCCAAACAATCATGAATATCCCTTATAGATGAATATATTTTCATATCCTCAGCAAAACATATGTAATTGAATACATTTCACAGAGGTCATTAATAAGCAATAGAAACAAAACGGGTGGCAAGTTAGGCCCCTGGGGACACCGGATGGAGCTGAGTAGGCTTCGGACTTGAGCCCATTGTATGCTACGCATTGCTGACGCCCTGATAAATAGTATCTAAAGAATTTTATAGTACTTACAATAGATCCAAAGTGTCCTAACAAAGCCCAATGTTCAATTTTGTCGAAGGCCTTTGAAAATCTGTATAAATGTGCTTCAAATATGTACTGAGTGAAAATAACAAAGTTCGTAACTGTGGATCGACTATTGACAAAAACGTGTTGCGGCTGTGAGATTTGGTTTCTTATTGAAGGGTAGAAGCGTCTATACAGGATTATTTCAAGGACCCTCGCAAAAATGCATGTAAGAGAATACTTTGGATAACTTCCACCTCGCAGGAAATGTATTAGATTTTATGCTCAAGTCAAATAGCACAGTAAGTATAGGTGTAAGAGCCCTAGCACAGTGCTCTACCAGAAACGAGGGAATTCCGTCAGGTCCCGAAGACATCTTATTCTAAAGTTCTTGAATGGCTAAAGCAACTCCACTTTTCTTAGTTCACATGTACTTCCGCACGCTTGGCAAATCTAGGCAAGCTATCACAAATTCAAACGTGTGGATAATGGTGTAACAATGTGACCTTGAATGATTAAAATTTTTGTTATCCTGCATGCCATCTGGATGTCGAGATAGTAAAAGTTACCATGTTCATATTAGTGTGGGTAAAACAGGAAGTATGTAATATATTTAGTCAGTAATAAAATGAAGGTCTGAGAAAATCATTAATCAAAATTAATAAACAACCTTTTTAATATACAGTGTTTTAAACGTATTTTACTTAAAATCTGAAAAGTCTATCAAGGTTCCCGGGTTCCGCGGTATAAACCAAAGAGCACTTCATTAAAGATACATTGACGCACTTGCAAACTTGTAGATGATTCTTTGATCTTAATCGAGCATTTACGACAAACAATAAACGCGTGGATCCAAAATTAGGATCGAACCCGTCTAATGTAAGGCAAAAATTGGTGCCGATTACTTTTTTGGTGTTACCAAGTTTTCCTTTATTTTGACAGGATCCAATGGCCAAATTAGCAGGCGACATCAAGACAGGTCACCAGCTGCGTAAATTCCAACTATCAATAAACCAACACCATGCTGTCACTTGGAGCTTTGATGGTTTTGTAATAGTTCGCACCGCAGATTTTGAAGATTGTATTGGATGGTGTATACCTCACCATCGATATGAGGGTGGAATTTTGAAGGTAGATATTCAGCAGCAGTGATGGGCGCATTGTGAAATACATCCTTTTATACACGTATACAATTGTAATTGCATACGCCTTGACAAAGTATATGTTACGGCTAAAACCCGAAATGCGATAACAACTAGGCTTAGCCGTGTAGAACTAGGTGTAGCCACTGGCAGTTGGTTAGTCTTAGGTGTAATCTATACATTCATGGCCAAACCTAGTATTATCCTGTTGCATTCGGTTAAAAATAGGTCCAACCAACTTGATCCCGGCTACATCTAGGTTTAGAAAATCCTTAGTGGTTAAAACTAGATGTAAGCGTCACAAAGAGATTCTGACAGGTAGCGCGGCAGCGGCCCGTCAACTTTCGTTCATTCGCTGTGGGCGGCGGGCGCTCTGCTTAGTATCAATCGTAACACCATATTAGATACACTATCTAAAACTGTAATGACTCATCGATGTTTTCGTGAAAATCACTCAAAAACCAGTAGTCGGGTTGTCAGTGACATTTTTAATGCGGGTAAACTTCATTTCTTTTATATGCTTAATAAACAAGGAAATGGTTTGAAATACGTTATAGATCAGAGATTTGGAGAAAACCTTTGTCAGCTTTTTTCCCGATTATCCATAAGCTAATAAGTGAGTCTACCTCTCTTCATTCGTCCTCACTTCCACTTCCATCTGAAAGTAACAAGCTGTCGCTATCGCTTTCTTCTCCAAGATTGACTATAACTGGCTCCATGTTGGTGTCGATGTTGCGGTCAAGCTACCACATTTTTGTTTCTCCCTTCACAACATGACGGAAAGTATTCTGTCACGCTTCAGGCGTTACTAGCTGTATGGAATTCTCTAGCAAAGCCTTGACGTCTGGTAATTTAAAAGTTGTGTTATGGCCCAGATGAGCTCTATTGGGTTCAAATCACAATGGTAGGGCGGCAAACGTATCACAGTGACACCACAATGACGGGTCATCTCATCAAACACGTAACTAATTTTCGAGAGACCTCATATTTGGTAGGTACACGTTCGGCTCGACGACTGTGGTGGAAGCATTGTCCATGACGACTACGTAGTTACCAATATGTGTAACGATCAATCTTTGACCTTACCCTGACTGTGCACGAATACCTGCTGACAAACCTTCAATCTTTGCTTGTCGGTTACTTTGTACAATTTTGTCTAGCCAGGTTTTTTAACTGTGTGACCTGCATTTACCCACGTCTCGTCCAAATAATATATTTTTCTGCTCTGTCGTCTATATTCAGTTATTGCGCGTAGGTATTTTCGACGCTACGCGACTATTTCAGGTTTATCTATCAATCCTGACTTCCAATTACCTAGCCTGACGTCTTTCGACTGCCGTTCCATCGCCCGGCTGCGGTCGTAATCTGATCACGCGTATGAATCATTACAGTTTTAGATAGTTACAGTATACTTGTAGATGTACATAATATGTATGGGTACGTATATTTGGAGTATCGAGTTCGCGCTCGCATTGTGATTTGAAATGGCAATATTCTAAGAATTAGAATTTATGAAATCAAGTTTTAACGGAGAGCTTGAGCTCATATTGACTTCGAAATAAGGCGATAATCGTTTTATGGGTAGTGAACATCAGTATTTGACGTATATCGAAGACATCAAAGCTACAAAAAAAGCCACGAAGCGTTCGACTTTATTATATTGCATTTTGAAGCGTTTTGATGTGTGTTGCATTGGTAACATCGATAAATTCATTGCTCCTTTATCCAACTGCGAAAATACCGATCACCTCAAATAATACGTCAAGAATTAAGACCTGTTCGATGTTCTTCATAAAACACACGTGAGCATTGGACACGGCGGCAGAAATAGGATGATTGGAGAAGCTAAGAACAAGTATTCAAACATCACTCAGGAGGCTGTTCCTGTTTATCTTCGTTTTTGTGAGTCATGTCAAATGAAACAAAATTCAATCAAAAAAGGTCTTGTCGTGAAACCCATTTCATCTAATGAGCTGAATAGGAGTTGCCAGGTAGATTTGATAGACATGCAATGAACGCCCGCGGAAATTTAAAGTTCATATTAGTTTACCAGGATCACCTGACGAAGTTCGTACAGCTACGCCCTTTGCAAAGTAAGACTTCCGACGAAGTATTAAAGGTACTGCTGGATAATATTTTGCATATTCGGACCACCATCTATATTGCAATCTGATAATAGTCGGAAGTTCGTTAACCGAGTTGTGAGAAATTTGACAGAAATATGGCCAGGTCTACAGATTGTGCAAGGCAAACCGCGCAATTGCCAGTCACAAGGTAGCGTAGAACGTGCCAATCAAGATGTCGAAAAAATGCTCATGTTGTGGATGACCGATGAAAATTGTCAAAAATAGTCTAGAGGACTAAGATTCGTTCAACTAATGAAAAATAGAGCATATCATCATGGAATTAAAAAATTGCCGTACCAATGTTTTGTTGTGATGTTAAAGTTGGCTTAAGGTCATTAGTTATGTCTCTCGACTTGTACAAAAAGAAACAGAAAATCCGGCAGTTTCTTTAGTATTACAGGCTAATAAAATGACAGATTCGTCAAATGAAAAGTTTCCTCCTTGCAAGGTAGGTAATGCCGTCCGTGTCAAAACTACTCGATAGAGGTAGATGATACTTTCCAAATGTTTTAATGGTGGAACTTGAATCTACTGAGGATGGTTTATATTAGTTTAACAAACAATTTGACACAGTGCTCTTATTTTTTTTCTCGGAATCAATTCAGCATGTGCAAATCAAAATCGTTCACCCGAAAACAAATCCCTGCGCCAAATACTTATTGTCCAATCTTCATCTGACGGACAAGGCTATAAACGATGCCACTGTAAAGCCAAGTGTGGAAGTAGAAAGTGTCTTTGTAAAGCTGCTGGTATTTTGTGTAACACTAAATGTCATTCAAGTTTAAGTTGTTCAAATAGCTAGATAACCCATCGTCCCAGTGTTTTTCGTATCATTGTATATGTATTGTTTAGATTGTATACTCATTGTATACATTGTCTCCGCATCAAGTATACGTGGAAACGCCCATCACTGTTCAGCAGTGAGAAGTACCGGGTCTGTCTACCGAATGCCTTTTTTTTTCAGGCATATGTGGACCCGCTAGAGACATACGTTATCACACTTGGTAGGAGTAATGTGATGGCGTGTACAAAATTGACAGATGAACCTCCCGATGAAGATCGAAGAGCTGAATTGGAAGAACTAATGAAATCGCAAAGATATCAGCTAATGTTCAAAAGAATGACTTTAGGATTCTTGCCCGATGGTAGATAAGATCTTACATCGTCTATTCCACTAGAACATATTTCTAGACTTTTATTTTTCACGCCAATAGGGAGTATGCACAGTTTACAGAAAGATATCTCCAACCTTATCTTATACTTTAGCGCCATAAAATTACGAGTACTAATTAATAAGGAATTGAAAAAAAATCGAAGTAAATTTAAAATATCGAAACGCAGCGTCACTGGCGTACCATCACCATTTGCGACTTGTGACCAGCCAACCCTTTGTTAGTTGGTCAGTCCTATTTAATATGTCAGGCGTTTGTTCTCACTATCATTGATTGTCAACCTGTCAGTTTGATGGTCCAGTTTTTCAATGTAATTTGTAGTAATAAACATACAAATACTTTTTTAATCATATGATATGTCAGAAACTCGACAGCAACCTAATCAAAAATACAACCAGATGACAAATCATGAGTTGTGACGTCACTGCGAGGCGCGCCAAAAATGTGACGTTTAAATCAACGTTATTGGCTTTGCAGATTTAAATACTTAATTAAAAATCCATACAGATATTTCCATCGCTGAAATATGCATTCACTGTATTATATTAACATAAATAATCTACAGAAAATACAACAACAAAATCATCATGCATTGTTGATGAATTGTAACTCCAAAAAGAGTTTTTTTTAGATGACATATAACGAAAAACCATGTCACTAATGTTCGGCGGTCTGTCTGTCCATCTAAATAACTTTAAACTGTTGATTCCTTTGAAAACATCATGAAGGCACATGCAAGTTTTCAGACCATTATAAATTATTAAATCTTTCACAAGTTTTGATTCAGATGGTACTAATTTAAGATCTTAACTTCGTGTAATATCGTAACTTATATGCAATGTTTCAAAGTTATACTTATTTTTGGAAATAAGAGTTGCTGTTTCTAAAATGAACAACGATAATATTAAAACCATTATTTTAAAATAAACGCCTGCATGTAGCTGCAAGATTGCTTTCAATTATATATCTAACAGATCGTTTCTGGAGTATAAGTACATTTTCAATAATTTTGAGAACAGATACGCCAAAAGGGAATGTTTTATCTTAAACTACTTTCATATAAGCCCTGGAGTTGTCCAAATTAGAGCTGACCTATTTCACTTATATCAAGTTTAGCTAAAGTTTTTGAGGAATTACTCCTTAATAAAATGATTAATTTTCTTAATAAATTCAAAATTCTAAATTCAAATCAATATGGTTTTATAGCGGGCAAATCTACAACAGATGGGGTATTAAGTATAGTAGATGAAATAACCCAAAATATAGATGGAAAAGTACCATCGATATGCGTATTTGTGGACTTACAAAAAGCGTTTGACACAGTTAACCACAATATACTTTTGGAAATCTTAGAAAGAATAGGTTTTCGTGGAAAGATGTATACTTTAATAGAAAATTATTTATCAAATAGACCGCAATCAGTAAAATTATTAAACACGTATAGTAAAGAAATGTTTGTTAAATGTGGTGTTCCACAAGGTACAATTTTGGGTCCTCTGTTATTCAATATTTATTTAAACGATATATTCAAAATTAACAGTACTGGTAAAATAGTCAGTTTTGCAGACGATACTGCTATACTCTATAAAGGTAAGGCTTGGAACGACTTAAATGACTTTTGCAAAATTATTCAGTGGTTTAATAACCGAAAATTAGCAATTAACTTTACTAAAACTCATGTTTTACCATTTTCATCACTATCTAATCATCTACCAAAATATAACCACCTTCGGTTTAAGGTAAATGATAAAAATATAAAAATCGATAGAGTTAATGATACAAAATATTTAGGAATTTATCTAGATCCCCACTTGAGATGAGATGTACATATTTCTCACATACTAAAGAAAATTAGATTCATAGCATATAAAATAAAATTTCTAACTGGTATATTAACTGAATATTATCTACGAATAATATATCAAGCTTTAGTCGAGCCACACATAACATATGGTATAGTAGTGTGGGGTGCTGCATGCACGACATACTTTAACGATTTAGATGTACTTCAAAGAAGAATTTTAAAATCAATGTTAGGCAAATCAAAATTATACCCAACTAATGACTTATATAATGATGCACAAATATATGATACTAAACAACTTTACTTCTTACATACCATCACTCATTATCACAAAACTATTAGTGAACACGACATAATTAAACATAATCATAAAACCAGATATAAATTACGCGCAAAAAATGTTCCTAAACCAAACAAATCTCTAATGAAACGATGTCACCTGTATATAGCTCCAAAATTGTACGAACATTTACCAAATAATTTAAAACAATTACGCAATACATTAGGCTTCAAAAAAAAAATTAAAAAAATTTATTAACACGATTGGGAGAAATCAAATTAATAAAATAATCTCAAATATTACACAATAAATGCTCTACCATTCTTACCAATAATTTCTTTTTTCTCTCTATTTTATTATATTTTGCAATTCAACATACATATGATCCATGCACAGGCGTTGTCCTCCTATGGATATATTATATTTATTTACTCGTTTCATGTTCCCTGTATTTTAGAGTAAATAAATATTATTATTATTATTATAGTATAATGAAAAGTAACTGCTTAAGGCTGTGCTTTGTCTTACCTTGTAACTTCATTCTTATAATATCGGAAACCTTTGCCAATTGAGTAATATGCTCTACATGATTGGTAAAATCCAATTTGTGATCAATGGATTTTCCAAAAATTTAATGCTGTCCGTTTTATGTATTAAGTTACAATTTAAATTTATTTAGTCAAATCAGCGTTGATTGTGTCTTATTTTCATTAAAAGGTAAGTAATTGTTATCGCACCATTTTTCGATTGACTAAGAAAAGAATCGGACTCTGTACTGATGCTTGAGGTGCACCTGCATTATTATTTCATTTGCTTGAAATATCATCTCTTGATAATATTACAATTTGGAATCGATTGTTCAAATATGTAAAATTAATAATATAATAGTCATCCTAATTGACGCCATTTTTCCTCTTCCGGAAGCCATCCAACCAATAGTTTAGGGTACCCAATCTAGCAGTATTAAATTTAGTACTACTCGTCTTTTCATTGCCTGAATATTCTTGTGTTCCGTCTTGCTTCTTATATTTCATTTCATTCCAAACCTTGAATGGTCTAGTAGAGTAGATAATAACTGTTTTAATTAATCGTCTAAATGTTGGCAGGTCGTTTCGAGGGTAAATCCTGGATTGAAGTCGAAGAAATACTGAGAATCGAAAAAGAAAAACAACTATGTAGAGTTGAAAGAAAACGCATCATGGACGAATTCCTCAGCATAAAAAGAACTCTTAACGACCTCGTAACTCAAAACCTAGAAGGGCCTGAGAACGAACGAATCGACCTGCACGAATTCTATCTAGACACCAGTACGTACGTCCAAAAACGAAATAAAAATATAGAAGATTGCAGATATATGGATCGTTACCTGAAAGCATTAATTGTTGCACAAGATAAGGTTTCTGATCATATCATAAAGACCTATTGGGAACCAATGGACGTCAAAGGAAGGCTTCTCAAGGGCATTTTTGTGAACACTATGTGCAATCTCTATGTGCTGCTGCCTCCTGATCAAGAAAGTCTTAAAAGGCTAGCTTGGATTGAGGAACTTCGTAAAATTGAAAAGATTTTAGCAACACATGATCTGTTTGAGCCATGGTTGTCTATGACAAAAGAGTAAGTACATTTTAGAAATTTAGATCAACCGAATGTTCGCTTTTCATGTGGATGAAACGGTACTTTCTTTGCTACATGCTATTACACCGACAAGTTCTCAGAATTCTTATCAAAGTTTTGGCTTATTTACAAAAAAAATGGTATAATGTATAGCTGTAATCATCATTCTTGACGGTTACGTCACCAACGCCATATGAAATAACTTCTATAGCACATCTGCTACTTTCTCCAGTACGCATGAAGTGGGGTAACAGGGGACCGCTGTTTTCATTCTCTATACTCTAATGAATTTAGCACGAGCTGTCGGCCTTCTCCATTGATCGGATTTCCGGGCATTATACAATTTTATATTGAAGATTGATAACAGGACAACTCAAATTGCACGCCGATGTCAAGTAAGTTGTCACTCTGACAAATACGATTGAAGGGCACTCATACGTAACGACAAAGTTTTTGAGACGCAGACGCATAACTCAAAAACGTATGTCTTTGAGCTGACCGAACAAACGTTTACAAACAGGGGTAGGTTGCATGTGTATGTATGAGGGAGATGGAGATATATAAAGGGATGCAGGTAGTCTTACTTTGACCTGCCAAGAACGGAAGCTATAATCACAATACATAGAATAAAAATGTCTATGGACCAGGATGTTCATAGTCCGGAGCATTCAAATAAAAGGAACATTTTGAATAGAAAAATAAGTGAAAAGTGAGTAGCCCACAAACTTTCCTCAGGTCATGTCATCGATATTAATTAATAAATAAAAGACAAAATATATTTTTAAAAACAAGATTGTATTTTGCTGTTAATAAAACGATAAAGATTTCAAATTATTTTTCCGATTCGAAATAATTAAGCTATAATGAAGCTTTTACATCTTATATTTTCAGATAAAAACGTAATACACTCTTTTGTCTATCTTGTTGTTAAAGCATGACATGCTTTTATTTGAAAATTTAAGATGAGGAGGCATAAATATTTCCAATCGGGAAAAATATTTTCAAATTTTTAGTCTGTTTTAACACCTGAAAAAATGCTTGTTTTTAAAATTAAAAATGTATATTTTTATTATATTTTACTTCTTAGCATTTATGATGTCAAATAACTATTATAGTAATTCATATATCATTTATATATATATATATATATATATATATATATAAAAAAAAGGAAAATAATGGGCAAAATCCGCAAAAAGGAGGAAAGTGGATTCAAGCAGAAAATAGGATAGGTAACCCGAGCGATACGTATTTCTGCTGGTTGGCTTCATCAGGCCCGAAATGAATGCACATATGCAACTACAAAAGTAGATACGCATGCTCATACATCCGGATACGGGTGTAACCTGAGGAAACAAAGATGGAGAGGGAGAAAAAATCACACACGAAGTCCACAACAAGAGCCAACCTACACATTGTAGTACAAAATGGTTAGAAGACCTAGAATTTTCAAGGCGACATCTAACCACAACCACGCGGCCGGTTATAGCCACTTGCTGTGGTACTTCAAGCCCAAAGGATCTACAAAGAGAAAATGATCATGCGGAGAAAGGTATATAACAAAAAGAAGGAAAATAATGGGCAAAATCCGCAAAAAGGAGGAAAGTGGATTCAAGCAGAAAATAGGATAGGTAACCCGAGCGATACGTATTTCTGCTGGTTGGCTTCATCAGGCCCGAAATGAATGCACATATGCAACTACAAAAGTAGATACGCATGCTCATACATCCGGATACGGGTGTAACCTGAGGAAACAAAGATGGAGAGGGAGAAAAAATCACACACGAAGTCCACAACAAGAGCCAACCTACACATTGTAGTACAAAATGGTTAGAAGACCTAGAATTTTCAAGGCGACATCTAACCACAACCACGCGGCCGGTTATAGCCACTTGCTGTGGTACTTCAAGCCCAAAGGATCTACAAAGAGAAAATGATCATGCGGAGAAAGGTATATAACAAAAAGAAGGAAAATAATGGGCAAAATCCGCAAAAAGGAGGAAAGTGGATTCAAGCAGAAAATAGGATAGGTAACCCGAGCGATACGTATTTCTGCTGGTTGGCTTCATCAGGCCCGAAATGAATGCACATATGCAACTACAAAAGTAGATACGCATGCTCATACATCCGGATACGGGTGTAACCTGAGGAAACAAAGATGGAGAGGGAGAAAAAATCACACACGAAGTCCACAACAAGAGCCAACCTACACATTGTAGTACAAAATGGTTAGAAGACCTAGAATTTTCAAGGCGACATCTAACCACAACCACGCGGCCGGTTATAGCCACTTGCTGTGGTACTTCAAGCCCAAAGGATCTACAAAGAGAAAATGATCATGCGGAGAAAGGTATATAACAAAAAGAAGGAAAATAATGGGCAAAATCCGCAAAAAGGAGGAAAGTGGATTCAAGCAGAAAATAGGATAGGTAACCCGAGCGATACGTATTTCTGCTGGTTGGCTTCATCAGGCCCGAAATGAATGCACATATGCAACTACAAAAGTAGATACGCATGCTCATACATCCGGATACGGGTGTAACCTGAGGAAACAAAGATGGAGAGGGAGAAAAAATCACACACGAAGTCCACAACAAGAGCCAACCTACACATTGTAGTACAAAATGGTTAGAAGACCTAGAATTTTCAAGGCGACATCTAACCACAACCACGCGGCCGGTTATAGCCACTTGCTGTGGTACTTCAAGCCCAAAGGATCTACAAAGAGAAAATGATCATGCGGAGAAAGGTATATAACAAAAAGAAGGAAAATAATGGGCAAAATCCGCAAAAAGGAGGAAAGTGGATTCAAGCAGAAAATAGGATAGGTAACCCGAGCGATACGTATTTCTGCTGGTTGGCTTCATCAGGCCCGAAATGAATGCACATATGCAACTACAAAAGTAGATACGCATGCTCATACATCCGGATACGGGTGTAACCTGAGGAAACAAAGATGGAGAGGGAGAAAAAATCACACACGAAGTCCACAACAAGAGCCAACCTACACATTGTAGTACAAATTATTTTGTACTACAATGTGTAGGTTGGCTCTTGTTGTGGACTTCGTGTGTGATTTTTTCTCCCTCTCCATCTTTGTTTCCTCAGGTTACACCCGTATCCGGATGTATGAGCATGCGTATCTACTTTTGTAGTTGCATATGTGCATTCATTTCGGGCCTGATGAAGCCAACCAGCAGAAATACGTATCGCTCGGGTTACCTATCCTATTTTCTGCTTGAATCCACTTTCCTCCTTTTTGCGGATTTTGCCCATTATTTTCCTTCTTTTTGTTATATACCTTTCTCCGCATGATCATTTTCTCTTTGTAGATCCTTTGGGCTTGAAGTACCACAGCAAGTGGCTATAACCGGCCGCGTGGTTGTGGTTAGATGTCGCCTTGAAAATTCTAGGTCTTCTAACCATTTTGTACTACAATGTGTAGGTTGGCTCTTGTTGTGGACTTCGTGTGTGATTTTTCTCCCTCTCCATCTTTGTTTCCTCAGGTTACACCCGTATCCGGATGTATGAGCATGCGTATCTACTTTTGTAGTTGCATATGTGCATTCATTTCGGGCCTGATGAAGCCAACCAGCAGAAATACGTATCGCTCGGGTTACCTATCCTATTTTCTGCTTGAATCCACTTTCCTCCTTTTTGCGGATTTTGCCCATTATTTTCCTTCTTTTTGTTATATACCTTTCTCCGCATGATCATTTTCTCTTTATATATATATATATATATATATATATATATATATATATATATTGCATTAATAGTAATTCATTAAATGTCCTACTCTATTTGTATTATAGAATGTCGATAGACATAAGTCATATAATGATAAATGAATGACGTTATTTTGCTTCTTGTGTTACTCTCATCAAGCCCTTCCATTTGATGCCTATAGTATAGGGGTGACTATGGAAATTATAAATCGCCATTTTGCGGCAGCTGCCATATAGGATTTATAATGACGTCTTGTTGCTTACTGTGTCTTTCATAGAGCCCTTTAATTTGATGCCTATAAAGTATAAACGCCATCTTGGGGCGGTCGCCATATTGGATTAAGAATGACGTCAATTTGTTTATTGTGTTTCTCTCTTCAAGCCCTTTTATTGGATACCCTGTCACTGTGTGTTGTCAGGCGAACCAAAAGTGTATACAAAATTTCAGCTCAATTGATTAAGGTAGACTGCTTCAAACTTCAGCTTCAAGATTTGTCTCACACAAACATACTAGCAAAGAGGTCATGCTAAATAAAAGCTTGTAAAATGTACCATTGAGAAGCATCACCAGAATCTTTTCAAGCGCTAACCATAAACTAACATTAAATCAAGTTCGTTACTGCCCTAGAAATGTGGTTTCCGATACACAATTCAAAAACAAACAGCTCGATTTACCTAAATGGCTCGAAGTACCTGGAATGGATACTGGCGCATCTTTCCACCAACCCTCCAGTATAGGGTTTATATATCGCTATTTTTGGATATCTCTGATATCTAATATCGTTACTATTTGATATCAGTGATTTAAAACCGGGAATTTTTCTCAGTCAGCGGGGGTCGATCATCCGCAACACATAACTTTCTGTAAAAGTGTACCTATCCTCAAAACTTTTTTAAGAGCGAGTGGTAGCTTTACGATGTGGGGGGAGTACTGTGAATGCGAAAATTTTAGAAATTCAGATAAATGTTTTCGTTTTGCGATATCTATAAATCCATGTGTGGGTAATCTTACTTCATTTTGGAAAATCATTTGAATGGTAGCGGTGTTATGGGTATAAATTAAAGTAGCTTTCAGATCGTCACAGTTCATTTATGTATGCTTTACCAGTTTCTAGACAATTTTAAAGGTAATCAAACATCATTTTGCAGAGGCTTTCATCTGAATGCTTGAGGTTATGACATAAAAACATTATCGAGCTCAAACATTCTGCTTCTTTAGCAATGCTTATCTTAACTCATGGAAATTTTGAAAATATACACAGAGGTGAATGCTTGGGAAGTACCGAGTCAATCTAATTTTTTCTGAAAAACTTTCCATAACGGAAACCGATTTTAGTGTTTCACAATGTTCAGCCTCTGAAGACAGTACCACGCTTGATGAAGTTGCCTCATAGAAGTCCTAAGATATTGTATTAACTTTTAAAAATCTAGGGGCCTCATATCATTGATACGGCTGATACGATGGTAGCTACGCCCCTGAGGCTGTGTAAAGGAAATACCCAACTTTAAGTACGCCCTGTATGATACTTGCACTCGAAATAAAACTCGAATCGAATCATATCGCAACTTTCTTTGACATCGAAAAAAATATTCTCAAAATTCAACCCGCATTTTAGTGGATTGGATGAAGACATGGGAACGCAAATCAAACTACCTCACGATTACGCGAGACTCACCGGAGATGAATACTTGGAGGAAAGCGGGTTCGCTCAACTGCCAATTGATACCCAAGTAGCAGTACTTGGAACAGTCTGCATGTTATATGTAGATAGAAGTTCAGCGCATTACAGACAGGGGTTCGCCACTACGTTCTATCAGTTTGATCTGCAAGAAAGGCTTTGTGAGGTAATGTTATCATAAAAATAGTTATTTTTCTAACCCGACTTGAGTTGGCTGAACGACGCGGAGTGGAATTCGGCCAGCAGTCAAGAGTTAAGAACATGCATGTAACAAGGAAACCAACAATATATTGTAAAAATTTAATTAGCCTTCAGAATGAGACAGCTGACAATGACATATTGAAAACAATGATTAAATTTTACACCCGGTTACATTTTTACTTTTCCACACACGGCGTGCAGAAAAGTGGCACTTTCAGCACGCTGGTAGAAAATTTAATTTCTTGCATTTATTTTTTGTTCAAATGACGTGATATGACTTCTGTCATAGATGTGTCAAATTATAGGTGGATTTGGTTTTTGTGCGAGTGGGAGTAACAGATGCAAGACCGAATCAACCCGGGCACTGTTTCATAAAAATACTAGACTAGTGAATTACAAGTTACAAGTATCAGCACTTTTAAATTTGGTCAAATGCCATGAAATTATAAGTAGATATCTAAACTAAAAATATTGAATAATGATATTAAACAGAGTTCGAATTTAAAAATGTTTAAGGTGAAACAAAAAAATCACTTTATAAATAATCAAAATACATAGTGACGTAATTTTAATTTTAATTTTTAATTTTTAATTTTTAAAGACAAAAATGTAAAATTACAGAAAATGGATTGAAGAAAAAAATGTAACCGAATCATTATACAGCATTGACATTGTAGCATTAATGCTAAATAAATCTTCAACAACAAAAACAACAATCCAACATTCGTCGACATTCAAAACGCATTTGGCACTATAGAACACGAGAAACTATTGAGTAAATTAGGACCCATTGGAGTCAGAGGTACACCACTTAAATTATGTCAAAATTATTTGCATAACAATAATAAGGTTAAAATAGAAAATACAACTAGCGAAGAAATGACTGTACTGTATGTAGCTCCACAAGAAATAATACTTGCGCCTCTTCTTGTCTATATATATCTCAACGGCTTGAATAATCTATTAACAAACAGCGAAGAAATAGGATTTGCAGATGACACCACCAACATCGACAAAGCCAGAACTTGACAACAGTAAAAGAAGAAATTGAGAAAGATTTAGTACAGATAACAGACTGGTTCTATAATCATATATTATTTATTAAAAAAATCATTTTCATAAATATAAAGAAAACAAATCTCCAAAATGCATATATATCATATAAACTAAATCATAAGTATCTCACAATTATTTTATGATCCCATCTTCGTTGGGATCAACATATCCAATATATTAAGAAGAAACTTAGATTTCTGTCACATAAGTTCAGGTATCACAGACAAATTTTCAATGAAACGCAATTAAAAATTTAATATCAAACATCAGTTGAATGCCACATAACCTATGAAATTATTATCTAGGGATCCACGAATAACAACCATCTAAATTCTTTACAAATAATACAAAAATTATTAAGAGAAACAATACTTAACTAACCTTTATCATATCCCTCCAAATAGCTGTTTATAAAATCAAACCTTTTGAATATGAAAAAATTATTTTGATATATTAGAATTCCATAAAAACAAACATTCGACATTTATAAAAATTATGAATACAAAAAATAAACAAATAATCATTGCAACACCAAAAAAGGAAATAATGTTGAAATCATTTATATACTTTAACATATAAATATCTTTTCCGCATTACCAACCTATGATACAAAATTAATGTACTACATATTTATATTATATAGATTTTTAATTTTCTTTATCAATCAATTTATTGTAACTACCGTGTCATATGTTATATGTGTTAGAATAATATCCACACACAAGTATATTTTCCTTTCGTGTCATATCAATTTATTCATAAATATATATTATTAAAATTAGAAATGCAGCTCTGTTAAAATAACATTTCGTAAAAAAGCATATGCATATGTATAGAAAAATCTTAGAAAAACAAGATTGGCTTTACACATGCTTTTTGGCTTAATTTAGAACAACTTTCTCATCGCCCGATAAAAGAATATTATGGTTTTGAAGAAGGTATTGAGACTACTCCCATAAAAAATTACCCACCGAGAAATCATAATTTCTACAGTTCAAATGATATAGGAAGAAAAGCCACTCAAAAATGAGAAAATATCAGAATTAAAAAAAGTAAAGACGAATCTCTAAATAGAATAATTTAGCATCTGAAACTTATCCTGTGGTTTACATGTCGATAATGCACCATGCTTGTCTGGCCAATAAAACAGCATGTGTTGGCAGAATCTTCTTTACTGTAAAAGTTTCAATCACAAATGTGATCTCCTTCAGTACAATATATATATATATATATATATATATATTTAAAAGTACTGAAAACTGCTTAGAATCAGCTGTACTTGTGCAGAGTCATATTTGATGATGATATGACGTATCGATGTTACCATTCGTTGAATTCGAATTCGAAACTAAAAATAGTACAACAAAAAATCAGCACCTTTCAAACATCTTTTGATCTTTTCTATAGGTAATGTTACTGTCACCTCTTGTACCAAGAAGCCCGTTTCTTTTTTACCAAACTAGAATCACTTGTAGCAAATGTATTAGATATAACAAGAAAAACCATACCGACTTATTAACTTGCGAATATGCAGACAGTTCTACTGCCGCACATTCATACAGTATGCCCCAAAGAAGGTTTGGTATCTTAAGGAAACTGTTTTTTATGGAAGTGAATCTCCAGAAATGCTGACTCCATTTTTCAAATATTACTTCTACTATATTTTACATAACGGTCTGTCGGTCTGCCTGTCGATCTGCCGGTCGGTCTGTCATTCTGTCTGTGCGCTAATCCTTGACCCGTGCATAACTTGGTAAGTACCGGCCGGACTTTGATGAAATTTTCACTCAAGGTTGCTACTATGTCAAGAACGAAAATCTTTGTAGTTTTTGGAAATGGATCCAGTGGCGGTAGAAAAAACGCAAAAAACAAAAATATAAGAATCGCTCAAACTTCGTTACTTTGACGTTTCAGAGGACTGTGATCATTTCTAAAATTTCTAGGAGTAAGCGATTGGGGATTGGCAGGCTGTAGGCGGTGAGAGACAGTTACCTATCTCAATTTCTATGATGTTACGGGTAGCAGGTTACTATGCTCTTAACCTCTTTTTATTTAATTCGGCAGTCCCAAATCTTCTCAAGGACAACCTGTATAATTTGAACTTCAATGTGAAATATATGTTTTAGCAAGAAATAGTTAAGCTCAAGCAAAAATACAACGCAAGCTTCAACGCAACAATGGAGTTGAAAGAGAAAGAAATGGACAATATACGAGAAAAACATGCTCGGCTTAGACACATTATATCAGAATACAACTATTTTTCTAAAGATAAAATTTATTTGGATATCGTGGACCCACAATGGAGTCAGCATGAGAAGCCTTGGCAGATTATGCAGGTAAGGTTTGCAAATTTTTGATTTTAGGCTCTACGCCTCAAAATGAGGTATACAGAGTGACTTCGAAGTTGAGTCATTTATTTTAACAGTGAGTAGATCTGATCAAAAGCAATGTTTCTTTCCTTTACCATTTTTCTGGTAAAATTAAAGTAACAAAGTTATAGCCCTTTGGAAGTTTGAGTACCGCCCTGTCTCAATAATAATATTATGTGCTCGTGTTTGGCGACAACGGATATAATTCGCCTTATCGGTTCATCGCATCGGAAACAAAAAAGCGAAAGAATTTGGAACGATGTTTTTACAATTATTTCATTCAGTTGTATACAGTCAGTGTCAGTCGGTAGTGGATAGTGGTGTCTGTTGCGTGGCTCAAACGAAATAAAAAATGGCACATGTTTATGCGGATCGGTTTCCCAATCGAGTGCAACCAACCCCTCGTGCCTTTGTTAATGTAGTACAACGGGTTCGTGAATCATTTGACTTAAGACCTCACATATGGACGGCATGCCGGTGCTCCAAGACCTCACGATCAAATACAGGTCCGCACTGAAATACTTGTCGGGAGGATACTTTATACATATAAAACAAGGTAATTTTTTTTTAATTTTTTTTTATTTTTACACACATATTTTGGTTTATCTTCCTTCTACAATCATTATCTGAAAATTAATGACTCAACTTCAAAGTCACCCTATATATATATATATATATATATTTTGTATCCAACTAGTCGTTGGCTTTGGAAATGACTACTGCTTACATATATATATATATATATATATATATATATATATATATATATATATATGTAAGCATATGTAAAATAACAGACTTTATTGCAGGAACGAAGAGTGGTTACAAGTATTGAACAAAATCTGTCTGTGCCTCGATATAATTCTAATCTTTATAGGAAAAATAACAGAGCTGTATCGAAAAAAAGAAGTAAAAAGCAAATATTTCTTAATGGGCTTGCTTGTCATACAATTCAATTTGTTGGAATAATGGGCTTGTACCACATAGCTATGTTACCAACAGAATTCCATAACTTATATATATATATATATATACAGTGCTTTTCTTTAATGTCCCCATCCCCTTTGATTTTTTGAACGGATCAAAATTGAGGTAATGAAATTGATGCGTGGATACCATATTTTAGCAAAAAATTGACAGATGAAAATATCAAGATGGCCGCCGGGCGCCATCTTAGAAAAAAAGTTATATGAAAACAGGGGTCTTGTGGCATATCATTTTGAAGCTCCTGACGAGTACTTTATAACCCTAGAATATAAAGTCAATACCTTTATCTACTACAAAATGATGGTACATTCAATAATTACTTGAACACATTGATATTTAACTTGATAATTCGAATAAATACGTTTAGTTCAGTTTAGAAGATGCTGGAAATGGTTGCCTAGAACTTCTTGACACAACAACAGCCGTCCGTAATTTCGCGTCGAACATTTCCAAACAAAGAAACATCGATATTTCTACAAGTATTTGTTATTCTCAGCCGTATATCCAATATTGAAGCAGGTTCAGTTTCGTACACCTTTTACTTCAAAAAGCCCCATAAAAAAGTCCAAAGGTGTCAAATCTGGCGAGCGAGCTGGCCATTCCACAGGACCTCGACGGCCAATCCAACGACCGGGGAAATTGTTATTTAAATAATTCCTAACTTGTCTGTAGTAGTGTAGTGGAGCACAATCTTGCTGGAATACAATATCAGTATCGAATTCATTAGGATTCGCTTCGATGATTTCGGTGATTAGAGGGTCAATAGTATTTTCCAGCATATCCAAATACAGTTCCCCGGTTAAAGTTTGTTCGAAGAATACACGCCCCACAATATAATTTCCCAATATCCCAGCCCAAACGTTAACTTTTTGTGGATATTGAGTATGAGTTTCCCGGAGGACGTGGGGATTGGTGTCACTCCAATAACGACAATTTTCTCTATGCACATTACTGTTGAGAAAAAATGTACATTCATCACTAAAACAATATATTTTGGATATAGGAAGGATGCCGTGCAATGGTTTCCGTCATAGCCTCGCAGAATTCTGTTCTTCGATCAGGGTCATCTTCAGTTAGCTGATGTACCTCACATACATTCGCGATGGAGGAAGTAGACTGACCAATTATTACCTGGGGGTTTTCTGTTGTTTACACTACCAGTAGCTGTAAATTAACATACAAGTTCCCTTAAATATTTTCTACAGATAGGACGAGTCGGGAAACGATCATCAAAAATCCTTTCGGTCTCGTGAAAGTTACGCGTCGCACCATAAGTAAAAATCTCTTCAATTTTTTCTCCCAATGGACGAGTATTGACCATTTTAAAAATAGTTCAAACAGTATCTAGCACTAAAACCGAAAACTAAATAAGAATATTTTAACTGTATAATAATTGTTTTTCGTACTTATATTCTTGTCGCTGTCAACAAAAAATAATAAAACAAGTTTCTATCGCTGTTGCTGTGGATACGGCAGGGAATTACAATTATTTGTAGAGATATGCATGTTAGTGGGTTTGTGTTCACGTAATTATTAAATGTACCACCATTTTGTAGTAGGTAAAGGTATTGTCTTTAAATTCTAGGTTTATAAAGTACTCGTCAGGATCTTCAAAATGATGTGCCACAAGACCCCCGTTTTCATATAATTTTTTTCCAAGATGACACCCAGTGGCCATCTTAATATTTTCATCTGTCAATTTTACTCTAAGATATGGTATCCACGCATCAATTTCATTACCTCAAGTTTTAATATTTTGAATTGATCCGATCAAAAAATCAAAGAGGAGGGGGTACATTAAAGAAAAGCACTGTATATACATAAATTGGACACAGACAAAACAAAAGCTATTAGGCCTTCGTGGTGGTTCAAGTAGAAAAAAATTGATTTTATTCACTCAGCCAAGATGATTGCGAATTCAATCTTTAGTTTTTTGACTTAAGCAACAGCGGGGTTAATAGTGATTCTGCCATATCCAAAATTATACTTAGCTGTAATGTCGCTGCGCCTATTGTTTGATACTGTACATATCGAATGAATCTACAACATTCAACCATTTTGTAAAATTTGACAGGTTCTAGACGAGGAGTTGACTATCACTCCTTACATTAGCCCTTCTGAGCAAGCTATTTTGGACACAAAAGCCGCTGAGGATGAACGCATTCGCTTAGCCATGTTAGCGGACGATTTCAGAGAAAGAGCACTTATGAAGATGATGAATGGGGTACTGGAGGTGAAATGGGAGGATGAACTGAAGAAAGACGTGCCCAAACCTAAATGTATGGTAGGTAGTGTCTTCTGATGATTATAATTCGGACACGTGAGTTCCCGTGCTTCATCACTGTTTTTTAATCAAACTCTCGTTTGGGTATATCTTATATGACACATGTAAAACGTGTTCCAATAAGTATTTCGGAATTTAAAAGACCCGGTAGAAAACATATAGAAAATTGATCGATTTGAATGTTCTATTGTTTGGAGCCACATAGTTTTATTGTATTTGCCCATATCATTTCAATGGGATTTAATTCGCAGTGATAAGGGGGTCAGTCTAGATTATATTTATATTTGTGCTGCCTGACTAGATGGATAAGCTCTGCTTTGACCATATTTTCATTGAAATTAACGGCTTTTGCCATTATTGAATTTCTGCCTTTCTTGAGGACATTGTGGAAATTTTTTCTAATTTTTTAGTGTGGTATGCACCATTATCAAGTACAATGCCGGCATTGTCGTCAAGCTTTGGGAGCGTTTCTTCAAACCATCATTCAAATGAACTCCCGTCCATTTCTTCATGGTAGTCGGTCGTTTTCTTTGACTCAAATATCCATAGGACAATGGGCACAAAGCCATCTTTACTGCCAATGTGGCAAATAAAAAATCGATTTCCTTTTCCTGGAAATAATTATTTCATATAGTATTCAAGAGAAATAATAAATACAAGCAGAGTACCTAACAGATGTTGGTTCCAAATCTACCAGATATAGCAAAGTTTAGTGTAGCTAAGTTTTCAGCGTGGGCTCATAGATTCAGTCTACTTGACACCATTTTTACAATACAAATGACGAATTGGTTAGATACACCTATCTGACGGATCTAAGAAGGCTTGTCTTGCTGATTAAATTGTAGAGTCAGCCCATACTTTAGGTTTTGTATGTCCTGCATTTATCCAGATTTCATCTTTTTTTCATTTTATCTTCCTACCCTGGTCGCGGTATTTCTTTATTGATTTTAAATAATTTCTTCATAAAATAATCTCTTGGCTGTCCATCAACATATTATTTCTGCCCCGTTATCTATACTCAAAATGAAGTTCTTTGAGTAAACTATACAATGTGGTCCTTTTGAAAGTCGGTAAGTCTTTATCACTATTAACCTCCTCTAATACTTTGTCTATAGTGGGAAGTTCCTGCCTTTAAGAAAATTTGCGTCTTATGGCATTCCGATCAAAGTTTTTTTTATTCTTCAACAATGCTGAAAATTGTCTTAGGACATAAACTTCTTTGGTTCGCCACACGTCTTTCAATATCATGCATTGTCATTTCAGGATGCTCCAAAATTTCGCTCTTATAAACCTTATTTAATATTTTTTTTTGCCTGAATATTCAAATGTGTCTTCTTGTCACGTTTTCGGGGAGGAAACATTCCTGAAGAGGAAGCATGGCTGAAGGAAACATTTGGAGAAATATTATCAGTTTCATCTGCTGTATCCGTAGACGACATGCTAACCTATAAACACACGCTATGTATGCACCGAATATGAACAGCAACTATTTTACCTGCGTCGGCGTGCCGGCTATACCCAGAGCCTGAGTTCTATCCTGTCGAATCCTGCACTTGTTCGTAGTTTTATGGCCAAATAAACAATAGCTATTGCAACGCTTAGACGGCTGCCGCTGTGCCGCGCTGTATCTTTGATGTGCCGGGGCGGGCGTAAATGGACCACGAATAGGGTATATTTTGCCTGAATCGGAAAAATGGTGGATGTACCTGTTGTAGTTTCAGACCAAATACTCTGAGAATTGTTATTTTGAAAGAAATATTTCAATAAAAACCTAGAAAGGTGTTGGATGGTGTCATATTGATCTTGACCGCGATCTTTAGGAGGTGGATTGATGAAAAATGCAGATGCAGCATTTTATACTCGCAAATTTCTTAATAGTCTACATTTGTAATTGAATCAAATAAACTATATACACATATAAATAAATAAGTCATTTTCTAATTGATTATATGTAAGCTGCTCTGTTCAACATATGTGGTTTCAGTTACTGGTCAGCGAAAACTAGAATTATAAGTTGCTACAACTTAAAGCAATGTTCACACGTGTGCGATTTCCATTCATCTTCAACGTGATCATGATCTTGATTTGACCATGTGAAGATCATAGTCAAGGGCAAGGAAACAACCACTATCTTTCTGTGCCTTCGAGAAACGAACTTTCTATTAAGTTCTCTGAATTCTCTCCTGACAGATTCCAGACTTGACATATAAAAATAATACCCCTCATCATCTTCCTATAAGGTATTTTAAACCTCTTTCAGTAAACCGATTTTCCAAGTTTTTGGTCTGAGAAGATCAGAAATATATCATACTGAATTCTTAGATAAATCGCCTGAGCCTCATTTTCCATATGTTTTGTTCGGGGCCTTCACCGGCATTTAGATGCAGCATTCCTATTATGAAGGATATGTCCAACACGGCAAACATGGACCGTCTTAAAGCCTCTTCCTTTACTTTGACCTTGTGTCGGTAAAGTTTACAATTTGCTACTGAAATATGTTATTGCTTATAGTTTAGGTGGGAAGCTAACTCTGAGTAGAAATATTTCTTTAACACCAAAACAGGTCTTATCTGGGCCTTGTATAGAGTGAAGAGGTCATGTGGAGATAAGTACTTCTTAGCCCTAAACACATAGCCTAGATTTTTCTCAGCAGCTGCCGCTGTTGACGAGGTGTGTTTGTGCCAGTCCTCGGCGATCTGGACTCCGACCAGCCGAAATGAATGGCTCTTTGGCAGAACTCTGCCATCCATCGAAAGTGTGTAATGGTTTCCAAAGTTTGCTTGGATGCAACAAAAAGGTGTTGAATGCTGTTGAGAGAACATGCAAGAATGATTGAAAGCTGCAATTTTTTATTGAAAGAGCAATTCGAATCAGTAGATATTGATACGTTGCAAAACTCCTTTTACTCAAACGACATGCTCACTTGAGGGAGCCCTTAAGTAAAGCATGTCTAAGGAAAGTTTCTGAATATGACTCGTAATGACTTAACTTAAACGTTCCGTATGTGTAATTTTGAGGTCTAGGAATTTAGTTATGGATCGCTTAACGAAGGAGATTAGTGTTAACGTACCACGAAATTTCACTCATATTTTTCATGAAAATTACAACACCTCAGATATTGGCTTTTTCGTGGCCCGATTGAATCCTGAGCCCCTCCCCCGCACTGTATGAGCGGTAATTTCAAAATAATCATATGGATCTTCCCCAAAACTTTATCTAGAGCGACGTATCGACACACAGTGGTTCAAAAGTCCAAAACATGATAAAACTAGAAATATTTCACCAAAAAGCGTCATGTGTATATTTTCAAGATCGCCGATAAAATGATAGCCATTTGTCAAAGATCAAAATGGTGGTTCCGATATGGCGGACATGTTTGTAAATAAATGTTTGGATTACGCTTACACTTAACTTTGTTAATTTTAAGGATACTGGTACAGAATTGGATATCAATTTTTTCGAAATCAAAAGAGGCTGATCGAATATGGCGGCAATTGCTCTCGATTTTTAGTTTTTTAAGTGTTAAGGGTCGCTAGTAAGAAATTTAATATCGATTCTACAAAAACCAAAATGACGGATTCAATATGGCGGACATATGCGCCAAAAAATAGTTTAATGCATTCAAGATAGGTAACTGAAAATTTTGTCCGAACAATGATTATCAGTAGAAATAGCTGGGAGGAACATTTTTGGAGAATTTAATAAAGCATAATTCCCATACTTCTAAATTACGATAACTGCAAGGTTAAATTCTTCCAAAAGATTTTATTAAAAAATAAAACCCCAAGGGGTATTGGGACACCATTTACTACGTTATAGCAGCATTGAACTACACTAAGTTGATGTAAATCCTAAAACTGGTAATATTGATTAATGTATTCCACCTGAAGATAGGAAACCTAATACTACATTCCCGCGTCCAAACCATTATCCATGATGGAATGAGATACCTTAGCGTCACCTATGAGAATTTTTCACAGCTATGATACAATAATTAGAAATCTACTTCAAAGGGTTAGAGTCCCATAGATGGCGCTGTAGCTATATGGTTATTATAGTTGGTTACGAGCGAGACCACCTATGAGACACCCCCACAAAGTAGATTTCTGATTGTTGCGAAAAGAAGAAACATACCTGTGTAAAATTTTGATAGACGACGCTACGGTATCTCATTTCATCTTGAATAATAATAAAACTAGCTAATATAGTATATGGTTGGCTATCTTCAGATAGAACACATTAACCTTTCATTAAAGTGAAACTATTATGTGGTTTGATTTGGAAGACAATGGAGTCCTACGCTATGTTGCTATGTCCCTATGCAGAACTCCTATTTTGCGTTATACTATATATCAGCTATTTCTTTGTGAACGGCAACCTATTGTGACACGCTTTTTTCAAAATCCCCTACCAACCAGAACTTTCCAACCATTATATTTATTTGTTTTAGCTCGAAAAAGATCCAGCGAAGTTCACAGAAGAAGATTTACGCGCAGTTAAAGATTACGAAGAAAAAGTCGCATTTCTTAAAAGCGAAAGAGAAAGGTACTTTACAATTTATGTATATATATATCTTAAATCATTAGATTTAGAAATAACTTTTTAAAAAAATTTTATTTGAGGACTGAAGCTTCAGTCCATATAAAATACAAAGGTTTACAAATGTGACATTTACGGAGTCTAACCGTGTATTGAACATAAAGTTTACATAAGTGACTGTTACGGTGCCTAGCCGGGTAATGAACGACATGAAATGGGCGCAAGGCCTATTTATACTATTGGTGTGCTTACAAAGCACTTCTAGAAAATAAAGCGTAAACAACGAGTTAGCGAGAAGTCGTTATCTGTTGCTGAGCTAGCGTCTGGTGCAACATTGTATGGAATAGTAAGTCCATTGTTTTGAGTGCATATAACAACTTCCCCCTATTACAAAAAGTTGTTGCCATGCGACAACTTTTGACAAAATTAGAAAAGTGTAAAAGATGTAAAAATTCAAAAATGTAAAAATGTAGAAATGCAAATTGTAAACATTGTAAAATATAAAAATATAAAAGTAGGAGTAATAAAATTGCAAAATAACATCAAAAAATATAGATTCTGAAAAATAAAATTGTTAGCATAAATGCGGTACATTGGCGATGCAAAATAACATCTAAAAGCAAAGCTGGAACAAACAAATAATAAGATACAATCGTACAGTCGTACGGGCAAAATTACATGGAAGATAACACGAAAATTGGAAATGTCTTTTTGAACAGTGAAAACACTTCACGGAACACTCACTGCAGTTCGATGTCTTCTTCATGTGGCTGGATGGTTGGTCTACGTCGAGGAAAAAGTCTGGGAATGTACCGGACTTTTGGTGCTCCTGGAGATGGGCCATCGGCTGGATAATTTGATGCGCAGATGCTGAGTGGTCTTCGTTTTCTGCACTTGCAGAACAGGTACAAAGCTACGATGATAACTAACAGGGTGATGATAAAATACGTGAACCATGAGAGATGTCTCGAAACAAACGGCTCGTTCATAATTTTGTCCAGTTGTTCAGAATATTGGTTTAATTTGTGATTGGCAATTTCGAGTTCTTCAGTATCGATCTTGCTTAGCTTGATCGGTTTTAATTTTGGTAAATTTTGTTTCTCTGGGAGGTGTTCACAGCATTTGTAGGGTACTTCTACAGGGTGACTTTTGTATGTGATATTCTTGTAGGTGCTAACAGAATATCTAGAATGTAATCTCGTGGTGCCTACAAAGCCACTGCATTCGGGTTGCATTTTTAAAAGTGAATTAACTTTTATCACTTTGGTGGTAGTCTCTCGTTGTCCACACTTCATCGTAATTGGCAGAGGGCTAGATATGGTGATTAGCCAAAAATTGGTTGCAAGTTCTTGGATTTGGTAATCTTGCAATGCCACAATTGCTATTTGGCAGGCTGTCGGCAGATCGACCGGATTTCGCAACAACTGTGCTTCGCAGACTGCGTTACTGTCTATTGGATACGGCAAGAGGTTGAAACAGATTTTCACCTGAGACTGAAGAACTTTACAACTACCTAAGTTTTGAAAGGAAACGTACAAAAGAGAATCGCTATCTTTAGCAATGTACCTCTGTATGGTGGAGACTACATGAAACAAACCAGTACGTTTATCGAGAGTGGGTAGAGGAATCACTCTGTATAAAGTATACATTTCGGGCTCTAATAACGGGATGCGTAGAACGAATACTACTCTTGTTTTAGTTTGATATGCTTCGAGTTCCATAAGATTAAGGTACTCTGACACTGTTGCTAAATTAACCGGAAGGGGTAAATTATTTCTCGACAAAGTGTGAGAAATTTCTTGAAGAGAATTTACTAAGCCTTGAGGAGTGATAATAGAAGGATGTATTATTTTTAAACGTGCAAAAGTAATCGAATTTAGAATATCATTAATTGTCTCTTCCAGAAACATGTAGCTTTCCATTAATTGTTCGCAAACTTCTAAAAATTGGAATTTAGCTTCATAAAATGCAAGATCGTCTGAAATTTCATAAATTTTGTTTTCAATGACCTTAATATCTTCATTAAACGTAGTTTCATCAATCATAAGTTTTTGAATAGTGTTATTAAAATTCTTGATAACCGACATGGTAACAGAAATTTGGTTCTTCATGAGGTTTTCGAGCTCATGTTCATCTTTAGAAATTTTGTTAATACAATCGTTATAGTATTCACCGTCCGATGAATCGAGGTTGCCGGTTATTGCTTTCCATACAGTATCTATAGCGTTAATCAGACCGCGTTTCATCCGCGATGCGCTTACAGTGTCATCGAAGATTGCGTAATATTTAGATTCCAAGGAACGAGAAATTTGATAAAGGAGACTTGTATGAGTTTTAATTTCACCACTAAACATTTTCATACGATTGGTGGGTTTGTCTACGAGATATGATAAGTGTTCCAGAATATTGTTGTTATCGTCAAGTGCTTTCTTAATGAGTTCTAAATCTTTATATACAAGAAGTGTCCAAATTTCGTTGGAAATCTTAAGAGGGGCGTCTTCATGAAAATAGATACCTAAGGTGTTGTTAAGCGGTTTGATGTCTATCTGGGCTGTGACAGCCGCAAGAAACAGCAGACTGCACCTGAAAGAGAAACTAAGTCTCAAAACATGGTTTCAGTCTGTCAAAATTAACTTTACTTATTCTATTTGTTTCCGGGTTCTTAAGGAGCGCAGAATTTTCAAAAACTTGAGTAATTTCGAATGGACCATCAAATTTGTTCTGAAGCTTGTTTGAAATTTGAGACTGTTTCACAAAGACTTTATCTCCAACTTTATATGATTGTAAATTGGGTGACACTCTACTATCAAAGCGAATTTTTGCTTTTTGCTTCTGTTCATTAGTTCTCACGCGGGCAATTTTGTAGTAATATTCGAGTTTATTCCGAATGTCTCGAACATACTTGGACATCAATTCTTTTTCTAAATATACGTGTTCGGGCGGACGACCAGAGGTGTGGCCAAACACGAGCTCGTATGGTGTAAAGCCAGTAGTTTTATTTCTAGTGCTATTGTAGCACTGAACAGCATAGGGAAGAATATTGAAGGGATATTCGTCGGGATTTTCGGATACATGGGATCTGATCATTTCCAATAAAGTGGCGTGAAATCGCTCAATCGAGCCATTGGACTGGGGATGACTGACACTAGAAAAAGTTAATTTAATGTCAAAAAGACTACAAAGGTCTTTCATGAGGGCGTTGTCAAATTCTTTTCCGTAATCGCAGTGTATTCGGAGAGGTGTACCATAATGTTGGAAATATAAAAGTAGAGTATTTACTACAGATTTTGCAGATTTGTCGCTAATTGGATAGGCCTGAGAAAATTTTGTTAGCTCGTCTCGGATTGTGAGAGCGTAGCATTTAGGTGGGACTTCCAAAATGTCAATGTTGATTCTTTCGAACGGGGCTTTAGGGGTTTCGGTTACTACAAAAGGGGCACTGAGGTTTTTACGACAAATTTTGGTCTTTTGACAAATTTCACACTTTTTGATGAAATGCTCAACGTCTTTAGTTAAGCCGGGCCAATTATATCGTTCACGAATTCGCCTAATTGTTTCATTAATTCCTCGATGAATGTTTTTCTTACTACAATGGTATTGATCTAAAATGACGGGGATTTCATCGGGACTAGGAGTTTTGGTGACGTTTTGGCAAACGACAAGTTTGATATTATCATCCGAAAAAATAAAAGAGAAAATTTCTAAAATGGGTAAGTCCAAATTATTTTCAACGTAGATTTGTTGGGATAGGTCGAATACACCTTTGTTGGTTAAAATTACAGAGAAAAGATGCTGTATGCAAGTTACGGGATCGTATGGCACAGGAATAATATAGTATTTTCTATCTTTAGTTGTTTTGCTAGACGCGATGTTAATTTTATCTGCAGAAAAATCGAGATTTTCCTCGAATATGTCTTCGATAATTTTTTCGTGAAGATCAGATAGAGTGTTTTGTCTGAAAAACGTGACGATATGTTTATGACTTTTGTCTAGGAGTTGGGAATTTGAAAACTGAATTTTGGAATAATCGATCAGGGATGTGGTTTTGTAAAGGCGGGCAAAGATATCAAATTCACTTTCGGAAAATTGGGTAGAAGGTTCTCCTTCTTCGTCACTATGGGTAAGGGCATTAACAGTTATGGATAATTTGATACGTGATAGGGCATCGGCATTTTTATTAGCCTTGCCTGGCTTGTACACTATTTCATAGTCGTACTCCTCTAGCTTGAGGCGCCATCTTGCTAATCTACTTCCGGTGTCTCGGCAAGAGAAAAGCCACGTAAGGGGTCTATGGTCTGTTACGAGTTTAAACTTTCGACCATACAAATAAGGTCTAAAATGTTTTACACTCCAGACAATAGCTAGAAGTTCTCTTTCAATGGTGGAATATCTCGTTTCTGCTTTACAAAGTGTACGAGATGCATAGGCTATCGGGAGATCTTTACCTATGGGACCTTGGGAAAGAACGCCAGATATCGCAAAAGCGCTTGCGTCTGTTGTAAGCACAAAAGGCTCTTCAAAGTTGGGGTAGATCAGTATAGGAGATGTTGTTAAAGCATTTTTTAAAGTATCAAATGACTTAACACACTCGCTATCAAAGTCAAATACTGCGTCTTTCTGTAATAGTCTGGTAAGGGGTTTCGCAATTTTGGCAAAGTTTGGTATAAAGCGTCGGTAGTAACCTGCAAGACCTAAGAAAGATTTTATTTCTTTAGGATTCTTGGGTTGAGGGAAATTTTTTATGCAATCCACTTTATCTGGATTGGGCTTAACGCCATCAGGAGTTATTACATGACCAAGATAGGCTACTTCCTTTCTGAGGAATTCGCACTTATCAGGCTGGATTTTGAAATTCGACTTCCGAAGACGCGTAAAAATTTCGGTAAGCCTACTGATGTGTTCTTGGATGGAGGGGGAATAGACAATTATGTCATCCATGTATACAAGACATCTTTCGTTTTGTATACCCATCAAGATGTTGTCCATGACACGTTGAAACGTGGCAGGAGCGTTTTTGAGACCAAAAGGCATCCTCAAGAATTGGTAATGTCCGTTTTCAACTGAAAATGCAGTTTTAGGAACATCAACTGGATTTATCTCGATTTGATGAAATCCAGATGCCAAGTCCAGTGTACTAAAGTACTGGCATTTCCCTAATTGATCAAGTAGATCGGAAATGTTTGGCAAGGGATATTTATCATCGATGGTGATTTCGTTAAGCTTACGATAGTCAATCACCATACGCCATTTCTGTTTACCAGAGGCGTCCATTTTCTTTGGTACAACCCACACCGCAGAATTCCATGGCGATGTGCTAGGTTCGATAATACCTTGTTTTAGTAATTTCGAAATTTGATCTTTGACTTCTTGCTTGTGGACATAAGGGTATCGGTAGGATTTGGTAAAAATTGGTTTACTGGTAGTGGTATCAATGGAATGCTTAATTTCGTTTGTAAATGACAGGCTATCACCATCTAAATAGAATATGTCCGAAAAATCTAAGCAAAGATTCGTAATTAAATCTGTTTCCTCTTCGTTGAGATGATCGAGACGTAATTGATCTCTAATAACATCTCTACGGTTATACTGACTTTGATTTTGTAAAGAAGTGTTGAAATTATTGATAGAAGTTTCGTTAAAGGGCTCGAAAGTTAATTGGGGTAAAATTACATTTTTTGGAATGGCATTACAGTTTAATACTGTAGTAAGGAATTCGCCTTTAGAATCAATTTTAACTATGGAACTGGGTAGACGGACTTTTTCTACCTCACACGCCAGAAGAATGGCTTCAGTATTTCTAAGCTCGGATTTGAGCTTGACAACTTGTTCAACTCTGGGAAGAATATAAATAACATTTTGAACTTGAGAATTTTCTTTAAATTGCGAAGCTTGGGACTTTTCTTTAAATTGAGAAGCTTTGGAATCATTTTCGTCACCTACTTTGAAAAGAGGGACTGTTTTGAAATTTGTAATCAATTGACGATTTTTCAAATCAATAATACAATCATAATGTTCAAGAAAATCTGACCCAAGAAGGCCATCGAATGAAATATCTAGATCATGGACATAAATTTTGTGATAATCATTGGGAGCAAATGGGATTAAGACTGCTTCAGTAATACTAATTTTTTCGTCAGTAATACCTCGGATAGAGATATTTTCTGCGACACGATTAGTATAATTTTGACAAGTGTTACGTTTGAAAATGGAGCAACCTGCACCACTGTCAATGAGAATTTTGAATTTTCCAGTAGCATCTTTAATGTAATATAAGTTGTCTGGGCTAACTGGGTGAATTGTGGACGGGACTATAAACGGAGGTTTTATATGAACATCTGATCGCATGTGTTGCTGACGCTCGCACACGTTTTCGCGTTCGGGTCCTCGACACTGAGATTCGCTAAGTTCGCACATACTATCGCGGTACTGTCGTTGGGTTCCGCAGGGGGTTTCTCTTTCAAACACTTGGTCCGAAAATCCTGGAATTGTTGTATGTCCGAATAAGCGTTGTCAACAAATGTATCGGCGGTTTGATTATATTCGTAACAATAATCGTTACTGGATTCTCTAAAATCATCGTATGGGGAAGGTGTGTAGGCGGAGTACTGGGTATCGTCATATTCATTAGCGTAGTCCGTGTTGTATAGGTCAGGTTCACCGTAGTCGGGATAATCGTAAGAATCAGGGGCGACATAATTAATTCGATTGGGAGGATTTTGTCTAAAACTTCTTTGAAAATTAGGGTTTTGGAAATTTGGATTGCTCTGAATTACAGAGGGTCTTGGCGCACTCGCGTTAGGCGCATTTGGTCGTATTACAGATGGTCTGGGAGGATATTGATTAGAATTTTGATGGTAGTTAGATGTAGATGGTCTAACTTGCATAGGTTGATTCGGCCTAGGGTAATTTTGAGGTTGGGGCTGGTTAAACTGTCTTGGGGCAAAGCTTGTAGGCTGTTGTCTCCGTTGGCATTCATTTGCCAAGTGACCGGGACGATTACAAAAATTACATATTTTAGGGTTTGGTCTTCGAATAACTGAATTTTGATTCGGGTTTGGGGCTCTGGCGAATTTTTGTCGTTCCAAATATGAAAGTTGTAACTCTCGTTTGATATACGAAACTGCGGTCAAGATATCCGTGGGATGTCCTGATCGCACAACAGGTCCTATTTTTGAGTCTAATCCTGTTAATAGACAATTTAAAGTCATCGTTTCGATGAGGGAACTTTGAGCAGATCTTTGCTCGCGATTTAGATTTTGTCTATTCACGGCGGAATGCATTTTGGCTGCATGCGTCTGCAGTCTAGATGCAAAGTTTAGGGGTGATTCGTTGGGGAGTTGGCGCATGTGTTGAAGATCCGCGATTAAAGATGTGAGATCTCTAAGATCTCCAAAGTGCGTTTCTAACAGGGACCGTATGTCTTCCCACGTGGAAGGGTTTCGGCTGTTCACAAGTTCGGCGGCACGTCCGCGAAGTTTGTTTTTAATATGTAAAACGACGAGAAGCCGCTGCTCCTCGACGGCCATTTGATATGCCGTTCGGCACGCGTTGATGAAGGTCGATAGCAATATCGGGTTTCCATCGTACTCGGGTACAATCGAAAATATTTCAGATAATCTATAAGGTTCAATGTTCGCATGAACGTTATCAGGAATTTCAGCTGGTTGGTAATCATCTGAACCGTTAGTAGACATTTTAAATGGAAAGTTTTTTCAAAAAGATTCAATAATGTCAAGGGAAAATGCAAAAAGATATAAATGTAAAATAGAAAAATACGTAAAAATGGGGAAAAATACGTGAAAATCGACAATATATAGAGTAAATGCGCAAAAATGCAAATAAAAAGTTGTAACAATCACACACACAGAGATAAATCGCAAAAAATAGTTAGATTAAAATTGTACGTTACCAAGGGTACATCGGGAGGCAGTCGTGTTCTCCAGGCGGCTAGTGGATCTCTTGCGATGTTTCCAGTAGTCTGTCTGCAGTTGGGTGGCTGCTGCTCGCTGTGTCCCCTGTTGTTTTCCTTCTTCTTGTTGCTTTGTAGTTTCTTACTTGTAGTTTTCCTACTTGTAGGTTTCTTTCTTCTTAAGGCTCGTTGGTCCTTTTCAGCTTAAAGGATAGGCATCCACCACACTAGTTAGTATGCACGTGTTCTAATGCGTTGAAGCTATCCCACTTCTCTGACACCAATTTCTTAAATCATTAGATTTAGAAATAACTTTTTAAAAAAATTTTATTTGAGGACTGAAGCTTCAGTCCATATAAAATACAAAGGTTTACAAATGTGACATTTACGGAGTCTAACCGTGTATTGAACATAAGGTTTACATAAGTGACTGTTACGGTGCCTAGCCGGGTAATGAACGACATGAAATGGGCGCAAGGCCTATTTATACTATTGGTGTGCTTACAAAGCACTTCTAGAAAATAAAGCGTAAACAACGAGTTAGCGAGAAGTCGTTATCTGTTGCTGAGCTAGCGTCTGGTGCAACATTGTATGGAATAGTAAGTCCATTGTTTTGAGTGCATATAACATATATATGAGGATAATACATATATACATATACACCTTGGAAAAAACCATTATTATACATTATGATGAGGAAGAGAGATGGAAATATACAAAAGTATGTAGGTGCGTGAAAGACACTCGATTGTAGGATCGTATCTGGCAGCGTCGGCGTGTGACGGACAACGGGGTAAAGTAGAAGAGTGATAAAACAGAGAGATGGCAGAACGGGCGCTGGCGCCTACCGCTTAGACGGATGCGCTCAACAAATGCGATTTGTTTCTCCCATTCGCAGAGTTGCCGATAACAATATGTCATATTTCTAAGAAATCTAAGTCTACCCAAATTTCGGGAAAAATAGCTGCGGATTTCACATAAGAGTATTCCAAAAATGAAAAAAGTTCAAACTATTAAAATTGTATTAATGTTTCATGGTTCAAATCATATTTTTCCTGTTTGTATATTGTTGTATAAATGATTTTGTAATCCCTATTCTTGTTGCCAGTAGAGATACAACAGTATTGAGAGAAATCATGGACCGCTAGATAGGGCTACAACTACCATATGACTATCAAATAGTAGTGATAAACAGGGTTTGTTTATAGCACAGTTGCCTGGTGTGGTGAATTTGCGCCATAGGGGCGATTTGACAACTTTGAAGGACAACTATAACGGTTACTATGGTGCCCGGTATTCGGGAATCTGGCAATACCTGATGATTCCTAACGTTTATTACGCCAGATTGTTTGCTGACTTGCGCAGTACAACATGACAATCAACGTGACTGAGCACCTGGTAACCCTGGTTTAAGGTGTTATATGTAAAGAGCTTGGGACAGTTAGGTATCTAGGTCACATTTTTTAATGTATTTCGAGAAATCCGTAATGTTGAGTAAATACTAGATCACGTTTCTTGCTTAGTTTGCTGAAAATTCTACAATAGGCGTACATTTTGAGAAACAGAGATTTGGTGACGACAAAATCGTAAAAATATAACGCATTTTCGTAAAATAATTTCTTTGTTGAAAAGACTGTGGCTTGATGACCCATTGAACGAGTATAGTGTCCCGCTCCGCTTTGAATATTCGAAACACTATACTCCAGCAGCATTCAGCTTCAATGTTATCTTTATGAAGTTCTAACGTCTAGGCCATGCTGATTAAAAGCTTGAATGAATCAACACTTAACTCTAAATTCCCCACAATTCGGGAAGCTCTACTCAAATTGGCAACACAGCGTATCTGCCTATTATTCTCATTCGTGATACAGGTCTGCGGTTAACGGTAGGAAATATGTACGAATAGCGATGAAAGTAGATGAGCCGATGCGCTGTTGCCAAGAAATGATTTCCCATGTATAACAATGGTTTTTCCTAAGGTGTATATAGCTATAAAACAGGTTTTAAGGCTCTAATCTTAATAAGCTTGACATTCTCCCAACTGTGGATCTATGGTTTTCTGTAGTCTCATTTTAAGCAATATTGATAAAATTTTATATACTACATCCAATATCAAGATTCCTATGAAGTCGTTACAAACGGTCGCCTCACCCTTCTACAGTAATGGGGTAATAAGTGCTAGTTCCCAATCCCTGGGCATTTCTTCGTCGCTCCATATTCTTAGGATTAATCCATATATGTGTTTTTTCAGCAGCTCCCCTCCATATTTAATGTTTTCTGCAATAATACCGTTATACCCTGCTGATTTTTGATCCTTCATGTTTTCAATTATTGTTTCTATTTCTTCCCTCACTGGCTCATCTATGGTAACTTCTACCTGCTCGTCCCCATGTTTTTTTTTGTGAGGGGGAATGCGTTTATGCACCATACCATAGCCCGAGCTACGGCGTGTGTGGGACTCCAGGTTGTCTTGAGGAGACCACCTAATACCCACTAAACCCTAACCTCCGCGTGGCCCGACTCATCAGCGTCTCGGTAGGCCATGTGTTGTGCGTGACCTGCGGTCTGCTACAACGTCTCCTCATGTGTTTCAGTCTCTGGGAACGCCGGGCTGGTTCCCTTTACCTCGCATATTCTATCGATGTCGTTAAGCGATCATCGATAAAGGGTCTGCTAGGTTCTCTTGAAACTCTTGTTTTCGAAAAATCAAGAGTTTCAAGTCCTCTTACCTATATATTGTTCCTGGTCCTGGTCCTGAAGGGTCCTGGTCCTGGTGGGTCTTGGTCGTGGCGGGTCCTGGTCCTGGTTGGTCCTGGACCTGGTGGTTCCTGGTCCCGGTGGGTCCTGGTCCCGGTGGTTCCTGGTCCTCTGCATCCACGCCGTGGGGGGGAGCAACCGCGGGTTCTCCTAGTCTCCTAGTCAAGGTTCCAGTTAGCGGGTGCCAACTGGGACCTTGGTCTAGGGTACCTGGTTCTGCGGCTACGAGGCCTATCGTCCGGATCGTAGTCCATGAGAAATCGTAGCTGCTCGTTCGGGTGGTCCTGAGCTTTCTGGAAGGTCTTCTCCGCTTTTTTCCTCATGTACTCGTGAATGGTGTCCCAATGCAGGTCTCTACGCAAGGTTGAGTTTCTTACGTAGGATGGTATACTGGTGGCGATCCGGAGTAGCTTCATCTCTAGAGCAGCAAGTCGCTTGCGGTATCTGGGAGCAGCGTACCCCCAGACCGCGAAGGCGTAAGCGAGCTGAGGTCTGGCGATGGCCTTGATCAGCCGTAGCTTGGTCGCTAGCAGCATCCGGCTGTGTCTACCCAGTAATGGGTAGAGTTGAGCTATGGCTGCTCTGGTCTTTGCGATGACAGCTTCTATGTGGTCTTTCCAGGTGAGAGACTTGTCAAATACGATCCCCAGATATTTGACTTTGTCGCTCCACTGGATATCTTCGTCGAAGATGGATGCTTCGAGAGGTCTTGCAATCCTTCTTCGTTGGATGAAGATTGCCTGCGTCTTCTGGACGTTGATGCGGATTTTCCATTTCACGCACCAGTCCTGGATGTGGTCCAGTTCATCCTGTAGTCTCCTACGGATGATCTCGGGTCGTCGATGCTTGGCGGCTATAGCAGTGTCGTCTGCATATAGGGCCAGCATTGTGTCAGCTGTCTTCGGTACGTCGTGAGTGTAGATGTTGTAGAGCAGGGGGGCTAAGGCTGACCCCTGGGGAACGCGTGCTTCCTGCTGTCGTCTTGTTGAGTGGCATGTACCAATCTTCACCGTGAACCATCTTTGTGTTAGATTCGTCCCTATACGGACCCTTGTTTTCTTATATCTGCTCGTACAGCGGCGGAGCCTTAATAGACGCTGCCGCATCTGAGGATATCGGAAGGAGCAACGTTGCCAGATACATAATATATATATAATACATAATTAAACCTGTGAGTCCAAGAACAGTACACGTCCAAAAACACGAAAAAACATCATAACTCCGCAATGTGTAGAGTTACCGTTTTGGCTATCATACAAAAATGGTAGTGATTCTTTATATATGAATCATAATTTAAAATAAAAAATAGGAAAATATCCCACTCGAAGTTGTAGAAGGGTGAAGTTCATGGACTTGTACTGTTCTTGGACTCACCGATTGATTGACTTGATCCGTTTAATGTCTCTATTGTACATATTCGTAACTAATTTTGTTCTCAGCTGCACTTAATCATTTATGGCGGACTGCGTTGCATATCCTACTTGACGCCATTGTTTTATATTGTAATATACTACGAGTATGCGAATAAATGATACTGCTAGTACTCCTACTTATAATGAAAAAACCTTCATTTAAAATAGGAGTCCAAAACAACATAAGACATTTGTTTGCAGCTGCTTCCCTCCCACCCTCTTCAATTTTTAATAGCCGCTACGGTAGGAAAAATGTTGTCAGGCTCAACCGTCCCTGATACTGCTAAAGAATGGAGGAGGAACCCATATTCGTATAAGATAACGTTCTTTTTAAACACATCGCACTTGCAATTTTCCCAAAATCGTTTTAATTCGACTTTATTTTTGGTGGGATTTTGAAAAAAATTGCACATCAACGTTGCCACTTTTTCTCCTTTATAAGAGGGCATAATTAGAATTTTAATATGGTTTCCTCTCTTGTCTTCAGCATCAAATTTATTTTTTCTTGAAAAGTGAATAGTTTTCAATCCAGATTTCATAAATGTATAATATGCCATACATTGACATTGCCAATCCTCAGACATCTCAAAAAACGTAATTTCCTAGATAGGCCTTGAAATGATCAGATAGTCATGTGTTTCGTATACCAAATTTATCGCATTTTTTTTTTTAATTTTTCCTGACTTCACTTGAGATGGGATTTCAAAGTAAATTACATGTTGTCATTGCCTCCTTTTATCCTTTACAAGATGGTGTAGTCAAATTTCTTCTTCTTTGGACTATCATCACCAACTTTGTGATACTATACTGGAATTTTGTCATTCAAGTGGAGTTTTCAGTCCTAAATTCAGTGACATATTTCCTTAGTTGGTCATGAATTTGTTATAAGAAACCTGAACATAAAATAAAGAGTTTGTTGATGGTAGTAACAATAATAATCATAAATAAGCAGAGTAGATGTTCAGAACCTTGTCCGTTATTTTGTAGGCAAAGCCTGATTGTTCACCGCTCGATTTATTTATCTTCTTCCCAGTCTTCCAAACTCTATTACAATGTTCAATTTGAGATCTGCTCTGGTATACGAAATAAATCGCTATCTGATAATGTCAAGGCCTACTTGGAAAAATCTGTTTTTATGAAACAACTAAGGTTTGGCTATGTTTTTGTATGGCATATTATACTCTTTTGGAATCAGATTTGTAAACTGTATTCACCTGTGTAAAATGAAATACGGCGTCTGGAGGACAAAAGACGAAACGTCATATTGAAATTCTTATTATGCCATCTTGTAAAGGAGACAAAGTGGCATCGATTACACGCAATTTATTTTGAAATTCCACTACAGTTAAAGTTGGGAAAAGAATTAAAATGATTTAGAGAAAATTCGGTTTTTTCATCTCACTCCGAAAGTATGTTCAATTTCTAAACTTTCCAAGCGGCATTTTGTTAGACGCAACATTGTCCACAGTCAAGCGATTTCGTATCTCTTACCGTTACCGAGATCCCAATGGTGAGGGTCCGATTTGAAACACCCACTTTAGAGAAAAACAGCCATGGCTTGAATAACTTCCGAGGCGGAGATTCGAACTCGCGAGCCTTCGAGTTGATAGATTAGCAGCTCGATGCGCTAATACACTGGCCTACCCAGCCCTCTCGGTTAGACCCTAATAAATGCTGCTTTCGTCCATTAGTGGAAACCATCCGTGTTCTCGCACCTCTATAAGTCTACTGGCAATCATCAGCGCGGACGAGGTGAGAAAACAACGAAATTAGAGCAAAATAACCTATATTAAAGGTGTGGAGATGTATGACAGCACGGGAATCAAGAACCCTGCCTTGATGAAAATTTTCATTTCAGATACAAGAATATACTGGATGGTGAATTCTCAAAAACAGCCGTCTCTGTAAGGGACAGTATACGAAAATTCAATCAGAAGGTCAAAGAAACTGTAGAATACAAAATGGTAATTGATTCAGGAATGAATCACGAATCTTTGAGAGTGAATAGATCCAGAGATAATGAGGATTGTAGGATAAGCATATATGCAAAAGAAGCGGAATGTGTGTGAGTAGAGTGCTTAACGTCGCATGCCCCTTTCTTCAAAAGTCTGTCTGGAGGAGTATTATTAATACTTTTCATCTGATTGTTTCATGGTATGTAAAGAGATGACTGAAAAACAATGTTATCTATTTCTTTTGGTCAACAATGCATTTTTGTGCATTTTTTCTTCAATCGTTAACAAATAATAGTACAGCTCTAAAATTTTATGTGATTACTTGTTTCCATATAACCAGCTCTCTTCGAAAAATCGTTGCTCTTCTTGAAAACTCAATTTGCTGATGAGGTTTTAAGCAAATCAGAGATTTTTCGAAGAGAAAAAGTGATACGAATTAAAGTAATCATCTGTTTCATTCTTCCATAAAATTAAAATTTTCACATACAATTTCAGATCTGTACTAATATTTGTTAACAAGTTACGATTGAAGAAAAAACGCACAATAAAATGTACAAGAAAATGCTTTTCCAGACAAAAAAATGGATAGCATAGTTGTTGAGTCATCTCCATACACACCATGAAATAATCAGTTGAAAAGGATTTAGAATACTGCTGCAAACAAGTAGTTAAAATAAAAGTTGCACATTAAAATGGCGCCTCCGACTACGCATAACAAGCTTTTTTGTTTGTATCTGGTTGTTTATGTGAAAAAAGCATTTTCAACAATGATGCAGTTTATCCTCGCTACTTTGCTCAAGTATCGGAGAAAATGGATTTGAAAGAGCAAGGGTCTATAAGCGGGAGTTTCTGACCTAAAAATAACTCAAATTTCAACTTGAAAGCATCTATGAGAGTTATCTATTTGAAGATTTCAGAACATGTTTCATTTTTTTTCTCTTAGCACTTTGTTGATGTTTAAAAGCACAAAGTTCGCTATTTCGATATTCTTGTCCAAGATTCACTCAGCAACTTGACGTGTATGTTATGTTAATATGTTTGCCAGTATGTGGTTAACCTCAACCAATTGAGCAGAAAAAAGTTTTCATTTGGATGATAATAAAAAGAACTAAAAATGCAGAAATAATTGTTTCCCATTGAACTTTGCCATTTTAAACTTACTAACCTTTAAATGATACTGAAGGTTGCCGTTTTATACTTTCTAACCTTTAAATGATACTGAAGCTCCTTCATCACAAATCTTCACATAAAGGCGTATTACGCATCGGGAAGGAAAAAACGGTGTAACACGCATTTATGTGAAAGCTTGAGAGAAGTCTCGATATCGTTTAAAGGTTAGGAAATATTAAACGGCATATTTCCAGTCGCAAAAATCTATTTCTGCATTTTTAGATCACTTTATTAAAAGCAAAATAAAAGCCTGTTTTCAGAAACGCATTTTTTTATCTATATAGTATTAAATTTGGTATTTCTATATTAGCGCATGATCGCAACACTTCCTACTTCAGATCTGTAATAAAATTCCTGCGCTCAAAATAAAAACTACATTAGAAACAAATCAATGCACAATGATAATGAGACTTCAACTTTTGTTTGTAATGTGATCACAGTGGAGCAACACTCTTATTTTTATATAACATCTTTCGGTGTAGTTTATTATAGATTTGAAGTAGAAAATGTAGAAATCATGCGCTCATATAAAAATAAACTTAGTAATATTCAAAAATGCTCGAATTTCAGACAAAAATACCAATATTGTGAACTTTGTACTTTTAAAGAACAATTAACTATTAAAATAAAACATAAAATGCTGATGAAAAATTAACATACATAAATAACGTTCTGGAATATCAAAATGCAAAAATTCCATAGATGCGATCAACCTGAGATAATTATTATACATTTAGGAAAACAATAAAGGATACAGAAGCAATCATGGACAGAGTTAAGGAAAGTATTTCGGATCTGAGTAAAGAAATGGATGAGTGCCGCGTTAACCTGGAAACGCTAGCGGCCAAAGAAAAAATTTTGGATAAGGCATTCAAAAGAGACATACAAGAGATGTCACCCATTGTACAGGAATTTGCTATCAAATTGTACAAGTAAGTACAATGTAAAGTTTAGTTTAATTTAAAATGCTAGTTTCATAAAATTGGTAACACTGGTTTTACTCCTGCAGCTTATAGGTGGCTCTATTTATAAAATAACTAAATTTCCCAAGCAAAGGAAATGTTATACAGGGTGTTTTCAAACTTGAGTTATTTATTTTAACTGCTTGCAGGAATCGTCAAAGGAAGTTGATATACCAAAAATCACCTATACTAAAGTTGCGTAATGAAAGAAATAGTAACAGATGAAAAATTTTAAAAAATAATAATGTTATTACATAGATTTTTTGATATTTTATACCGCTGCCGTGTAAAATCTCAGCGTTTTTTGTTTACTACTCTTATCGTTTATGGTTTTCAATACGAGTCTTCGGTTCGATCAGTAATATCAGTCTCTTAATAGTGCGTATACCTTCATTTATATGATTATTTTGTGCGCAAAATGTTACGGAAACAATGAACTCATGGACATATTATTAACGTACGGGGAGGGGAGTACCAACAAAATGCAGTTGCAGCGTGCAGGTTGTATGCGGAAAGGTCTCCTTTAAAAAATCATCCGGCTCCACGGATGTTTGGAAATTTAGTTATTAGACTTTGTGACACAGGATATTTAAAAGAACGAGGTCACGCTGGAAAACCTGCTCAACCTGAAATGTTACAAACTGAGGAAGACATTTTAGAAATGGTCAAGACAATGAGCACTAGAGCCATGCATAGCACCTCAAGTTGAAGTTTCTCTTAGTAAAGAACAGTATTATCCTTGCCATATCAACGGGAACAAGCGTTACAACCTGAAGATCATCCTAGAAGAGTTGCATTTTGCCAGTGGCTTTTAGAATTGTTCGGCCAAGAAGAAGATTTTACTAAATTGATTTTGTGTGCAGACGAGGCCACATTTACACGAAATGGAGTGCACAATTTCCACAACTGTCCAATTTTTGAAAAGTAGAAGATCCGCATGCTGTAAAAATAACTCATTTTCAACACAGATTTTCATTAAAAGTTTGGGTAAGCGTGGTAAATGGCATGCTCATTGGACCCTACTTTTTCCCACCTCGACCGAGCAAGATTTTGGGTTAATCAAACAAATGGAGACAATTTTGAAAAGTTTTTGTAAAAACGGTAACTATTTAACCTGATAATGTTTTTTTAAATAATTTTTAATAAAGTAAGCTAACTCTCTTATTATGCAACTTTTATACAGGTGAGTTTTGGTACATCAACTTCTTTTGACAAGCCCTAAAAGCCATTAACATAACTTTGAAAACACCCTGTATATTAGTAACAATTTAACGCGTACAGTTAGTTTATCTTTAATTTGTACGACAGAAATGCCATTTGCTTAATACCGACGATAATGGGACGCTAAAAGCGCCATGTTTTTAGAATTCAAACGTCATTTACGTAATGTAAATTACCAAATAAGGTTAAAGTTAACCAGGTGAAATACGTTAATCAAGGTTAAAACTCTTCAATAGCTATTTATCTAGTCCAGAGTTCCCCAAACTTTTTTGTGTCATAGACCCCTTGCCACGTTTTTCCGTGTTGGGTAGACCCCCTACTTACCTGATATTGATTTCCTGTACATTTCTAACTGTAGTGAAGTTTAGTGTTAAAAACTTAAAGTAAAAACACATGTTAATTTATACATTTATTAATTGAATTTAAATTAAAACTACTCAAAATAAACAGGTGTTTGACCAATAAGTGCCCGCATTGGGAATAAGTGCCCGCATTGAAAAAAAATATAAGAGGGATAAAATTAAAAAAAGTGAAAAATAATACTAAAAAAAAGTTTTTTACTTAAAATAGTACAATAAGCGAGTTCGTTTATTAATTATAACATAAACGTATGTTCTATAATAATTTCAGTGTTAATTTGATTAAATTCCGCTTCCTATACGTTTAAGTTATCTAAAAATAGGCAAAAAATTAACAACAACAATTTTAGTGTGTACCTATCCTTGACTTTTCAGAATAATTTAAAAAAAATATTTTCTATAAAAGGGGGTTCTTTAAAAAAATCAATGCGGGCACTTATTCCCAATGCGGGCATTTATTGGTCAGACACCAATAAGCATAAAATAAACTATAAATAAAATAACATAAGCAATAAGTCAATATTGTTAGTGAGAACGATGAACCTGATGCTTTAATAATAAATTATCAACATTTGGCGTCAATTTTGTAAGGGTTAATCTTAAATCTCCTCGGCTAATGATGTCCAGTCTGTTTCATATTTTTCGTTAGGAGATTGGTAACAGCGCTGAACCCCCTTTCCACTAGGTATGACGATGGAAAGGAAATTAAAAATTTCCTCGGTATATTCCTTAATACGGGATAAGTAACGGGTATGTTGTTTTGCAGCCAGAATTGCTGATATCCGTTTTTAAACTGAACCTTAAGTTCTTCGTTTGTACTTAGTTCAGTCAGTTCCTCTTGTATTATGACATTCGTTTCTTCTATGTCACCATATGGATTAATTATACACGGTGGTAGTACCATAGTCGAAATATCCTCAAACCTAGATTCAAAATCTGAATAGAGGGCATTTAAATGTTGAACGTAAGTTGAAACGTCGTCTTCCTGGCAGCTTGTCTGTGACAAATTGGGGAACTGAGAAAATTCGCCCCGTCCAAAATTTTGCTTCACTGATTTAACTCTGGCAAGAAACGCTGATAAGATGGACTTTGTTTTAATCAAATTTAAACTGTCGCCTTGTAATTGCAAATTAATTTTGTAAACATCTGTTAAATAGGCGATGTCTGTTTTCCTCTTCATTAAATTTTCTTTTAAAATTTTATCTTTAGTATCCAGAAATTCTAAAATAGTCTCAAAAAGTGCAATAAATCTTGTCAAACATAAGCCTTTCGACAGCCAGCGTACTTCAGTGTGAAGGAGTAATTGATGAAAGTGTTCATCATTTTCTTCACGCAACTGCACAAATAACCGCGTATTCAACGCGTTGCTTCGGATTCGGTTTACTGCATCAATGACTAAATGAAGTGATTCATGCAATCTAACACTCAAATTTTTAGCAACTAAATGTTGTCGATGGATGACGCAATGTATTGCTAACACCCCTGACACATTTTGTTTTAAATAGCTTATAGATCATCGATAACGTCCAACCATGGCAGGTGCCCATCTGTAGCTACTGATATTATATTTGATAAAGGAATTGCTTGTTCAATGAAGTAATCCTTCAAAACATGAAATATTGATTCACCTTTAGTGTCGGTTCTTGCGAAGAGCAGTTCTTCGTAGATTTCTTTATTCATAATAAAACGAACATATGCCAATAATGATGCTGCATTATCAGGTAAAGTTGACTCTTCTAGTTGTATAGAGAAATGGGTCGTTTGCAAATAATTACATAAGAAGCTTTCAATATCAGAACTCATTTCATCAATACGTCTTTCAACAGTATTGTTGCTTAAGGGAATTCTTTTAATGATATCAGGTGCAGGTTTGTGTAAAACAGTTTTTAAAACCTCTTCAACGGCTGGCAAAATTAACTTCTCTCCGATAGTATGCGGTTTTCCGGATTTTGCTATAAGTAACGAGATATTGTAAGACGCCCGCAAACCATCATCATTTCTTTGTGACGTCGAAGCGAACATTCTGTCCAGTGTAGGTCTCTTCTGAAATTTATCTTTGAGTGTTTGAAAGTAAATACTTATCTTTCTATTAAATCTTTCTCTGTTTTATCAGATGATCTTGCAGTTTAGATGGTTTCATAGCGTCATTGCCAAAAACTTTGTTGCATAAAAGGCACATAGCCGATTGTTTGTCCGGCAATGATGGAATGAAGTCAAATTTCAAATAATCAACACTGTACTGTCTACATTTCTTTTTAGATTCGGACATGGCATCAGTAATCTGTGGGCAAAATTAAATTATTTAAATAAGACAGAAAATCTAGCAGCTGTATATTAAAAATATTTTTTGATTTTTCCGAAAACATTCCATAATTCGAAGATCTTTAGCTCGAATTACGGAGATTGCACTGTAATTATATTAGCGATTGCTAAAACTTTCAAAAAGAAACTATTGAGGAGTACTCGTGTAATTTTGCATGATTGAATATTTAACTACTAATAACTAAAGTCGTGATTGGCGTAATTTATGTATCTTTGCTAACTACGAGTACAAAACTAAAATTTAATAAAAAATAATGTACTTACTTTTCTCCAGCACTCTCAGACAAAATAACACTGACTCACTATAATTTGTATGATATACTATCTGTTTATATTTTTTAAATATTTTCTTAGCACTTTCCTTTTCAAAATTCAGGAAACGAATAAACGTATTTGTCCCACATTCGTATTTATAGAGTGACGAATTGAACAAGTCAGTGCAAGGTAGCGAAGCTCTGAGACTGCGACTCTCAGGTTTTTACAAGTTCAAAATGTATTGCGACCACAAAGCGAATACCAACATCCTACAACTTACACAATTTTATAAACATATATAATACATTTTTTACTTCATAGGTACTTTTATAAATAATGTATATGTTTGGATATTATAAGATAGTATGATGTAAGTAAATAGGTACTATCAGTGTATGTGTTGAGATCCACTATCGTGGACCCCCATATTTATTTCATGGACCGCCAAATTTGCAGGTTGTCATAGACCCCTAGGGGTCGATATTGACCATTTTGGGAATCAATGATCTAGTCAATTATGAAGTAACCATCCATTTTGTTCAATAAGCGCATTTTGCAGGAGGAGACCAAAACCTTTATATCGCTCAGCAAATACAGGTGCGGTACTTTATGAATTGGCCAGATGCATTGTCAGTCAAGAGCGGTCTCTATGCCTGCCTCCGGAATGCACAGATTTTCTCAGCGCGTTAGATGAAATGGACGAGTTTGCAGGTTTGCCCCCCACTATTGATGAGGCTACTTGGGGCATCATTTGTAAGCACAGGAGGTTAAGAATTGACTATGAAGTCAAGGTAATTAATTTGAGGATAGGTTGTCTAGATAACTGACAACCACGTCAAATATACCGAGGATTGGTTAAATAAGGATTTTGAGGTTAAAGAAAATTTAAATTTCTGAAACTTTGTTTACTAAAACAAACCGTGTAGGGTTCTAAAAGTTGAATAGTTGTGTGATAATTTACAGATTCTGAGAATAACTTCTGTTTTCATAAAGCAGGGGGCACCCGCGAAAAGTGTGATTTATAACTTAATAAAAAGAGAAGTTGTTCTCACAACGTGCATGTCCTATGCGGAGTATTACACTTTAGTTTAGTAACAAAAGAGGAACGTCAGCTTGAAATTCAATTTTTTTCCGACTTCAACTGCTTATTTGATCAATCGTCGGTATGTTTGCCATAGCTGCAAGATATCTAGATGATAGGTAGATATATTTACTGATTTCGTGCTTTTTGATGTAACCACCGAAAATCGTGGAAACAACTACATTCAGCTCAGTATAAACGCAGGGATTACCTCAAGGATCAGTAGTAGGTCCGATTCTAGTTTTAGCTTATATCAACGATTTAATAAATTTAAGCATACAGGGCTTTTCACGTGATGCGGATACCGAAAAAAAGTATGGCTTCAAAATTCGCACATATTAGACCTGTTTATACATCTAGTAGGTATGAAAGAAAAACAATTTTTTCATGGCACGTTTCTTTGCGGGCTACTAAAAAATAGCCGTACTAGAAATTGAATTTTTCAACGATTTTTTCAAAATTCAAAAGTATTATATTATATACAGGTCGTTTTATGCAGGAAATTTTCTGCATTTATGTTCATTGGGTATGACCTTAGGTGCTTGTTTAGGTCAACTAGTTTGCGAGATATTGCATTAATAGTCAACAATATGAGTATTTTTTAGTTCTAATAGTTTAGATATATTTTGACAGCAAATTATAGTTTTATTTACATGATTTTTCAAGAACTGAAATTTGAATAAAGATAGGGTGCAAAACAGGAAGCAAGCATGTCAAACTAAAATTTGGTTAACTTCAACTATTTTTATTGACGATATCTTACTCTAAGATATAGCCTATAGCGTCTTTCAAATACACTAGTATTTGATGCGCGAAAGAAATTTTGTGTACATGTCACATCGGATATGACGTAATATTATACTCCAATAGTCTCAAGGTTATATTTTTTAAATATTGAGATTACAAAAATAGCGACTAAGACCGGAAATATACATTTCAAACCAAAATTTGGGCAACTGAATAGAAGCTTATTCTCAAAAATATTGTTTTTCTACTATTTATATTTTCTTTGCTTAACACAAACACATTACTACGATCGCTCTCTCGATTCAAGTTACCTCTGCACGAAACGAACAATGCCCCATATATCGTTTGCTGTAAAAACACGTTTTACAAATCAGACAAAAATATCCGGAAGATAAAATTAGCAACTCTTGAAAACCGCTTTTTTGAAGCTTAACTAAAAGATTAAGGTTGACAAGATTTTTTTCAGCTGCGGGCTGCCCAAATGCATATGTCAGATGGAGAAGCTACTTTAGCGACGTTACAAAGACGTGTTCAATTCAAGAAAGAAAAGATAGCCAGGGTGAATGTTGATATAGCAAAATTGAGGGCCGAATATCTCAATAACATGCATAATACCCAAATGCAGATTGTTTTAAGAAGAGGTTTGTACATACAGAGTGTCCAACGTATAACTGCAGCGAACCAGCACTTAAAAGTTGACTTAAGGCAGTTATGAAAATTTGAGTTTATAGTATAACGACTAAAGTATTTTCAAAATTATCGTATTTAGAGTTGAACTAGAAGTGGGCTCCAGATTGCTAATTGTAAATAGAACTCTCAGTATGCTATCTAATTTTTGGATTCTACGCGAGATTCTAAATGTATTTCATATGTATACTAACTGACATATAAATCCGAACACCCAGTTTAAATGGTTTTATTTTAATAAAAGTTGGTGAATATATTGATCTTACTGTAAATAACAAGTGAAAAAATTTTCAGCCTTATCATTGGACATTCCGGTTTTTATACTGCTTTTTTTTAATTCACTAACGCTCTAAAAATGAATATTTCAGCCGCAGTAAAGAATCAACGTTGGCGGATTTTGGTTCTTGACATCCTTTACGATCGGTTACGATGCCTAGAGTACGGAGACCTGTACGATTTCGTCAACTTAGTGAGTTTGATAGGGGCCGTATAGTGGGACTCCGGGAAGCTGAACTTTCTTTTCGGGCAATTGCAGTTAGAGTGCAAAGAAGTGTAGACACTGTGGTTAGGTGTTGTCAGGCATGGCTTCGAGAAGGCCGTACGCAAAGAGCAAGGGGCACTGGACGCCGCCGTAGAACAACAGACGGTGAAGATCGCCGCCTAAGATTATTGGCCTTAAGGGACCATTTCTCCACTACCAGGTCCATTGCAAATGAATGGTTTGCAGAACACGGAAGGCCTATTGGCATGCGAAGTGTTTACCGACGAATGAGAAGTTTTGGCTTGTTTTCATACCGGCCACACTGGGTCCTCCCTTTAACTCGAGAACACCGACGTAATCGCCTTGAGTGGTGAAGACAACTCTGGGAACAGGAATGGAACAGTATTGTCTTTAGTGACGAGTCTCGATTTTGTTTAGGCATGGACGATGGTCGTGCCAGGGTTAGAAGGCGACGTAGTGAAAGGAGGAATCCACAGTTTTTTGTTGAAGGACATGTTCATCACACTGTTGGAGTTATGGTTTGGGGTGCTATAGCGTATGGTTTCAGGTCACCTTTAATCTTCATCAGAGGTAACATGAACGCGCAGCGTTGTATCCACGAAGTTCTAGAACCCCATCTTTTACCCTATCTTGACACACTGGCAGATCCAACTTTCCAACAAGATAATGCCCGACCACATGTTGCAAGAGTCACAATAGACTTCTTTCAACATAATGATGTCACATTGTTACCATGGCCACCAAGATCTCCCAACTTATCCCCAATTGAGCACGTGTGGGATATGATGGGTAGGAGATTGCTCAATTTGCAACGTCCTCCTCAGACTCTAGAAGCACTTCGAGAGGAGTTGGTGGTTGCCTGGAATGAGATACCACAGGAGGACATTGACCACCTGATCAGAAGCATGCCTAGGCGCGTTGGAGAATGCGTAGCACATCAGGATGCATCCACACATTATTAAAGGTCAAAGGGCTTTCAAGCAGTCTAATCATTTTGAAATTTTTATCATGTACTCATTATGCTTCATTAAGTACTTATACAAAATTTTATTGAAATAAAACAATTTAAACTGGGTGTTCGGATTTATATGTCACTTAGTATAATATCCTAAACGTATGGATGAACGTCTTTGAGAATCCTAAATTTGTTATAGTATGGTACAAACACACTATATAAATATTGATATCAGAAATTGTAAACAAATGTTAGATATAGCAAATAATAAACACCAGAAATGCTGCGGTAAGCAGAGCAACAGCAACTACTACACAGATTAAAGGTGACAATAAACGAATTAAGGTGTTTCGCTATGCTAGTAAAAGCCTATTAGTTTACAAATTTATTACATGGCTAGTTGTCCTTAGAAGTTGACTAAAGTGCAGGTGTTATAATTTTAAAAACCAGAGCAAGGAAGGAAAAGAAGAAAAACGTGATCAAATATTAGCTGCTGGCTCGTCCTGAAAATGCTACCAAAAAATGATCTTCGCAAAAAGTTCAAGGTATTTGGATATCTCTTGCTCAAAATGCTGTTGAAAATCCATAAGGGAAGCCCATGGAGTAAACTACATAAAATAATGATGGCGGAAATGCTCATGATTATTTTATATATATTTGACGGTGCCAAGGATCGGAATCAGTGATTTTTTTTAGGCTTTCATTTTAGCAATAATATATAATAGACAAATAATAAAATAATAAACAGTGTTATTCAATGCATGTGGATGAACACTTGAACAGTAAAAAGGATTTATATAAAAATAATTGACAATTTGTAAACGGATGTATAAACGATATGTATATCCATTACTGAAAGTACCAATATGTTATTGTGTTGGTTTTTGGGTAGTTAGGCCGTCGTAAAATATGTTTATTTGATGTTTCGCCAACACTAGTGGGTGGCATCTTCAGAAGGTGTTCACAGTTCGGAGTCCTGTGAGCTCAAATTGAATAATGCACAGAGTGTTTTATCTAAAATAAGCAAGGTGGTGTCAACTTCCGGTATAACTGGATATACCATCATTTTGAGTGTTTTAGCCCCCATCAGTTATGCTATTAACCCAAATTTTCAGAAATATGTACGTCAACTTTGAAACAGCGATCGCTGCAGATCTACGTGGGAAACCCTGTATAGCACAATGTTCTAGATCTAGGTACCCACTACGTAAGTTCATGTGATGTAAGATACTAAATTCTGAAACTGGATAGTTTTGCTTTGATAAGCAAATCAAAAACACAGTGAGCATGTTTTTATGGAATGTACATATCTAATATAATTGACGACATAGCAGCTCCCATGACCCCCCATAAATCTAGGGGGGCATGTTTGGTTTACAGGTTGTGCAGGATTAAAAATGCAAGCCGTTGGTAACAATTGAAGACCGAAGGGGGAGGGGATGCAACTATTCAAAATGGTAGCAGAAATAATATCTTCTATGTTGGGTTGTTCTCACACGCCACTACTTACCCAAGGATTGGGTATCTTATTAAGAGTATTTCACTCTGAAGCAGAATCCAGGGGGGGGGGCATATGTCCCCCTTGCCCCCTCAATCGGAGCCCATGGCAGCTCCCCCAACGTAAAACTTGTCGGCCATTTTTTACGCTTGCTTGCTATATAAATCAGTTTTGCAGTACTTTCCAGTGTTGTAATTGTCCTACCAGTATGTCTGGAACATCGACAAAATGATCAAATAAATCTTATCAAATAGATATTTTTTTGGAGGTCTGGTGGAAGTACCACTTACAGGGAGTATAGATGACTTTAACGATGCCATTTTTGTACCCAGGAAGGAAATCGAAGAGATAAACGCTAAAATTCGGGTAGGTAGTGCAAGGCTCTTTAGTAAAATACATTATCTGTAAATACTGCTTTATAACATATTCTATTTTCATTTTCTTTTTGCGATAATTTTTAGGAGGCAGGAAGTAAGAAACTGCAAACAATCATGCAAAATATGGCGTTCCGTAGAACCATTATGGCTACAGAATGGGAACATCAAAAGGAAAGAATGGAAATTAATGATTTGATCGAGCAAATAAATGATATAAAGGGTGTTAAGGTATTATGCTCTTATCGTTTCTTAGGTCCTTGAGTACTAAGAGCGTCAAGTAGTACCTTTCTGCACGAGAAATACGTTTACGAACAATGGTTTTCTTCAATACTTCAAGAGCGACGGAAGTATATTGTGTTAAAATTGCATAATGCGTTTTTACTTCCTATGCCAAAAGTGGCGAGGAAATATTGTAATCGCGATAAATTTCGAAATTGAGATATTATGTTCATATGATGATATATGACATGTGCTTCACTAAAAACCATGTCACTCATTTCCGTCGGTCTGTTTGTCGGCCCGTCCGCCAATTTCATAACCGCCTATAACGTGAGAAGTACCGCTCGGATTTTGATGAAATTCCACACAAGGTTACTACTATGTCAAAGATGAAAAGGCTTTGTAATTTTTGAAGATCGGTGGCGCAGCAAATTTCGTTTTTTTTTTCACGTTTTAGAGGGTCCTGAGAATTTTCAGAAAAAAAATTATATTGGTTGACATTTGGGGCTTGTGTGGGTGGGTATATGATTTTTTTATCTAAGTTTATTTATACGCTCCCAAACCCGGTAATTATATGCGCCTATTAGCCATATTTCACACAAATCATAAATTTACCCGTACATTTGCCTTCAAGACAGAATGATAGAGGAATATTTTCGATCCGCGTGCTGGTGCCTATCAAAGGGAACCACCTAGTGAACAAGTCCTGACTGCTTGAGTTAAATGTCTACGAGAGAGATGTGTGTATAGACACATACGTTAAAAAGAAACAGAAGCGGGCTGGATAGCAAAGCTCATCACCGCGTTGCCTGGCAACGCTGACGCGGCAATCTGCCGCTTTGACAATATGTTACATCAGTTCCTTGAAGTAAGATAGTTTATACCCCAAATAATGGTTTTATTTTGAGCGCACACATTTTTGAATTGTGAATTGTGTCGAATCTGTGTAAGATCGATTCCGGATTGGACCTAATGGCGCTTCATTTTAGGGCGAAATGGAAGGTCAGTATCGCCACAAATTCTGCAACATTCGTTCGTTTGATAACACCGCATGTTGTACATTCCAATGCAAGGTTTATTAATTATTATTAATTTACCTAGCGCTCGTAGGTGAGTGTCCTCCTACCTCGAAATCACTGTCACCTGCGTACACGCAGGCAGTGATAATTTGTATTTCGTAACGTTATTTGTTACAATTTCTGGCCGCAGCGCTGTCGCTAATGTAACAATAACTCGGCATGTTTTGATACTGTCACCATCGGTGGATATCAAAGATAATTCTAAAATAAATTGAAATACTAAGTCGCATAAAAATTCTAATAAATAATTCTAATCAAAATAAAAACAAAATATTAAATTAAATGTTGGAACAGACCTCCTTCTTGGGTAGTAACCTAAGCTAGTGTAGCAGATTGCACGACCTTCTGCGTCACCATCGCTAGGCAATGTGGTGATGACCTTCACTTTTCTGTCGGCTTCTATCTCTTTCTAACATGTGTTAATACACCCTTCTCGTACAAATTAGACTCAAGCCGTCAGACAAATTTGGTTTTCCCTGTACGTATTCGTACTGAAGCTCAAAAAACATACACAGCTTGCACGAACCGAAAGATAACTCGCTGCAGAGATCCAGAGATGCCGCCCAGTAGGGCAGGGAAAGAATGTCTTGCTAACTGTATGGGTCTGTTTGACTGACTCTATAATAATCACTCTGTTCTACATATAAGTAACTAAATATTTTTTCAGAGGATTTGAATTGTCCAGAGTCTACCTACTTGACACCATTTTTCACAACTGTTTCAGTTTACCTTTTTCTATATTATTGTTCTAAAATTGATAATAATCCATGCATTCTCATTATTAGCCCAGGTAGTATCTTTGCGTCGGTTCGTAAGAATATTTTGATCGTCAATACAAATCGAGAAGATGATTTTGCAAATATTTCTAATCGCTGCTTCTCAATGTTTTTCAAAAAAAGCATGGCTTAACTACTGTTTCTATTCAGTTGATGAGCATATTGATCTATAACACTCGGATATATAATAAAATAGTTTGTAAGACCTGACATGTACATTGTAATAATTATAATGTGGTCAATAATATGGTATGATATGGTATTCAAAAAGGACCGCTGCATGTTACCAGTCCCAAAACTGCTCCAAAAATTGTTCGGATAATTTTATTTAATAATTTTTGCCCTTCAGACATAGATTTTTTAGGCCAATCTTAACAAAAAAGGGTCATGTACGTTTCCCTACAGTTGGCAATTTAGATATATCATCGATTTATTATTTGAAAAAGTGCGAAACATGCCATTTTTATCCACGAAAAATAATATGAAAACACGAAAATGTTGCCAAAGTTCCCAAATATTCCTCAAACATCCATTAATGAAATCCCAAAGCGTATTATGTTGTATAGCTATTGTAAACCTTTGTTTTTAAATAGTTAATCAAGAGCATACTCAATGTAAAAATATAAATTTAGTAGGGGATCAAAGTAAGTCAGGTGGAAGAGGTCCTCAAAACCTATCGAATTAGCCCTTATATGTGTGGTCCGAAATTTTATAGTTCAGGAGATATTTGCAATTTTGTGAAATTTCGAAGAAAAACGGGATAATGAACAATCGGTATTACGACTAAACCATTAGGTTTAGGGCTGTGATTTTTTTCTGAGATGAGCTAAATGGTTAGTTTTAGCAACGCTTATGCCACTTTTTAACAGAGCTTATTAGAAATCAACGTAAAAAATCTTGAATTCATTTTTTGCGAAAAATCTCTACCATCTCTCAACTTTGGAGGGCGGTAAAAAAAATTGAGGTTATATTTAATATATATTATAATTAATGTAAATATATGTTATAATGATACATTTCATGCAATGCTCGATCATTTCATGAAATAGCCAATTTTGCGATATGGTCACGACATATGGTATACATGCAATGAATACGAACTGTTCACGTTTGGTTCTTTTTCCGTTTGAAAAGGTCTATCCAACGGTATATCACTAACTATTGGCAGCGGCGGATGTAGGACCTGTGGGCTCCGTAAGTACAGAATCCATGCGAGACCAATTTGATCTGAGGCCCCATAATCCGCGTTTGGGAGCCCCCTTGAGTATTGGGACCCGAAGCGCAGTGTATCGTGTGCCTCATCTTAGATCCGCCTCTGGCTGTTGGTCTAGGTATAGCTCACGACAAACTTATAGATTCTTTTTGGTACCGAAACGCGTACAGTATGGTTTTTATATGATACAAGTCTAAATGATGATAGCTGTTTCATCTGTATAAATTATGCATTTGAGCAATGTGCAATATTGTGAAAAGCACTAATAGTTTCCTATAATTACTTTAAATGAAGTAAGTCTACAATAAATCGCAATACGGACATAGCAACAATTTCACATACTTTGATTGTGCTATATCTTGACCGACTCGAAGCCGCTAGCCCACACCTCCGTCCCGCGCGCCGCACCTCCACAAGCTAGTCTGTGCGTCTAGAGGTCTAGACAATGTACAGAAAAGCCGCGCCTTTCGCTCTTACGGCTTTAAACAACCGTCTAAAAATGTAAACAGACCCTATAAGTTTGTTAAGAACTATACCAGAATGCCTTGTTTGCCCGACAGTCCGACTGTGGGCATTGAAACACACCTTTTCGAAAGAAATAAATCTAGTTTGATTCAAATTGCCGTTTCAGTTCACCCGTGAGATGCAGCAATACGTAAAAGCGAAAGCGCGAGGGATGAAAACCGAGGCCGACTCCTTCGAGCAAGAAATGGAGGCTCTAACAGCCACGTACGAGAGCACGCTCAAAGACAAGCGAGACAAGCATTCGAAGCTGGTCAGGCAGATCAGTGCCTACAAGGAGCATAACGCCTCTTTAGATCAAGCGATTCAGAATATTAATATTGATGTATGCTATTTGAAGATTCATCAAGATCATGAGTTGGAATCTAAGGAGAGAGACATGGTTGGCACTAGGTAACGTGTTGATATAATGTACATTGAAAATGGAAAAAAAATGCGTAACAACACCATATTCCAATCTAAAATATAGTAGAGGACCGTTCTCAACGAGAGCAACTTTTTTTGACAACGGAAAGCCTGTTGCCCTATCTGTCTTGCCTGCTCGAGATATGACATTTTCCAGATGTGCGGAATATCCACTAAAACCCCTCAGCCGTTCTAAGCATCTGACCACATTAATGCTATCAACATTCCATCGTGTTGGGTAGCATTGCGCTAAGTTTTCATACCAAAAGGTATTTAAGTAATCATCTTATTGTCAGCGTCGTACATGAATGTACGTACCTATGCATAAACGTGCACAACCTAGCAAGTAGAAACCTATTGTTGATTCCTTGGCCTGTTTTTATCTTCATAAATCTTACTCGGCATCATCCATCTCACGAATTGGTTTAATGTCAACCCCCATTTGCTCTCGCTTACACGCCTAGTAAAATTGTTAGCAGTGTGCGTCAATTCTACCACATTCGAATAGCAGTTCGCGTACTCTCTCTTTCCTACCATCTTCAAGTAGTTATCAGACATGTCCTGTGAGGAACTGTGCAGTATACTAACATATCCGCACCGCTCCATTTTCAATACAAGTTTTAATATCTGGCATCAGCCTTCTAGTCCATGCACCATGACCAGTTGCATCCAGTTCTAACCACATCTAATAAAAAGCGCATCTCTTTCGTCGCCTCTAGCTTCGGCGCTCTTTTTGTCTTTTTATTAGCCGCGGATTCCTCAGACCGCAAATCAATTGGCAGGACACCAGTCACCATCAGTAGCACCTAGAGTTGTGGATTCGCGTTACTATCATGTATTCGTATTCTACAAAGTAATCATTTATTGTATTCGTTACTTTGATTACTATGAGAATAACGATTTGGCAACGTGCGTCGTGTAATGCCGAATTTGAGCAACTTCTATGGAACGAGTACATTATGCTTTAGTTTGGTAAGTTGTAAGTAAATTAACAACCTTAAACCTCGACAAAACGTTTAATCATCATCTATTTAAATCTGCCGTGCTTTATGAAAAAGGAGATTGATTATTATACAATAGGGTCGTATGACTCTTATGTGCCTAAGACCTGTAAATTGTATTTACGAGAAATACTTCAAAAGCATGTCTTTTGGTTAGAAAGTTGATCTGTATATGAGCCTGAGGTAAATTCGGAATGGCAAGTAACTTTTCCAAGGACTTCAATTATACATGTACCATTATAGAAAATTATATGTAAAGCTTAGTCTACATATACCACACGAATGTGTGATTTCTGGCGACCCTGATGCATAAGCGGCAGCGCTACAGCGATGCCTAAGATGGCAGAAACCAGTGTCGCCACTTAATGATCAAGATTGTACGCGTACGGGTACGGAAAACCGAGTATTCGAGTAACGAATGGGGTGAATGTGCCAGTAACCCGGACACTACTAGTAGTCCGACAAATATTATATTATTGCTAAAAACTTGAATATTTGAAATCCTATAGTTGCTGGTAATTGGTACCAGATTTATCAACTAATTTCTGACATTTTACAATAATTTCACACCCACAGTTGTCATATTGAGAACAGTATCAGCGCGTCAAAAATAGCATGCATTCGATTCCCCAATTTTTGTCAGTTGTTTAAAGGCCAGTAAAATCGTCAGCTGACAATATATAAATGCTGCCCCTTGTTACATATACAGAAGACATTCAAAATTTCCGAAATAAATGACTCTTATAATGTTATTTAACATTCAAATTGGAGTGGCCGCTGACTGGATCATCATACTAGTCAAAATTTAATAGTCGGACACTAAACTTGTCGGAAAATGGCGTGGTTGGTTGGTCTTTTTCGGTCTAAACATAGAGACTATTAAACTTCTGACTTGGAATTAAACAAACCAAAATACTACTGAAGCCCCAGCCAGTGGACGGTCAGTAAAAGATAACAAATAATGTAGATTATGGCCAGTGATATTCCGTCCGACTACTGGAACGAACGAATTTTACATAGCATTCCAATAACCATTTTCCTGCAATTTTTTCACGAGACTGTGAAATAAAATTTCATATTTTCACTTCATTCGGGAATGTAGGTATACCAAGAAAAAGATAAATTCCGTATATAGTGAAGGCAGGTTAAACGGGACTTTAGAAGTTGTGAGAAATGTTGAGAAATTGCTCGTGCAGGACCGGATTCAAGGAAAAATTAGTTTCTTGATCATTTTTATGTTGTTTGTAAGTATGTATTTTTGATAAAAACATGTATATTGAATGGATTCAGTATTTCTTCCTTCAAAGTCTTAATAACAACTAACTGATTTGGAATTTATATTCCACTATCACAAAGATTCAAATACACTTCTTTCTAAACCTTGGCAATCACATGCCGTCCGACAGATAGAAACTAGCCGGCCGATTAGTTGCACCTTCTGTCTGAATACTGGCAAAATAAGACATTATTGATTAAATCTTGTTTAGAAAATTACAGGAATATGTATAAGCAATGAATTTGTTGCCGGCGAAAAGTTAACAACATAGGTATATATGAACACTTTCAACAACATTAGTTATCTTAAATACAAAATTCCTAATTATACTTTGTATTCCACTTTTGTCTAAGCTGTCCCACCACTGGCATATTCACCCTAGTTACTTTTTCAACACCTCTAGTAGCACCAGTAGTGCACATCGTGAGTACATGGATGTACATCCATCGACACCATTTTGTAAGTGCAACACCACCTTCCGCTGACTTCTTATTTTTCCTCAAGGCAAGCATAATCAAGTTTGCCATCTCTGACAAAATCCTACTCCTTGCACTATTGGGTACCTACTTCATCAAATAGCATTAGCCGTATCAGATATGAAACGACTTAGACCCGTATCGTCAGTCGTCCCTACAATTCTAGGGCGCCTTTATGGCCTCCTTGATTGTCATAGTTTTCTACTTCTCCGTGTCAGAACTCTATTTTGAGGTTATGTCACAAACAACTATTTGCATCAAATTGTGCTTGCTTTTGAGTTATATCATGTTTTATCAGCCTGAAATTTCCTACAATTTAAAAAGAAAACATATCTTCACAATAGGAGAGCGCTGACCCTGACACGGGACAAGTGTAATGTAGAAATTTTTGAAGGAGAGAAAGGCGTATGACAATCAAGGAGGCCATAAACGCGCCCTACAATTGTAGTAACGACTGACGATACGGGCCTTAGCCTTAGATGTTCAAGCATTTTCAAATCTCTGTCGAGCCGCACACGCAAATACTTAATATTTTATTATATCAAAACTAGTTTTAATCTTCCCTTGAATATGCTAACATAGTTAGCGAAACACGTGTCCTGTCATAGTCGCTATGCTAAGCTACGTAGTTTTTATTGGGGTTGAACATGCTCTATATGCAAGATCATATATACCAAGATAAGGATCCTATGCATGGGATCTCAATACATGTAGGAGATACAGCTTAGGTTAAATCAGGAAAAAGTTGCATTCTTTGGGGCGTATTATACATGCCGTTGAGAAACTTGTTAAATTTTCATGGCATATTTGGGAAAAACAAAAATTTGCCCAAATCATTTTTATCTTTTTTCTGACTTTTTTCAATAAATATCAAAAAACTAATGAAACTTTTCCATTGGCACTTTTTAGGCACTACATTATGGTGTTTTTAAATTTTGTTGCCGACGGTTCGTTTTTCAGAAACCATCAACTTTATTTTTTATATGGTCCGAAAAAATTACACCTGGTATCGAGTAGCAATTTTATACAAAGTCAACGATTCACATTTTATAATTAAAAATGTTTTTTTTCTGATTTTTTTTTATTTTTTCAGACGTTGCAAGCAAATGCTTAACTAGACGTAAATACCGATCACCGAGTATTATTTTTCTTGCGTATTGTTAATATTGCTTTATTATCGTCAAAGATGCCAGGCAGTCATTTTAGCAATGAAGAAAAGTTTGACATGTGGATGTGCTACATTTTGTGCTACAAAAATACTAAAAATACCGCAGAAATAAATTTTTCGAAAGAAGTCCATTTTCTCAGAGCTTGATAGAAAATTTAAATGAATATGATTCGTTTAAAGAACCTGTTACGTCTCGGAAAAAGTAATCTTTAGAGGAAACTCAGGATATTGTTTTACAAGCAGTTGCTGTGAACTTGAAAAAAATGTAGGGTTAGCCAAATCCATACCCCAATTTATTTTGCTGAAAAACAGATGTCACCTCTATAAAAACAGGATTTGCCAGACATAGACCAGAAGCTTGATTCTTAATAAGTTTCAACCGTTGAAATTGATTTCGACGGCGACTTGTGACAATACATTTTATTCGCTATAATAATTTTGATATATCGATCTTCTTTATTCATATTATCGTAGCAGTGTCAAAATTACCATAGCGAATCATGTATATCGAGGCGCCATCAAAATGTGTGAAAATTTTATTTTCCCGTCAAAAATAATATGGTCCGACGAGAGTATGGTCAGTAATAATGGTACCTTTAATCGCCGCAACACTCATTAGCGGGCTAAATCTAGAAAATCTACGGCTAAAAAAGTATCCATACATTAAGAAGGTTTTGGGTTTAATACGTGGTGTAGAATTCTAGGGATCAAAATATTAGGTCCATTTATTTATCATAACTCATTAACTGCAGAACGGTACCTTCAATAAATTGTTCCAACATGATCTAGAAGACTGCTTGGGTAATTTACCTTTTGCACAAGTTAATAGCTGTTGGTTTCAAAAAAAGGGTGTTCCTGCACATAGCTCTAGGCAAGTTCATCAGTATCTTTCTCAGCGATTTCCCGGAACCGGAAAGTGGATTGGAACCTCCAGTAGAGTGTCCTGGCTAGCGCGTTTCACGGATATGTCATCTGAATTTTTTTAAGGTTTTATTAAAAAACAAGAATGTGTAAAGGAAACATTTGGTATGATTACACAATAAATGTTACGTGTTTTGAATTTTACTGTTAGAAGATCCATTTTTATGTTTAGAAAATAATGGCAACCTTTTTGAACACCTATTGTGAATAAAATAAAAATAATGTTAAAAACGTATTCGTCATTCTGAATATCAGTAGATTAAGTATCATTTTATAAAATTTTACCCCATCATATCATTATGTAATATGCATCTATCAGTATATTACTGATGTAAGATTATGTTATTCATAATCTTACATCAAGCATTTGTTTTGAATGCAAACTTAAATAAAATAAAAAACGTTTTTCCTTATAACTAAAAAAACTAATATAACATGTGATATGTCGTTGATTTCGTTCAAAAAGATGCTATCAGATACAAGGTTTACTTTTTTCGGACCATATAAAAGTAGATTTTTTCCTAATTTTACCTAAGCTGTATCTCCCACAGGTATTGACATCCCCATGCATAGGATCCTTATCTTGGACACCCTGTATATGACGCTGTTTCATCCTTGCTTGACATCATCAGTGCGATATATGACATGGGATAAGCTATATCCAGGACATTGAATCAATCTATGTTTATTTCAGGCTGTATACTTTTGTAAATTGATGTGGCAATTTTCTTTTAGAATGAATGCATTGCTCCGTAGAAGCAGCCTAATCCAGCAGATTCAAGAAAATCATCAAGAAATACTGGTCCTACAGACAGAATTGGAATTGTTGAGGCTGAAAACGTACCCTACATTTGAATACAAAGTTATCAATACAGATTAAGCTTTGTGTTTAACACAATTATTTATTTGAATATATTGTATGTTAATAACAAATTGTAAAAACGTTTCCTCAAGCCTTCTTCATCATAATCATAGGCTCAAACTAGTAAACGCCAAATTTTAGTGAAATATTTTATTTTAATAAAAATAAAAAATCAATTAGTTTCATTCTCGTTTTTCTCAGCTACATCATTATCAGATATAAAATCAAAAACATTATACAAAAGATGTGTATTATATGCTCTGGTATTGCTAATACTTCTAAGATAATCTCTATTGTGATCATTGTGAAGCCACTTGGAATCTTGATAGCTAGTGGAAGACAGGTCTTTATTTTTGCCTTTTTCAAAAATGTGTATGGATTTTAGAGACTTAAAATTCTCTAACCGTCTAATAATAGTGTTCGTTTTTATGATGAAACCAGCCATTTTTACGTGCTTGTGAAACCTAGCTTCCTCTTGTATTTCATTTATATCTGAAACGATTAGACCCACTAAGAGATTGTTTAGAATAATCGTCATAAAAAATATGAACGTGCTCGTCAAAATTCTACCAAAAATTGGGTACTCTTTAGGTTCTATAACAGGATCGTCAAGCTGTCCTGTGAATCGTACAAGACTTAAAAACAACGTTTTCGAAAAATCTGCTGTGATACTGGTGAAATTGTAATTTCCTTTATCTATATCAGTTGTATCACCAGTTTCAAAAACTATGTAAAAACATATAGCAAAAGCAATGAACTGTATAGAATAGAAACCAAAATACTGCAAAAAGTATTTTGTAGAACCGAAAATAAGCGTATATTTAGTAAAAGTAGGCATTTGACTCAACATTAAAAACAACATCACAGTCGAAAGCAAAATTGAAATAACTCTAGCATATATATTTGGTATCAGTATCGTTGCTAACGTAAAACCAATAATAGAAAGCTCTGCATAGTTTGATATGTCCGAGAAATATTTCAGACGAAAAAGAAAAAATAACTGTATCATTTCTTTAAAAAATTGCATGAAAAGAAGCGTGTAAAGCATATAGTTAACAAATAAACTAATAAATCCCACGTGACTGAAAATCATATACAAACAGATTGAAATGAAGTAACTAGCATAAAATATCAAGTCTGCATAGTATAACCAACAGACTCTACTCCATTGTGAAAGTATGAAAAGCACTATCAGAGGATGTAAAATCAATTCTTCTTTCATAGGATCATCGATTAAGTACTGGAGAGTCTGTGTTTCTGAGTAAGAATACATCACAGTTCCATCACTTTTGACGTAAGAGTAATCTTCAATAATACTGTTGCAGTTGAGGCCGTTTCTAATACAATCGTCAAAATGGCTTCTGAGGATTGTTGGATGAATTCGTTCTATGATTAAATGTTTTTTCTTTTCTTCTTTCCTGCCGTAAGTTAGTGGAAGACCTAAGCTGAGTATTTGGCATATTAACTCCGTGTCATCTGTGTCTGTCTCGCGCATTTCTAAATTTAGGTGATGTATAACCTTAAACAAAAATAAGAGAAATGCTTAAATAGTGTGTACCAGAACAATTTTTACCGAATATTTAAATCTACTTAATTCTTAGCTGGCTTTAAATATAGTCGTGATACACCGAAACATTTCTAATTACTTTATGCTTTTATATAGTTTCATTTTAGATGAAGCTTGAGTTTCAAAAAAATTACCTCATTCAATACAGCAAGCTTTGCATCACTCAATCTAGTTCCCTGCTTATTTCTATGTAGTGATATGAGTTTGTTCAGAAACATGTACAGTGAGTGATTTCTGTAGATTTTATGATTCCTGAGAAAATTGGCGCGAGTATTAAAAGATAACTTTGGCAACATCTCAAATATATCATCCATATTTATTTGGCTTTTCTTGTGCAACAGCAGAACTGCCACCATTGGATAATAACCACGTACTGACGCAGCTTCTAGTATGGTAACTTTATGTTTGCTATCTGTTAAATTGGGATCTGCGTTGTTGTTTAACAGATGATATATACATCTGAAATAAAAATTATACTAATTAAGCATAAGCTTTAGCTCTTAAGCTTCAGTCTCTGTGAAGGCCATATAAAATACGATGAGAAGACTGAAAACATTCCACTCAACAATTTGAAGAATAAATCCTCATCTTTATTGGTTTAACTGGCATGTTGCACGATAAAAGTATCGTGCTTTTAGCATCCCATATACGTCTGTGCAAATTATAAGAAATAACGTCAGCACTCCTACGTTGGTAGATCCTTGAGTGAGCTCTAAAGGCCGGCATTTAATGGCTTGATGTCACTCCCACTCCATTTTGCAGCTACCCTATTTCTATAGAGTCATCCATATCGACTCCAAACAACGTAGCTCGGCCAATTTTAGAGTGACTGAATAGTGAATGAGAATCCCTATACTATATCACTAGTTCAAACTTTGTGCACTAGTCTGTAATATTTTTACAGCTTACACTGTATTACAGAAAGTCATATTTAAAAAACTGTAAATGTAAAGAAGCAAATTGTATTTGAAGGGGTCTTACCTTTTTAATCCTTTACTACAAAATATTTCCAGCATAGGTGTATCCATAATATCAGTCTTATTCAACTCTTCAAGATATAATTCACTCTTCACATATTCTATGAATCCCTTCCAAAAACAAAATTGCAACATCGTACCACACGTATTGTCTCTAGATCTATCGAAGCAGTTTGAGTAGTCTTTAATGTTTTCATTATTGTATTGCAAAAACGATTTCTGATCCCCAGATTTCAAGAAACTAAATAAAATGTTCACATCATCTTCCTGGTAATAATTTGATGGCTGTGAAAGCAGAGCTGTAGAACAGATGTTGTGGCGTTTCAAGTAAATCTGTAAGATGCCAAAAGAATCAAAGTTTCATTCAACGCCAACAACTATTGACTGTACTAGACTTCAGCGGCCAAGACATTATCCGAGATGGAATAAAATATCAGAGCGTCATCCCTGAGAATTTTTTACAACTATGTGTCTCCTTATCGCGATCATTAGAAATCTATATACTTTAAAAACATAACCCCACATAAACGGCGCTGCAGCCAACTATGTGAGCATATATGAACAGTCTCGAAAGAGAAATACATCACTTGATCTAAGTCTAAGCCTTAAAGAATGATGTCAATGATGTTGAAAATCTTGCCTGTTAATTACGTTACACTTACCCTTATGCTTTTCCCAGCTTCTCGACAATTATCCAGATCAACAGAAGGTGACTTCAACAGCATATCAACAATTTTTGAATACCTATATCTTGCTGCTAGAGATATTGGTGTTTCATTCCAAAAATTCGCATGGTTCACATCTATCCCTTTCTTTATAAGTATTTCCGCGCATTTTACTATGTTATCTTCCTCTATGCCAATTACTGAGAACGGTCTTGATTTGGAACCATTAGATAGCACCACTTGGAATGGCTCCACCGAGTATGTGAGCAGTATGTGTAAGGCATTTTCCGAAAAGAATGTTAGCTGGTCTACATTGCCCACATGCTTGATAAACGATTCTAGTTTCTCTGGAAGAGCCGCTTTGGCGAGGTAATGTATTGGTTCCCATTCGTAAAAATCTTCATTGGAATAATTTTGGTCCCCTAATAAAAATAAAACTTGAACTAGTAAATTCAATAAAGTAACTGCTTCGAACGAAGATAATATCTCATTAGTTTACCCCTCTATCAAAGTTCATACCATATAAATAATAGTTTCAAAAAACTAAAAAAACACGCTTTTATAGCTAACCGAACTGAAAAGTAGAAAACAATTTTTAATTACAAAGAGTTTATATTACAGTAGTAGATATTCAACCATCTAATCAATCATAATTGATGACCTCAAAATAAAATTTAAGTTATTAACAGAATACTTCAATCCAGAGTATAAAGCGTGATATATTAAATGTTACAATCATTCTATTATCAACTATCTATGATAGGAGAGTTATGAAAATGTAGTAAAATGCACCACATGCTTTTCTGAATTGAATTATTCTGTTAATAACTTAAATTTTATTATAATTTTATTTTGAGGTCATTAATTATGATTGGTTGTTCGACCATCTACTACTTTAATATAAAATTCATTGTAATTAAAACTTATTTTCTACTTTTTAGTTTGGTTAGCTATAGAAACGTGTTTTTTTTTTTAGTTTTTTAAACTATTATTTATTTTTCATTTTTTAGTTCGATTTTTCAAATAGTTTTTTTGTGGGTATGTGGTACTGAAATGTTTTACGAAGCATTTCGTAATCTAGTCATTTCATTTAAAGCTTCACTGTCGCATGGGGTTTCTCCTGTTAACTTAAAGTAATCAAGTTCTCCAATCCGAATACCGTCTAAAGATCTTAGACGACTAAGTGCTACATAACCTTGCATCTTGTGGACGGTCGAAGCTCAACTCAGGATTAATCGCAACAATCGCAATGAACTAGGTGACAAAGCACTACCTTGAAAAAGTATCAGCCTCCATTGTGCTGTGCCGAGTGCCCAAACCAACAAAGAGTAAGTCCGAAAAATTGCACGCATGCGCAGATCGCGCGCTAGCTCTATCTCTCTTACTCCCCTACAGAGGATATATAAAAGAATTTATCAATCCTGGCGGTCCTAATAAGGTTAATGGGAAACTGTTATCAAATTATTGTGTTGTCATCGGTCCTTGATACGTGTGCGATGTTTCACATTAATCAAACTTCTGGAAATTGATGAAAATTATTATTATCTGAAGGATACTAGCGCCATCTATGAGTCAGACAGAACATAAAAATAAATTGAGAAATTCACTTTGCAAAGAGTTCGCTTCTGGTACTGTTTGCGCTGTTATCTTCAGTCTCTTTCTCTCTGATGTCTATTTTAATTGGGTATCTTCAGGTGCTACTATCTCATAGATAGCACTCGGATATTTCAGATCCTTTTCCGACGCTGAAATGCAGTATATGGTTGACTATCTTCATCTAGAATACGTTAATCCACAGCCATGTTGAATATTTCAGCTCTAAGGTATCGATACACCACATACTTGAATAGCAAATGAAGTTTAATGGTTTAATCTGCAGTGACCAGTGAGAATGCCACACAAACAAGAAAATTGAAAGAAACCATAAACAACTATGGGTTCAAGCAAAAAATTGAAGAGAGTACCAGAATAACATCATTATCAGAGACTTTGTTAGATCTTGTTATTGTAAATTTCGAATGTGCAGGGATTAAAGCTGTACATACACCTAAAGTTAGCGATCACAGTTGGACAATGCTGCCCATGGTAGGGCATTTTTCTGATACAAAAATTAAGAAAATCGTAAATACTATTACGTACGAAAAACTTGAACGAGAACTTGCTGGCTGCTATTGGAATTTTGGTGAGAATATGGAAAAAATATATGACAACATAATAGGAAATATAAAAACTTGTTTAGATCTTGCAACTGATAAAAAAGTGATTTGCTCGACAAAAAATACACCCTGGTATAACAAGAATATTAAGGTAGCTCAAAATTTGAGAGACAAACAATACAATAAATGTATATTCACAAAATCAAATGATGATTGGGAGGTATATAAAACTCTTAGGAATAAATGTGTATATGTAATTAGAGAAGAAAAAAGGAAATTCTACGATAAACAAATCGATAATAACAAGTGCGACAGTGTAAAGATGTGGAAGACTTTAAAAAGACTGATCAATTCGAAGCCGCATGATTGTGTAAATCAAGTTCAATTCGAAAACGGTACCGAAACAAATTCTTTGGTGATTGCAAACAAACTAAATGAATATTTTTTGGAAAGTATTGTTGATATTGTGGGTACTGCCAATGCTGCACCTGACTATATGAAAATCAGTTTCCAGGGGGAAATGTTGCATACACTTTCAAAATTTCACAGCGTATCATTGAATTATCTAAGAAAAAAAGTAAACAGTTTAAAATCAAATAACAACTGTGCCGAAATCACTACTAAAAACGTGCTGAAAAACTGTTTCGAAATTTTGGGATATCCTGTATTAAATTAGATCAATTGTTCACTGAGAAGCAGTTCTTTTCCTGAAAATTTGAAATGCTCTACAATAACACCAGTTCCCAAAATAAAAAATTCTAAAAGATGCAGCGATATGAGACCAGTAAATGTTTTACCAGACATTGAAGAATTATTAGAGTCCATAGTGCATGACCAATTAATGCAGTTTATAGAAGAAAACAAAATTTTAGTGGAGGCGCAAGCAAGCTTTCGAAAAAAATATTCCACAGAAACAGCTTTCCAGTTGGTAACTGAGAATTGGAGAAGAGCCATAGACTCAGAAGAAGTTGTCATAGCAGTATTTTTGGATTTGAAGAGGGCATTTGAAACGATTGATAGAGATATTTTGTTAGGTAAATTGAAGGCATATGGTATAACAGGAAGTGTTTTAGATTGCTTTAGAAATTATTTGTCTAAAAGGATGCAAGTTACAAAAGTTAATAACACTATTTCATCAAAAATTCAAAATACGTTGGGTGTTCCACAGGACAGTATCCTGGGACCACTTCTTTTGATTTTATACATAAATGATTTACCTGTCATAGTCAAAAAATGCAAAATTCAGATTTTCGCCGATGACACTATGATTTATATAAGTACTAAAAATATTCAGTCTGGTATCTCTTATATAAATGAAGACTTGAAGCTTGTCTCAAAATGGTTAGCATCTATCAGACTAAAATTAAAAACAAGTAAAACGAAAGCCTTTTAATCGGAAAAAAACAATGTACAAATGTTCAACTGAATATTGATGGTGAAGAAATTGAATTCGTAGAAAATTTTAAATACCTGGGGGTTTTTGTTGACTCTCGATTAATTTTTGATATTCATTATGAAAAAGTTATAAATAAGATTAGTAGTAAAGTGGGATATTTATCGATAGTTTCTGTATGTCTGAGTTCATATAGCAGAAAAATTATCTATAATACCATCATTCTTCTAAATTTCTTGTACTGTTAGACTATTCTATATTTAGCAAATAATTCCATTTTTGAAAGACTACAAATTTTACAAAATAAGTGCATGAGAATAATACTAAATAAAGATAAATATACTCCAATTAGGCAAATGCTTAGCAAATTAAAATGGCTCAATGTAAAAAATTTTATCAAATATCTTGTAATGATATTCATTTATAAAGTAAAAAATAATATATTTCCATCAATTTAACATCATCAAATGTTGACCATCATTTACATAATACCCGAAATAAAGATGACTTCCATTTAATGACCAAAAAATATAACATATGCTACAAATCTGTATTCCATCAAGGGTTGATTGAATATAATAAATTATACTCGGAGATAAAAGACCAGAAAACTTTGACAAAAATTAAAGTCAAATTGAGAAATCACGTGTTAAATCTACAATTATAGGTTGCCCAGCATTTACATCATACACCATATAACTTGAATTTACTAGTTCTAAGTTGTTTACAATTATTCTGTTTATGTAGCCAAATGTGCTAAATAAATCTTTCTACTACTACTACTAGAAAATTGAGTGAGCGTCTACTTTTGTTCAATAGCGTTCCCACCCCAAGAACTGACACTATACAGGGTTATCCAAATTAAGTGTCCACCATTAGTAACTTTGTTATTAGTGAAAATACAAAGTTGTTTGAATTAGCAAACTAGTAGCATTTTTAACGCTGGTAAAAATGAGAAATAAAAAAAAACAATTGAGAGTCGTTATTTTGATTTTTTTCAGTAAAATAACATTTTTTTAAATGGAAACCCCTGTATATTATATTTTTTTCTGTTAAAGCATCAAATTTTAAACAAAAAAGTTCATAATGACTTTTCCGCTAAAGTCAAAAATAAAGTCAAAATAACGATAAATATTTTTAATTATTTGCAGTATTATAATATTAAGACGGCTATGAAAACAACATGGCGTTCGCGATTTGACAGCATTAAGATAAGCGACAAATTGTTAAACTGGACATACTCGCAACTAGAAGGCTTTGGAAAACAATGATAAAATCAAATAATGTCAAACATTAGTGTAAATACTTGTTTATAAGCTTTATTGTGTCATTAATTTAAAGAAAAATGTTCTCCCATGAAGAAAAGTGTGATATGTTAGAATGCTATTTAGTGTGCAGAAAAACCTCCTACAGTGAATTATATCCCGCTCGCATTCAGCCGTATGAACGATATTTTCTGAGACTTTATCGAAAATTTAGGGGCAACGAAAATGTTTTTGCTAAAACAAGGGCAAAAAAAGAATTCATAATAAGCGAGGCCACGGAAATTGCAGTTATTGGATATTTTGAAGCTTATCGTGAGAATTCAATAGCAGATATTCTCAAGGACTCTAATTTCAGTTATGGTACTGTTCAAAGGATTTTAAAAAAATACAAATTTATTCCGTATAAGTACCGACCAGTTCAAACGCTTTTGGCAGGGGATCCAGAGAGAAGACTTGTTTTTTGCCATTGGTATCTTAGCTTCTGTCGCCAAAATGTAAATAACTTTCGTTACCTTTTATGGACAGATGAATCAAATTTTTCAAATTCTGGAATGTTTAATAGAAAAAACCACCATTATTGGTCAAGAGAAAATCTTTTGTTAGTACATCCAAGAGGCCCACAAGTCCGTTTCAGTTTCAACGTTTGGTGCGGTATAATTGGTTCAAAAATTGTTGGCCCGTTCTTTTATGAGGGAACCCTAACTGGTGAAAGATATGTGGAATTTATGTCAGAAATTCTGACTAACTTCTTAGACGAATTGGATCTTATAAGTAGACATCATCTACATTTTCAGCAAGATGGCGCACCTGCCCACAACTCCAGAGGTACTTATCATTTTCTAAGTACTACTTTTAATGATCAGTGGATAGGAACAAATGGCCCAATACAGTGGCCTCCCAGATCACCAGATCTAAACCCACTTGATTACTTCTTGTGGGGTTACTTAAAGAACCAAATTTACAAGCGAAGGTACGATAACCTTGACGCGTTAAAGACTGCAGTTAGGGAAAAGATAACCCAGATAGATGGTAGGACCATACTTAAGACAGTTCGAGCAGTTGAAAAACGTGCCCAAAAATGTATTGAAGAACAAGGTGGTGTTTTCGAGCATCTTCTTTAAAAAAAATTGTTATTGTATTTTGTAAGATTATAAGTTGATGTTGAAAATAAAGTTTGTCGATACAATTTAATTGTTTCAGATTGGAGGCCATAACTTCAACAATTTGTAACCTAGGAGAAAAGTTATTGTAAGCTTTTTTGTTTAAAATTTGATGCTTTAACAGAAAAAAATATAATATACAGGGGTTTCCATTTAAAAAAATGTTATTTTACTGAAAAAAATCAAAATAACGACTCTCAATTGTTTTTTTTTTTAGTTCTCATTTTTACCAGCGTTAAAAATGCTACTAGTTTGCTAATTCAAACAACTTTGTATTTTCACTAATAACAAAGTTACTAATGGTGGACACTTAATTTGGATAACCCTGTATAGAGAGAAGAGGAAGGGTCTTGGCTGACTAGTTGAGATACAGGTAGAAAGACCTTGAGGATGCAGCCATAGCACAAAGAATTTAAGCCCAAAAAAATTTTTTTTGTTCACGTCAAGCTTTCAATAATGTTTATTTTCTCCATCAGGGCGATCAACAAGGAATATTTTATAACTTAAGTCCATTACAATAGCATTGAAAAACCATCAATTAGCGAACATTTATACGGAACAGGTCACAAATCAAAATATTGATCAGTCACACATGAAGTGTTTCAGGTTGGTCAATATTTTAATTTGTAACCTGTGCGTTAATGTTGTTAACTAATTAATGGTTTTTCTTTGTTTTTTGAACTGTCTACCGCGAAAGGGTATTTCAATGTTGTAAGTAATTTTTTCAATGATAATATGATGGATTTAAATTTCCAGACAATGTTCTCCGTGATGTGTCCTGATGAAGAAACGCATTTTTGAAAGTTTGTCATGAGCAAAGAACAAACCTTCTGTCTAGGCTGTCTTCTTAGGGTTATGGTTTCACACTCAAAACCTTTGTACTTGAAACTCAGACTTCAATACTTGAAATGGAAATAATTGTCTGACTTACCATATTTACGTTTCAACAGACCACACAATTCATCCAAAGTCTGAGGCGTCACGTCATTTTCTAAGCAAGCAATAGCAACGATGTTTCTTCCATGATGTCTTAAGTAGCATTCTTTTATATTACATAAGGTTGAAGTTTTAATAATGTTATCAATACGTCGAGAATCGTTCCGTAATACAGCTTGAAGTAGACTCTCATGTGAGTGGTAAACTACTACTTCCTTCAAACTATTATTTCTTGTGTCCAGCAAAATATCAGTCTCGTTCATCACATCAATTTATTGTACCTGAAATTTCTTTGGATGGGAAGAACGTTCAAACAGGAATTGGAAATTTAAGACCACGTCGATCAAACCCAACTTGATTTTGACATTTTCAAAACCTTTCGCGTATGTGCACTCTCGACTATATACCGTTCCTTGGGTAAATCTGGTAGACGGCAACTGGGAGGGTACAAAGTTTCATTATCCTAGTGCACATAGGGCTTAGCGACATTAGCATTGCTGATTGCCATATTGGCACCCCGGTGCACATAATTTCGTTCACTTGCAACAAGTCGAAAATGGAAAATTTGCGTTGCGTGTGTGTGCGCGCGCGTGCGTGTGCGCGTGCGCCTGAGGGTGTGTGTGTGTGTGTATGTGCACGCGAGGGTGCGCGCGCATGTGTGCGTGTGTCCAAGACCCTCTGTTGGGTAGGTCTGGTACATAGATCATGAATGTTATCAGTCTGAAACTGGCCGAACTCCCCAGAAGTCGCATTTCTTTAATCTGAATAGAGTGCGCGACACTTTAGAAATGTTTGCTAGAGATATTTGAGAAATATTTCAAAAGTGTGTATATGTAATTATACTCAAAATCCTATTCTTGGATAAATGATCTTAAATCTAATGTCACTTTTTCACTAAGAGCGATAACGTCTTATTTTCCTACTCTAAATAGGGGTTCACGATTTCGCGACCCATTTTTATGCGTCTCAAATTTCCCCATTATCTACAACGGACATCGATCACTTACAAGGGAGACAAAAATAGTTTTGATGGATGTGTTGCCACTAGATAGCGCAGATTCCCTAGAGACATTCCACAAAAAACAAGAATATAAGACCAAGATCCCTAGAAAATATTTAACTTCGACGCCTCTGAGGTTCAGCGGACATTGATGTACGATAGACAGCAGGGCAAAACGAAATCGTGTAGCTTGATTTCAAGTGTTGTAGCAGTAATAAACCAAATAACGAAAATAAAAAACATGCATAAAAGATAAGATTAAAATAAATATCTATTTTCTTACTTACCTGCTTAAGAAACTGATACAATATGGACACAGTCGAAAGAAAAGGTAAGCACACTCGATTCATATCTGTTTTAATTTTATTCCATATGACACAACACACAACTTCAATGCTAAATCAAGGACGCAAAATCGGACGTTTATTTGTAGAAAGCTTCTCATGTGAGAATTGTGTATTATCGCTATAGAATTGTTTCAACTTGTTTCACGTTTTAGATAATTGTATTATCTCAGATACATTTTCACATGTACACACTAAAAAAATGTAAGGTACTCGACATATTATATCGATAAATTCAATAAATTGATTACTTGGCATCTTTTGACAGAGTCTGAACTAAGAGGTAGTCGCGAAAAAGAGGACATTGACATAGGCAGGGCGCTGGAAAGAAACAAAACAAATGCAAATGCCGCTGAAGCTCCCGAGAGGCAGGTTAGGAAACAGACGAAGAGACGCGGTAAAATGAGTGCAAGTTCAGGGAGTGGGGGTAAGTATTGCACGTTTGTATCGGTCAGTAACGGCTCGAGCGGGCAGGTGTCTTGGCTGGGATTCCCATAAGTACCGCAACTTGCGAAGTTGTTAGATTCACAACAAGTATTTTGTTTTCTTTTTTGTTCAATACCCTTGGTAGCAGTAATTATTTTTATACGTTAAATTATAGCAGGTGGGATACGTTAATTAATGATTATCCTCTTTAGTCCACTGACACTTTATGCCCTAAGGCGGTAAAGTAACTTTAGTGATCGCTTTCCTAATTATCATAGACGAGAAATGTTCGTATGTATTTGCTGCTAGGTAACGGCTGCAACTAGGGGCACCCAGTGATATAGTACGGTCAATTTAATTATATTTAAGTCCTCCAAAAATTTCGGAATAGGCAAGAATTTGATGATAACTTGGTTTTACTATAACTTCGCGAAAAGACCGATATTATAGTTAGGAGTCAATCGCGCAAAATTGATGTTTGCTGGGAATGGATTGAATTTGAAACCGGCAAAATAGCTCGAATTTTTTGGCAACACGTTGCTACGTTAACCTACATTATACAATTAATGATTATTAATATTTGGAACATTTTTCAAATTGAATTCAAAATTGGAAGGTACTTACTTCATAACTTCATATGTAAGAGTATGTCATTCTGAAATAAAATTTTACACCGAATATATAATTTCTACTGGCTAAAGATCTATTTGTTGAACTTTTATAAAAAAAACTTGTGTGCAACAGTAGCGCTCTACATATTAACATACTTCGCATAACGAGTCAAAGGTTTTTTCCGTGTGGTAAAAAAATATTTTGCATTTTTACTATTCATGGTATTCTTTAATTATGTGACAATACCCCAGAATATAATAACAATAATACACGGCTTTATTGGCAGAGCTTAGCAAAGCTATTCTTACACTCAACCGTACTACTAAAACTAAAGCTTATCACTAATCTGACATACAAATATGATATTTTTACATATACAGTAAACGATTATATGTCTATGGATCTTTGAACTTAAAAAAAGAATGGTAACGAATCACAACCATAGGGCATTTACTGATTGATCTTATGCTGCATTTCTAGGAGATAAAGTCTGAGATGCTATTTGTAACGGATGCTATTACTATTTGAGATATCAATATTCCTGCTATAAATGAAAGAGGGACACTGCATAATACGTGAATGACATATGAAAAAGAGATGGTATTTACATGGCATTGTAAAATTGTTTTGATATCTTGTATTGGCATTATGTATACTTGACCTAGGGTCTAGCTTTTCTACTAAATATCCAGGGTTCTTGGAATACAGAACTATGGGATCAAACTTGTAGGGGTTATTCAGTGTAACAGTAGAAAACATTTGAGTATAGGGACCCATATCCATCCGGCGTTCGTATAATGTTATCTAAAATAAATAAAAACGATAACAGAGATTGTTTTTTGTAGCTGCATTCCATATCGCCTTAGTCGTGCTATCGTATTTGTGATGTTTGCAAGAATTTAACAAAAATTGATTGTTGCTAATGGAAAACTTTAGCAATCAAGAATTGGCGGATATGCATTTGGCATACGGAGCAATAAGCTGCAATGCACGAGCAGTAGCGCGGTTGTATCAAGAACGTTATCCCGAACGACAGCATCCGGGATACAAAAAGTTTATTGCTATTCATCGGCAGGGCACCGGGACAGGCATGTTTAAATTTAAAACCAACATGCATGATACTGGTGTTGCTCGAACCGTAAGTACGGTCGAATTCGAAGAGGTCCTTCAGCGAGTTGCCGACGAACCCCACACGTCACATTGCTGAGGATATGAATACGAGCAACGCTTCCGTCTGGCGGGTGCTACACGAGCAACAACTTTATCCTTACCACTTCCAGAAAGTTCAAGGATTGACTGCAGCCGATTATCATCCTGGAGTTCAAGTCTTTCAATGGCTTCTTCATCAAATCGCTGCACAACCAAATTTTTTACGCTATGTTTCATGGACCAATGAAGCCTGTTTTACAAGAGGCGGTATTTTTAACAGTAGGAATAGTCACGTTTGGGACAAAGAAAATTCCCATTCAATTTTTCCTAGAAAACATCAGCAACGTTGGTCTGCCAACTTCTTGAAAATGTTCCATTGAACGTTCGACAGCAAATGTGGTTTCAGCATGATGGAGCGCCGGCTCACTTTGCTATACAAGTACGTGAGTATTTGACTCAGCGGTTTAGGCACCCTTGGATTGCCAGAGGTGGAGCAGTTTCTTGGCCTCCTAGGTCACCCTATTTAACGTCGCTAGATTTTTTCCTGTGGGGACATGTAAAGTCTTTGGTTTACGAGACTCCAGTAGAAACAGAGCAATACTTAATTGGACGAATTACAGCAGCATTTGAAATCATTCAAGACAAGTATCAAATTTTTAGTCAAGTCCGCCGAAATCTTGTGCGACGTTTAAATCAGTGTATTCAGGTTGGAGGAAGACATCTTGAACAATTGTTGTGATGATATCATGTACAGAAGGCAAAAATTGAATGCATTAAATCCTATTTAGGCAATTCATCGTCTTTCGAAATTTTAACGCGTCTTAGGGCAGTAGTGACACTTTTCCGGATATGGGTCCCTATAGTCAAATGTTTTCTACTGTTAGACTGAATAACCCCTATAAGTTTGATCCCTTAGTACTGAAACACCCTGTATAATACACGACTGTGTTGTTAAGTAAAAATTTTGGATTAGAAAATTGATATTAAGCCATTGTAAAAGTCCGAATCTAAAACAGCAACAGTTATTCTGTAATCTATGCAAACGCATTTGAATTGAATAGTCCACAAACTATCAAACCATATTAATCGATAGCACTAAACTTTCAGCCAACTTTTTCCTCGACTTGAAGTTAATGGCACTTATTGGCGTATTGAACCCGCAGTTCCAAATAACACCTAAGAGATAACGTTTTAATGTATTGTCGGTAATGTAACTTGTCATCTATGATCAGACCAAGTATATATGATTCCTCAAATAATTTATGAAGAAAACATATATGAACATATATGTCCATAATGGCTTTTTAGCTGAAGGGTGTTGATTTTACTTCCCATGCCTACTGGCGGGGAAGTATTGTAATTCGAAAATAAGTTACTATGTTTTTTGGACGTTATATGACATGTACTCCACGCAAAACTATAAACTCATTCCTTTCTGTCTCTTCGCTAATCCTATAACCGCCTATAACTTGAGAAATACAGCCTGGATTTTGATGAAATTTTTACATAATCTTACTACCAAGATCGCAAAAGCTTTGAAGTTTTTGAAAAGCGGGTTAGTGTAGCAGCGGAGAAAAATACCAAAAACGAAAAAAAAACGCTGGAACTTCGTTTTTTGATGTTTCAAATGATCATTTTTAGAAAAAAAATTAGGGTTTAAAAACTGGGGGGGGTATTTTAGGGGGATGAGGGAGGTTGTATCGTAATTTTTGATGTTACTTAGTTTGTCCTGAAAACTTGATAGAACGATAGACATTTTTTTTAGACAAGCGTCCCTACATCTGCTGACCTCAACTTCCGCACCGGCGTGCCGGTGTGCGTATGTTTCCTGTACCTCCATGACTGGTGCTGTATGGTACTGTGGGGGGCGCTCTACCGTGTGTCATGCATAATTCTTTCAGATATTGGTAACAGGCGGCGCGACGTTGCCAAGTGAAACGTACTACGAGTAGGGCAGGGAAAGGATGTTATGAACTAATTGTACGAACCTGTTGACGGACTTGGTCCATTTGATTTCTCTGTTACTCATGTTCGTAATTAACTTTTTTCTTTGAATTTCTAACTTGAACATGCTGTGTTCGTCCGTTCAAGGAAATACAGCTAACCACAGACAGCTGTTTCGTGTTTTTTGGCAACTCATCAGCATGGTCTATGCTTGGTCTCAGGAACAACGAACCTTAAGCATAGTAACTATCCTCTATCCAGGATCGATAAGATATATGGTCAATCTTATTTCGATAAGGTCTAACTTGTGCTGAACATAATCCTTTATGAACTGATGTCGGCGTTGCGTGGGAAATGTAGAATCAACTTACTCAACGCCATTTTTTTTTTGAAAAAAATGTTTTTATTTTATATCTTCAAAAGTACTAGATATTATTTTTATTTTTAGTGTGTTAGAAGAGGATATAATATGGTCATTCCCCCTTTTGGAATTGTTGATGATATTATTTTTTGTAATACATCACAAGACATGAATTATAGGGCCGATACTGGTGGTGCAATGGAATAAGTTTTTATACCAAAATATGTAATTGTAATCCTCTTATAATATGCTTCATTTAAAAATAATATTTGAAATACTTTCGCAGGTAAAAAATAAAAACGAGTTTTTTCTTAAAAATTCAACGCCCTGGAATAAGAAATTTAATTCATTGCGGGCAAATGAACCTTTCTTCATTAAATTGCCTAAGGAGTCATATTCTGGAATATTAAAACGTCATTACGGAACTGTATAAATAAATAAACATTTTTTTAAGTTTCCCCTGATAAATATCCTAGAAATTACGAAATTCAAAAAAAAAATCTAGAAATATGAATATCGCTATTGCCTCGCCTATACTGGAAATAATATGTAACTGGATAGCATGATGTCACCAAACAACCGCAATAGGATATGCGGGAACCATAAATAGATTTAGGTTTTATAAAAGGATATTTAAACATATCTGGGAAATCCGCATTGCATGACAAAGTATAAATATTAATGGACCTATTTTGTGGAGGCATCAGTATGTTGCATTTTAGTTCTCAAGGATGACAGTGGCGTACTTTATATCATAATATAAAAAATACTAGCAGGTGCCCGAGACCCTGCCTCTAGTATCAACAATTGAACAACTTAAATAATAATTGAATTATGTAATCTAACAAATCCCGGCCCTGCAAGATGTTCATTTTTATTTTTGCGCTTGATTTTACGAGTTACCTGTCAAAATTGAAATATTTTCTTGTTTTAACGGGCGGATTTTCATTTTGGGAGTTAGCAACCCTGGTAGTCACTAGCGGCTTTGCTGACGCCGCGACCGGTAGTTTAATGTGTGGCAGTTCTAAATTCAAATGTTACTTAAAATTAATAACATTCGAAAAACATTATAATCTTTGAATTCGAGATCAATCGCACATTTTCATGTTTTTTCTTTTATAAAGAATCATGCTTTTTACCTTTTGTATTATTTGATAGGAAGCACCACTTATTGGTGTGAACCCTGCCAAACACAACTCTCTAATAAGGGGTTTTATGATATACACATTGGAAGCAAGACCCATAAAAGGACATTGAGGAAAAAGGGAATTTCAAAAGGTAGAAAATAATCTTATTCAAATAATGTTTCCAACCAATAATAATTTTATGTTAAGTTGCAGTGGGGAAAATTTCTCATGATAAAGTTCAGGTAAGCAATAAAAACTTGTTTCTTACTGGGCGACTATGTGCAACAAAAGTCGTGCAAGCTTTCATCATGTTCTTTTGTTTTAGACACCAAGATTGTCATATATGAGACCAAGTATGAGTATGGATATCCGTAAGTTAATAGCAGTATTTCTTAATTTACTATACACAAAAGTACTGTATAATTTCAGACTTTCGACATTTTGTTTTGAAAGAGGACCAGCAGTTTCACAGAGAAGTAAGTTGAACACTTGTTGAACAAATTTCACTGCCCGACCTTTTTGAATAGTCTTCATTTATAGTTAGTGCTTAACGAAGTCTATAGTTCTTGGCGGTTACGTCATCAACGCCATATGAAATAAGTAAACAGATCGAGTAACCGTACCATGGGTGGAACTCTGCGCAGACTAATCTTCAGCGCATATGCTACTCTTTCCAGTACGCATGAAGTGGGTAACAGGGGAACGCTGTTTTCATCCTCTTCCTGGAAATACTCTAATAAATTTAGCAGGAGCTGCCGGCCTTCTCCATTGATCGTTTTTGCGGGCATTGTACAATTTTATATTGAAGATTGATAACAGGACAACTCGATCTCAAGTAAGTTGTCACTCTGACAAATATGATTGAAGGACACTCATACGTAACGACAAAGTTTTCGAGACGAAGAGACACAACTAAAAAATGTATGTATGTAGTGTATTTGAGTTAACCGAACAAACGTTCACACACAGGGGTGGGTTGCACGTGTATGTATGAGGGAGTTGGAGATATATAAAGGGATACTGGTAGTCTTAAATTGACCCGCCAAGAAATTTGATGTCAACTACACTAACTTCATTCTTTATTTTCAGAAATACAAAACCAGAAGCATAACTTCGGAAGACGATTATTTCAACAACCTTCTTCTATACATATATCATATTACCTCCTATCTGAGCATCAAGTTGGCATTAGATGAAAATGTAAAACAAGCAAAAATATCAATAAATGATAAGAAATGGCAGTCCTTTGGTGATATCGTAGTCTACGTTGCATATAGCAATAGAGAGATGACTTATGCTATAAAGTGTAAACAGGTAACGAATTTCGTATAATCAGTATTTTAATATCGATAAATACCGGGTAAATTGATATGTACTATATATATATATATATATATATATATATACTCAAAGCAGTATATGTACATGATTTAAATGTATCTTTTAAATATGCATATATGGCGAGTGAGATTGGCAAAAACTGATGTGCGTTACGAGTCAGATATTGCACGTTATAAAATTCGTACGAATCTGAGATTGCATATTTTCGTTAGTACCCGCATATCTGATCTCTGCACTTGGTATTATAGTTGGTGATGATTCATCTCTTACAGATCTGTTGGAGCCAATTTGCGGATCTGATCTGTCAATGTGAAATTTCAGTATTTGCACTAACTCGAATTTTGAATGTCATATGGTAATGAAAAGTGTCGAGTTGACATTCCCCATTCAGATACCACCAAGTGGCTTCACGATGTAATGCTTTCATGTTCTAAAAATTTTTAATCTGTTTTTAACTTGTTCTTGTCACACAGTTGTGTGTATTATACTCCGTTAAACATTGTAAATAATATAAATCGGGCAAATATTGAAACCGTAGATTCGCGTCCCACTCATTGTCGGCAAATGCTTCTCTATCCATTTAACGATGAAAAGTTTTTCGACTTGATCTCTTCGAAATTGCAAAACAAACATTCCTCCGGACCAGATGGTATTCCGGGATTTCTTGTAAAAAAAGTACTAAAATATATAGTGAAACCATTTGTATTTCTAGTAAATCTCTCCTTTTGCACGGGAAGGTTTCCCCGATCCTTAAAAACTGGGAAGGTAATCCCAGTTCTTAAAAAAGGAGATCCTTCAAAGATTTCCAATTGCAGACCAATAACAGTTCCTTTCTGCTTCTCCAAAATCTTTGAGTACTGCTTTCTAGGTAGATTGTTGCGATTCCTAGAATCTGAAAATTAACCAACACGGTTTTCGCAACGGAAAATCGACACACACGGCCTTGCTGAGTTTCATTCAGAATATTATAGCATCGATTGAGGCAGGCGAATGTCCTGTTGGGATATTTTGTGATCTCAGCAGGGCATTTGACTGTGTCAATCATGAGATACTTCTGGGCAGACTGGTTCAAGTCGGCATTGTTGGGACACCCTATAGCTGGATTAACTCCTTTCTATCCGATCGATCACAATATGTTTGTTTACATGAAAACAGCAACAACATTACCTCTGAGGTGAAATCTGATGTAACGTACGTAGACATCGGCGTACCTCAGGGATCGATTTTAGGGCCTGTTCTTTTCATTCTTTACATAAATGAATTTGAGCACTCTTTCTCCCAAGCCAATTTTACGCTTTACGCGGATGATGCGGCAATCATATTGTCCATCAAATCCAATCAAGTGTTAAAAGAAGACTGTGAACATTTATTAAACAGTGTTCATGATTGGTTTAGCGCACATCATCTTCACCTGAATGTGGAGAAGTTGGCAATGATGAGATTTCACAACGTGCACAAACAAATGACTCCGCTTGATCTTCGAGTTAAAGATAATCAACTAAGTGTTCTCAAAGAAACAAAATTCTTGGGCTTGTGGTTGGACGAATGTTTCAATTTCCATGCCCAGTGTGATCGATTGGTATCCAGGTTGAACTCACAGTCATATGTGTATAAAGTTCTACGAGCCACATTGACTGGAGACCAGTTAGTAACACTCTATTATGCTCAGGTAGAGTCTAGGCTGAAATATGGTTTGTGCTTCTGGGGAGTATCGACCAATGCACAACATGTCTTTTTAAGTCAGAAAAGAATTCTAAGATCTATGGCCGGAGCAAGCTCATTACATAGCTGTAGGGAGCTGTTCCAAAAGTACCAAATTTTAACGTTGCCTTCTCTATTTGTATACGAACTTTCAATATATATATATGTATCAAAATAAGGATACACAACTACTTAACAAGGATATAAATGCCTTCATAACAAGGCAGAGTGAAAATATGTATGTTCCTTTCGCCAAATACTGTGTCAGTAGTAGGTCACCTAGAGTTTTGGGGCCTAAAATATATAATAAACTGCCAGAAGAAATAAAAATCTGCAGTTCACCGCAACATTTTAAAAATAGGTTAAAGGCTTTTTTACTAAATAAATGTTTGTACGCTGTTTCAGAGTTTGTTAATGTGTAGATGGTATGTTTGTTTCTCATATTTGTTTGTTACTTATTTTCCATGTTTGTTATAGATTTTTTTTTTATTTTTGACGAATCCTATGCATACTTATGTCTATTGGATAATAAAGGATTATTATTATTATTATTATTATTTTATATAATTTTGACCATTGTACCATTTATCCAGCTTTCACCATGTTACTGGGTGTTTCCCTCATCCTGAACGTAAACAACAATTAGCAACATCCTCACATACTACTCTCCTGATGATGATGAAGTCCATTGAAAGCTAGATAGAATAAAAAAAGTATAAAGAGTCCTCTTTGCTTAAAATTTCTGTCGAAGTACCCAACAAAAGGCGGAAGCTTTAATTTTTCACCTAACTGGTCTAGACGACAATGACCACGTCGCAAAATATATATATATATATATATATATATATATATATATATATATATATATATATATAACCGGCTATAACCGGCCGTGTGGTTGTGGTTAGATCTCACCTTGAAAATTCCAGGTCTTCTAGCCATTTTATATACTACAGTGTGTAGGTTGGCTCTGTTTGTGGACTTCGCGTGTCGTTTTTTTCCCCTCCAACTTCATTTCCTCAGGTTACACCCGTATCCGGATGTGTGGGCATGTGTATCTACTTTTGTAGTTTCATATGTGCATTCATTTCGGGCCTGATGAAGCCAACCAGCAGAAATACGTATCGCTCGGGTTACCTATCCTATTTTCTGCTCGAATCCACTTTCCTCCTTTTTGCGGATTTTGCCCATTATTTTAATACTTTTTGTTATATATATATATATGTAAAAAATATAAAATGTATTTGTTTACGAGTATATTCCGTCCACACATGGATGGGCTACCCTATATATATATATATATATATATATATATATATATATATATATATATATATATATATATATATACACACGAGTATATATGCACTCTTCCACATATATTCTAAGTGCATAATGCAATAGTAATGGAGATACCCTATATAAATACTCTTCCAGTGGCTTACATAGGCTAACATGTAATAATAAGATAATAGGTTATCATCCACTTAGACGAAATTGCATTTTTAGTAGATGAAGCCGATTGTTTACGTTACCGTTAGTCGATTGTTACATTTACGAGTGTATGTGCATGCAATGTATTATCCATTGGCCAGATCATGAAGTCAGTTGACCAGATTAATGATAATAAATTGTTTATCGATATGAGCAACTAAACGTGCAGCTACTTCGTGAGATGGTCAAGATTATTTGATCAAATCGTTAAATAATTACATTAATTACTGATAGAGGCGCTAGGAGTGCTTTGTTTACGTGTCAACATGGCGGCCTTTTTATAACAAAATTGTTCTTCGAAGTGAAGACTAGAATATAATTCGTTGCTAAATTAGGAAGAAAGTAAGACTAAAAGACTTTACTACAAAAAGGTACTCGATTATTATCAGCGTTTTTTTGGTTTTATGAACACCCTATTTTAAGATATGGTCAATCGTCGGTAACCAAATCGTTGAACGTTAACGAATTTACGATATGATCAATCGTTGAACGTCGGCAATTTAACAACATGGTCAAATTCAGTTGGCCAGTTCATGAACTGCGGCGATTTCATGAAACGCTCAATCACGTCATGAAATGGGCATTTTCACAATGTCGCGATGTATGTGGACAAGAATAATTATATTTTACAGGTAACAGTCTAGACGGCATCATTGTAATATGTCGTCATCTATTTTAGGTTACAAGCTCAAAACATCAAATAGATTCACTAAAAGAGGCTAAAGTAGAAATTCACAAAGAATACAGCAGTGTCTGCAAGCTGATCGAACGACTGATACCTCAGCTAGACAAAGTAACAATGAATAAGCATTTCACCAGTATTTACAACGCCATCGAATATCTGACAGGAGTGACGCAGTTCGCGATTTTCACACCATGCGGAGCAGGCTCAAACTTTAGCAGATCATTTGATCCGACTGTAGAGAACATGAAATCCATGTGGGGATCTATAATGGAGATCAATAAACATGGAAAACCGATAGAGACCAAACTGGACTACATAGCTCAGAAAATAAAGACGGCAGATTTGAATAGAGAGACAGGCCTAGTGATAAGAACTGCAAAGCGAAATGAGATCATAAATACAAACCCTGACAGGGAGACTATATTCAATTTTCAAACCCAAATGTATGAGAAATCGGTAGTTATGCCGAATATATCGATTTATACGAATCAGAATGTGTATCAAAATAGTATCACTGATTTGGTGAAGAAGAAGTTTAGTAAGTACAGCTACCCAGATATAACGGAGTGTTATAGAAGGTATAAAACAATGTTTTCTTTACTAAACGTAAATCATTACTTATATTTAACTACTAACTGAGCTTTCTTCACATGCCTTATGGTGTTTCCAGTATCAAGCTTCACGGTGTTTTCAGTATATGGGAGGCTAAACCTTTTATTATTATAATTATTATTATTATTAGGACTTAGGATTTTACCTCACATATTCAAACTCAAATATCTCCAAAACGAGTGATCTGACTAAAATTTCTTAAGAGACAAAATTCATAGAAAATTGAATGGCATTTTATAAAATACATTTCTCCGAAAAGGCCAGTGGCGTAGAAAATGTCATACTAGGGGTCCAGGTGCCCCAGTTTCTACGACGCGGTTTAAGGGGATTACTGCGATCCTATTTCACAATAGGACTGTGATGATGGAAATTGTATGTGGACGCCCATTTTCTTTATCAATATACTAAGTTTGAATAGGTCAAATTAATAATTTTGAACGCATGATTGCCACATCTATAAGTTGGCTGATTCCTTCATTATTACGTTGGTTGTCGAGTAACATAATAATGAAAAACTACTTCCTTTCTTCATCCAAATTCACATTTACAATGTTCCAGGTATATCGAAGACTGGAGTACTGGCAAGCTTGGTGGCAACTACAAGATAACAAAGAAGGACATAATACTTAAGATTGGCGAAATTCTTTTAAGCAAATACGTGGTCGGTCCAAGAATGGTCAAGTTGAATACCACCAATGACAGCTTTGATACATGGAATTCTGTTATAGACAAGGTGGACTTGACCATTGTCGACGACGAACAATTCATAATCAGCAAGATATGTCAGCCGATCAACAAACTTATAGAAGATATATTTTCAGTAAAAATTGATACCTCAATGAGAACAATAAAATTAGCGAAAGAATTCATACAAGAAAAAGATGATGTAGTAAAGAAATTCATCAAATTAGAAAAAACAATCGAAGAAATGAAAGACAAAGAGATGAAAGCTTATCTATTTGAAGAAGTACATGATTTTCTTGATGTACCTCTTTCTAAAATATACATGGCTCTTTGGAAGGCTGGCAAGATCCCACTCCTGATGTCATCAAAACGGTACGAAGATGACAAGCCTTTTATATTAGAAGTAATATCTTTCATGAAATCTCATGGTGTGAATAAGAAGTTTTTACTGAAAACTGCACAGCCTGAAATGGTCAAGTCACAGGATGGTTTAATCATTTTTAAAAATCTACATAATATCCAATGTTTTGTGGACCTGGAGACTATTTCTATTAGAGTTGCAGACAGTTTCATACTACCTTTGGGAGAAATACAAGTAACGGATCAGTTCTTCTTCAAGTGGGTTACACCAAACACATTTTTGGATTTGACTTTGGGAAGGTATAGTATCAAGAGGAATATATTTAAGAATGATATAGAGAACGAATTGAAAATTGTATTGAGCGACGATATGTTAGAGAAAATTAAAGAAACATTGTATAAAAGAAATCGGTCGGCTATAAAGTCAGATACTCTGGATAGGCTGGAAGGCTTGGATCCACTGTGGTTTGGATAAGTTTCAAATATTGATAAATGATCTACAATATCGAAAGCTTTTACACAACCAGATCTGAGAGGATAAAGGCCCAGAGAAGTTTTGCGAAGGAAGAAGTAGATAAACGAGAACATTAATCACTACAATGTTCTGTATTTTGCACCAAATGTATTTTTGTACTAAGTGAAACTTTAAAAAAGTCCATGAATAATATGCTAACGTTTATTAACATTTGAATTGACATAGTTCAGAATCATACACACTAAACAAATAAATACAATACAGATATTTATATTGTCGATTTTAACAATAGCTACTCTAATATTTATATACTTTTTAATAGTCATTTTTATAACCTGACTTTATCATGAAATGCAAGTGTTCTATATTGGAATGTGAACATATATATGTATTATATACCTAAAATATACGAAAATTCAACAATAAAGAATCTTGAAAAAACATTATGATATAGCAAATTTCAATCAACTAATCTTTATACAGTATGAATCATACCCATATCACAATTAAATGAAAACATTGAAAACAAATTTAGGCAAGCCGATTAAATTACTAGAAGTTGCATCCAAACTTATGTTTGAATTTTAAATTCTATATAATTCTGGTTCCATCCCCACAAAGTCATTTTGCTTGGTTAGTTATCAAAATGAACTATGGCATCATAGTATTTCTCAAACATAATCATAAATCCAGAGAAGATTCATTCCTAATCCTAAAATGTCAAAGTTTTATATAATATACACTATAGTTTCAATTTGTCACAATCGGCACAGATCAAAATATATCTGCCATAAAGTGTATCAAGGGCATCACTATAGGATTGAAACATGAATTTAAATGGAAAATTCCAGTGCTATTTTTTTATATCCCAAGAATAAAATCACACGTGGTACACCTATTCTGGTAGTAACACCTTCAGAACATCTGACGTCAGAATCTCCCCATTCCCTGCGATAGCAAGTGTCAATCGCGTATCACAGTCAAAGAGCCAAATGTAGAGTGACGCGTATCAAGGATGCTCTATTGCCACTTACTAGATTTAATGTAGTTATCTGTGAAAATAGGGAAATGTGAGCGCGAGATGTTTTGCAGTAGGTTAAATTTGATTTTGACCGAAGTAGCGACAAATCTCATTCATTGTGATTAATAAATACTAAACTCAGTGCATGTCACAAGACTAGATACTTACAGCTAGTGACCGTGAACGCAGCAAATATTTGATTTAGGCAAGTAAGTTCTAAAATTTTTTTTTTACAGGAAGACTTACGAACAAAAAAATATATACACAATTATTAAGCCTACATTTGTATTTCGGTATTTTTTTCAAAAATCTACTCTTTGTGTATAAATTAGGTTTAGGTTTTCGTATACAGATTTTCGTATAGCAAAAATTATTCCAATGATTGCCGAGTTGAATATTGTGCTATTTCGGCATCATATTCAGTAACCATTACCGAATTACAAATGCATGTTGCATAATACTCTGCTGGTAACTACTAACTGTAAGAAATATAAGTATTTGGTATTTAAAGCTCAAATAATAAGTTAATAAGCTTCTGAAAGCTTCAGTGAACTAATACAACGAATATATAAGATATGAACTCCACAAGAAACATCACATTTAGAGATGAAAGCTTTAAAAGGGGTAACTAGGTGGAGACTGGGTAAACAATTGATCATTTGGAATTAATCTTATGTATTATGTAAAATAATAACTGAGATATGCAAGAAAAATTTAAAAGTCGTCTGAACGTTGGTTGACGGTGTCTGTAATATCAAAACTATGATTAGACAAACTCTGTACACAATATGTATACAATTAAAGCAAAATGTGTTGAAATTACTATTTCCCTTGTCTTAATTTCTACCAATCACAAACGCGCAATTTTGAATTACAAATGGTTTCTAGATGGAAAAATTGTATGACAGCACCTGTCAGCAGATTTTTCGAGTTTACCAGCGGCAAAACTTGATAATTGTCGTCATCAAACATTACAACACATTTGATAACAAGTAATTATGGTCTCCTAGGACGCCAGAGAACGACGCTAAACAATTTTTCTGATTTTATTGTCAATAAATTTTATAATATTATTTTTAAACAGTGCTAGTCAGCTTATGTAGTGAAAATGAGTCGCTTTGGAAGTGATTCTTTGACTAATATTGATCTGGAGATTGAGAAAAGTGTACCGTACAATACCGTAAAAACACATACGTCAATATGGAAACCATATATGGCATTCTGTAAGGCAAAGAAACACGAACTTTAGAAAACTACAAGTTTTGAGCAACGAAACCTAATCCTAAGAGATTGGGCGTGGAATATGAAAAAAGAAAACTGTGGAAATTACACAGAATTAGTTGTGAAGACAATGTGGAATACCGTTGCAAAAAAATGTAGTAGATGTATTTTAAGAAGTGGAAAATAATGTTTGATCTTATCTTTAAGTCTAGTAGGGAATTTCGTAATACGAAACGAAGGAATTTCCAGATACTTTAAAAAAATACTTTAATAGGTAGTATGTTTTGTAAGCTACGTGTGTGCACAATAATCTGTTACTCATAAAATAGTCTTGTCACCATTCGGGCATCTTATTTTTTCCTATGAAACAAATCGAAAAAACAATGCAAAGTAATATTTTTTTTTAACAAAAATCATTCGTGCAGGCGCAAAAATTCTCGTCTTCGACTCGGATTTTTGTTGCCACCAGCACTCATGCTTCTTGTTAAAATATTACTTAGCATCGTGTTTTTTCGATCTTTTTGGAAAAATTAGATGCCCTTATGATGTTAATTATGACTATTTCCCTGGTCTTACTTTCTACCAATCACAAACGCGCAATTTTTAATTATAAATGGATGGAAAATTTTATGACCGCACCTGTCAGCAGTTTTTTTGAGTTTACCGTGGCAAAACTTGACAGCTGTTGTCACCAAAAATTACAATACTTTTGATAAGAAGTAACAAGTCCTAGGGCACCAGAATACGACGCTAAACAAATTTTCTGATTTTATTTGGAAATAAATTTTGTAATATTGAGTGTATGCAGAATAATCTGTTACTCATGAAATAGTCTTTTCAAATACCATTCGGAGGATCTAATTTTTTCCTGTAAAAAAAATCAAAAAAACAATGCAGAGTAATATTTCTTTAACAAAAAACATTCGTGCAGGTGCAAAAATCCTCGTCTTCGACATATAACACCTACTTTATAAGGGAATCTGTAATGCTAAGGTGTGTCACTAAGTTGGTAGCGCCATCTCTGGGATAATCTCCGAACTTTTTATAGAACCTATACGAACTGTTATAGAACCCGTTCAAAATATAGAATACCTAGCGCCATCTTTGGACTTGATTTTATTGTTAAAATGTGTATTTTGCAATACGTAAGTATAACAGTTATGCAAGTTGTTAGTAATCTAAAAATAATCGGTATTACCGATGTACCATGTAAATTTACAATTAGTAATTTCTCTACTGCCTTAATCAGTTTCGGGACTACTCTGAACATTTTCCGAAACTATACCTAAAAAAGAATTGAATTTTATTATGTTTATGCTAGGTAAATTTTTCCAAAAATTGTGCAAACCGTAAATACTGTGAAATTTTCTAAGACACCAAAATGTTCCAATCATTTAATCCTGATTATTCACTGATTACACAGTGAATGTACCTGGTTTATATAAGTAATCGAAGTTATTACTTACAATACTTGAAGATTTGAAGTTCAGGAAGATGTAATGTAGGAAAAGCTGTTCTTTTCAGACCTCTCTTGGTTCCAGGCACTTTATCACTTTCCGAAAAATGTGCGAAAAATGTCTTTTATAAATTTGTTCGTGACTTCTAGTGTCCAAAACTGGATTTTGCACCTGCTCGATCCATACGTTAAAAAGAGCGGCATCATATTTTGGAAATGTATGCCTTTCACTGATTGTATCAGTACGACCAGGCATCACGCACTTTAAATCCCCCCTTTCGATAAGCCTGAATTACAAGGATTAAGTTTGTTAATTTAAACTCGGTTAAACGCTCAACAGATATCAGTATCACCGACACAAAACTAATAAAAACGCCGGCGCCGCACAAAATTCAACTTTCAATTCAAAATTACGACTTCAGACTGTCAAAAAGAATGACGAGAAAACCGAGCATCAGCGCCACTACATTTGTTATGTAGTCTTCGACTCGGATTTTTGTTGCCACCAGCACTCATGCTTCTTGTTATAATATTACTTAGTAACGTGTTTTTCGATTTTTTTTTCGGAAAAATTGGATGCCCTTATGATATTACCTATGAAAATATTTAATCGACACCCTAACGTGTTTTATTTAAAAGTCGTCACATAAGTAGAATTCAGTAAAAAAAAATATAAGATCAATGATCTACCCAACCATCTACCAGTGAATCACGGCGTCACATCGAAAGTAACCGTCTTGCGAGGCCCCTCCTTCTAGCCAGATAGTGTTGCCAAATCACTCAGGAAACCTTCTGGGGTTATGATGTGGGATGAACCGATGATCACCTGGATGGAGATCAAATATGAAGAGTCTTGCACATCCAATTTTTTGTAACACTACTTACAAGCATAATGAAATATACTAATAATAATGATCTAGTGATTGCAAACATATTTAGAGTGTGTCAAAAATTAGTTTGCTGAGAGTTAAAACTGAAGCTCTAGTACCAAAGGTTCACATTAACCGCTAGTGGTGTGAGAAACGTGCAGTGGTTTGAAAGTCGATATAGATGTATGTATATCAATGTTTTCTTGACGAACAACCTATCAGGGATACATAATCGCCATGTAATGATTGTCCAGTGAAAATCGCTAAAAGTGAAACTCTGACTCAGAAATTAATGATAAACCATGTGAATGTTGGCTTATGGCTTATTCTAACCAAGATTCCATTGTGCATCAGTTAAGAAACAGAAGAGTATTAATATCAAAGGCCAATAAGATTTTGATCTAGAAACCAGAGTATAGGTTTCTGATGCATTGAATCCGAATCCGTGGCCCAAATCTCCCATTCGGCTCTGGTTTCAGATATATCCTAACTCAAAGGTACAACAATTGTAATGTTTGCCTATATTTGAGATTATATAGCATGACGAATTATTATTTTTTTTTAAAAAAAACCATAGACATTATCTCAAAGTACAAGCCTTGCCCTTTCAAATGATGTTGAGATTTCTTGAATATGTTTGTGTTTCGCTGAGGTATGGCACTTTTGATTTTCTTTTTTCTGAATTTCACTCTATTTGATACTCGACACGTTAAGGCTACTTATGCATCAAACTTGTAGTTTGGGTTATAATACACTAAAAAATCAATAACGAATTTCCATCAAAAGTGAAGTGTTCTACCATAATTACTGTTTCGAAAGTTAATAATTCTGAGTTGAACACCAATGTGCGGCCAATAAATGTTCTGCCAGATCGAATTTATTGGGGGAAATGAAATTTTAACCAAATTTCAAGCTGGATTCAGGAAGAAACACTCAACTGAAACGGCAATACAAATAGTGTTAGAGGACTGGAGGAGATGTATGGACAATAGGAAACATACAGTAACAATGTTTTTGTACTTCAAAAGGGCGTTTGAGACTATTGACAGGAATAAATTACCTACAAGATTGCATCAGTACGGATTTAAAGGATATGTATCCAAAATTCTACAAAAATACTTAATTGACAGGTCAAAAAACCAAAATTGTATCTATATTATCAAGCTCAACAAAAATATTTGTTAGTGCATTACAAGGTTGTAAACTAGGTCCACTACTATTTATTTTTTACACTAATGACATTTGTAATATTTTAGATTATAGATATAGATTATTAAGATATTTGTAGATGATACATTAATATACATATCATAAGAAAATATAGACACTGCTTTAAAAATGCTAAATTCTGACTTGACCAATATCATAAATTGGTTAAACGTAAATAAACTAAAATTGAATACTTCTAAAAGAAAATGTACGCTAATAGGGAAATACCTAAATGAAAATATTATCACAATTAGGATAAATGGTGAAATAATAGAAAATGTTGAATCAATTAAATGTTTAGGTATATATAAACTAAAGTTTGAGGATCACTATCATTATTTCAAAAATTGCCAAAAAAACAAATTAATTTTATTCTATTTAATTATTCTACCGCATTTACTATATTGTTCAACTATCTTGTTCACTGCCAATGAAGCTGTATTCTCAAAATTACAAGTCCTGCAAAATAAAGTTATGAGAATAATATTGAGTAAAAATAAGTACACCAAAATAAAATGTATGTTACAAGAATTGAATATAAAAAATTTCATATCATATTTAATTCTTATTTTTATATTTAAGATAAAAAATCATCTTGTGTCACAACATTTAGAACACTACACAGAATTGAATAATCATTACAATTATTATTCAAGAGAAAATAAGGATTTTTATTTACAAAATTGCAACAGTAATATAACTAGCAAATCAATATTTCAGAAAGGATTACTTGAATTTAATAAACTAAATAATGATGTAAAGTTTACTTGTAATTTAAAGATGGTCAAAAAAAAAATAAAGGAATATTTCATGGACAGTGAACATTCTTAGAGATGCAAATTATGATTTTTCTAAATATCTGTATGTCATGTAATTATTTAGTTTTTTAAAAGAATGTAATTCTAGCAATCATGCTAAATAAATCGTAAACAAACAATTTGACGTATTTTTATGAAATAAAATAATCTGCCAACTAAAAAACCCATAAATCCTGGACACTAAATCCTTGAAATATCCAAAACCTACCCAAACCACAAGTAACCAATCCACCCTTCCCTATCTTCACCAAGTTTATCGTTAACTCTATCAAACAAAAAAACTAGGCAGCTAAGACACTTTGATAAATATACAGATAAATGAATAGATAGACGGACAAATAATATATAAAATAAACAATTTGGATCTGGATATTGCAAGCTCGATCAGCTTAATTTTTATCATAAGAAAGTAGTTTTTATTCAAAAAACGGTATGCAATTATAAGTAAGAACGTCCTTGCTAGAGTACGCTGGGTTGCAGGCTCGTGGTTTGGGTAAGTTTCAGATATATTATAAATTTAGTGTTGAGGATTTATTCGTTTCTTAGTTGGCACGCCTTATTTCATAAAATACCTTAATTTGTTGTTGATTTTTTGGTGTATTATAATCCAAACCACAACTTTGATGTACACGTAATCATACCGTGTAGGGTATCAAATATAGTGAAATTCAGAAAAATGAAAATTTCAAAGTGCCACATATCATGCGAAGAAAAATGGTGTTCAAGCAAACTTGACGGGATTTGGAAGGGCAAGGCTAGTTACTTTGAAGCGATGTCTGTGGTTTTTTGAGAAATAAAATAATTCGTCACGCTGAATGACCTTAAATAGAGACAAAAATCACTATTTTTGTACTCTTAAGTAACAATATCTGTTAAACTAGGGCCAATTGAAAGATTTGGACCACTGATTCGGAATCAGTGCATAAAAGACCTTCTGGAACGTATATACGTATAGGCTGGTTTCTGGGTATTAGGGTCGTCTCACTTTTGTTGGCCTATGTATTTGACAACAAAAAAAGTTTAACGACGATTGAAAACTTGTGACAGTGAAGGTGAAAATCAGATTATCTCGAACGTCGTAAGTGCTAAAATTTCTGGCGCAGTGTTAGTACCACTAATATATTTATGCAGTTCTACTTACCTCCCAATTCTTCTGGGCGTTGGTAACTTCATAGGCGCATCGAATTTCCGAAAAAGATATGCCTCCTACCACAAATACTATCACACGGGGTACATTCTTGACTGTCTGCTGTCCACGTTCCTTGTGCCACTGTCCATATCGAGCACTACAAAAAAATGGCTTAAAGTAAGTTAACTGTGTACTTTTTACGCTACGCTGTCATCGGGTCGTAAAGATTGTTTGGCACAAGTTAGCCCTTCTGAGAAAAAAGGTTGCTATGAACTTGTATTCCGCGTGAATGACGACATTAGCCTTCACCATGCACAGCTCACGCAGCTCACAGCAGTGCGGAAGCTATTGACGTACAGCTACCGTCGACGACGTTTGTCCATCAGGGGACAACGTCGCACGTGTCGACTCGATGTTCGACTGTAGGAGATACTGTAGTTTTAAGGGTAAATGTACGGGGACATCTATGATTCGTGAAATATGCCTCCTACTGGCGTAGTGTCATATAACATTCTAAAAGCATGATAACTTATTTTCGAACATTTTCGTGATTACAAAAAATAATAATATCCATCAATTTTGTTGCAATGACGACAAAACTGATATTCATTCTCATGGAGATTGAAAATGGCAGCACTATGGATGGATCGGTTCACGGCCAACGTTGAGCAGTGCTGCGATTTTATCTATGAGAATACTTGTAACCTGTCTATACTCACCTAGATGGCGCCGCATGGTACCCAGTACTTTGTGCTCTTCCCGCCAAAAATGGGAAATGTTTCTGGTCAAGTTTATCTTCAATGCAATCTTCCATTACGTCCTTAATTACTGGAGTCCATCTTGACATTTGATAAGTCTGTTCTGTGATTCTTTCTTTTCTTGGGACAGAGTAGGGTTTTTTTCTTGGGCCACCCTGCAAAATTATAATCACGGTTGCCAAATTTTTATTTTGTTTTCCATCTACCAGCTTTAAATTGCATTAATCGATATGGCGCAAAGGTCGATGATCATTATTTGAGAATCATAAATGATTTTTTCTACTAGCGTGTGTAAAGTATCCAGTTTTAACACGCATCTGCGTGCATAAGGTAGTAATTTTCCGCACGCATAATAGTGCTTTCTGCAAGCAGATGCGTGTTGAAAGTGAGTATTTTCGGTACGTTGGTAGAAAAAGTCATATAAAGGGTGCCTCAACAAGAGCGCCGGATTTGAATTTGCCGCCATTTTGTTGTACTTGTTTGTGTTTGCTTGATGACAGCTGTTATGTAAAAAACGTAAACATCAAAAAAAACCTATAAGATGTCATCTTGCAAACTAGGTAGTTTTTAGGGCGCAAACATTCATTCCACGTTTGCTCATTAGGATTGCTGTGAACGTCCATCTAAGGAGGAATCACTCAACTAAACTTAACGCATTATTCGTTGCATATGTTTTGTGAGGCCAAATGGATCTTGTCTGACTCCGAGAAGAAAGTTGGTTGAATAGCAAGATCGCATCTGGATGATTATGTGTATTGGTCTGCATGTGTATAAAATCAGCGATATTTGTGTGGGAGAATCATTACTGAATATGCTGCCAATGAAGTATACTAAGTGACATATAAATCCGAACACCCAGTTTAAATGGTTTTATTTTAATAAAATTTTGTATAAGTACTTAATGAAGCATAATAAGTAAATGATAAAAATTTCAAAATGACTGCACTGCTTTAAAGCCCTTTGACCTTTAATAATGTGTGGATGCACCCTGATGTGCTACGCATTCTCGAACGCGCCTAGGCATTCTTCTGATCAGGTGGTCAATGTCCTCCTGTGGTATCTCATTCCAGGCAACCACCAACTCCTCTCGAAGTGCTTCTAGAGTCTGAGGAGGACGTTGCAAATTGAGCAATCTCCTACCCATCATATAACACACGTGCTCAATTGGGGATAAGTCGGGAGATCTTGGTGGCCATGGTAACAATGTGACATCATTATGTTGAAAGAAGTCTATTGTGACTCTTGCAACATGTGGTCGGGCATTATCTTGTTGGAAAGTTGGATCTGCCAGGGTGTCAAGATAGACTAAAAGATGGGGTTCTAGAACTCCGTGGATATAACGCTGCGCGTTCATGTTACCTCTGATGAAGATTAAAGGTGACCTGGAACCATAAGCTATAGCACCCCAAACCATAACATAACAGTGTGATGAACATGTCTTTCAACAAAAAACTGTGGATTCCTCCATTCATCACGTCGCTTTCTAACCCTGGCACGACCATCGTGCATGCCTAAACAAAATCGAGACTCGTCACTAAAGACAATACTGTTCCATTCCTGATCCCAGAGTGACCGTTGTCTGCACCACTCAAGGCGATTACGTCGGTGTTCTCGAGCTAAAGGGAGGACCCAGTGTGGCCGGTATGAAAACAAGCCAAAACTTCTCATTCGTCGGTAAACACTTCGCATGCCAATAGGTCTTCCGTGTTCTGCAAACCATTCATTTGCAATGGACCTGGTAGTGGAGAAACGGTCCCTTAAGGCCAATAATCTTAGGCGGCGATCTTCACGGTCTGTTGTTCTACGGCGGCGTCCAGTGCCCTTTGCTCTTTGCGTACGGCCTTCTCGAAGCCATGCCTGACAACACCTAACCACAGTGTCTACACTTCTTTGCACTCTAACTGCAATTGCCCGAAAAGAAAGTTCAGCTTCCCGGAGTCCCACTATACGGCCCCTATCAAACTCACTAAGTTGACGAAATCGTACAGGTCTCCGTACTCTAGGCATCGTAACTTATCGTAAAGGATGTCAAGAACCAAAATCCGCCAACGTTGATTCTTTACTGCGGCTGAAATATTCATTTTTAGAGCGTTAGTGAATTAAAAAAAGCAGTATAAAAACCGGAATGTCCAACTGATAAGGCTGAAAATTTTTTCACTTGTTATTTACAGTAAGATCAATACATTCACCAACTTTTATTAAAATAAAACCATTTAAACTGGGTGTTCGGATTTATATGTCACTTAGTATATATCTATTGGCTGTGCCTGACAGATTATTTTTATGATATGCTTTCTGAAGAGAGGTTATGTTCAAAGTTATAAATTACGAAAACTGAGGAGAATTATGGGAAATAATCACCGCGCCCGCGTTGTGTGTAATTACTGTTAGTATGTATATGGCTTGTAATTTGACAGTGTACAGTGAATATAATTATCTCTTATCCCCCATCTCAGAAGCAGATTTTACGTCACATCAAAGCCAACGATTGATAAGCCTCATGACGTTTTGGCGACATGTACAACTAAGTGCTAAGTTACTATCTTATAGAAAAACCTACATAATGTCAAAAACAACAGCATGTCAAAAAAAATCGGCATAATGTCACTTTCCAAGATACGTGATACCCGTGCGGGCCACGCAATTAGACCTCATGGAGCAGTATTCAAACGAGCAACGTTCAATTATTGTGAAAACTCACTACAAAAATGGAGAAAATTACGCGGAAACAGTTCGCAAATTACGTACGATTTTCGGCCGCAATAATGCGCCAAATGTGTCGACAGTTCGCTGTTTAATTACAAAATTTGAGACAAAATTCAAGTTGTACAATGTGAAGGCCACTGTTCGTCGCCGTCCAGGGCGGTCCCTCGAAAATATAGTGGCAGTGCAGAAAAGTGTGGCCGAGAATCCAGTCACTTCCATTCGGCATCGTGGCCAAGAATTGAACCTTGCCAGACCCACACTGCAACGAATTTTGACAAAAGATCTATGCTTACCTGCGTACGAGGTTCAACTGACGCAAGAACTCTAGCTAACGCACCATGCGCAGCGCCGTGAATTCTTTGATTGGGCGCTGGAACACCACCAAATTGATGCGGATTTCGCGGAGAAAATCATTTTCTCTGATGAGGCACATTTTCAACTGAACGGGTACGTCAATAAGCAGAACTGCCGAATTTGGGGTTCGGAAACCCCTCAAGTAATAATCGAACAACCAATGCATCCGCCGAGAGTTACCGTTTAGTACGCATTGTGGGGTGGCGGAGTGATTGGACCGTATTTCTTCGAAAATGCAGCTGGAACTACGGTAACTGTTAATGGTGTGCGGTATCGCGAAATGCTAACCGAGTTTTTGTGGCCCCAGTTGGATCCAACTGATGTGGAGGATATATTCTTCCAACAAGACGGTGCGACCTGTCACACCACACGCGAAACAATGGTGTTACTGCGGATCAAGTTTCCAGACCGTGTCATCTCCCGATTTGGCGATCAAAATTGGCCACCAAGATCGTGCGATCTAACGCCAATGGACTTCTTCCTCTGGGGCTATGTGAAGGAACAGGAACAGGAAAAAGACTAACCCTGTGCCAGAGGTTTCGTGGTGGCCATTTAGCACATCTCCTATTTCATGTGTAATCGCAACTATTCCTATTCATGTTAAAATATAAATTGTGTTTCTGTTGAAAATCAAATCCGGCGCTCTTACTGAGATAACTATTTTCCATGTTAACCTCTAAAATGTTAAAACGTTGCCTAGGTTGAGAAAACTCAAGGACTTCAAGTTCAAACACTTAATTGATGATGTTGACACCAAGCAACTGTAGATTGCTTAATGCTTAATTTAGGCATGAGTGGCATTTTAATAGATTTCAGCTTTTGATTGAGAGATAAGGCGTAAGTGTTTATTGGAGATTCATAAATGATTTTATTCATATTGACAACTAAAGTATTAATAGGTTGACTAGGTTGAAACAACTTAAGACATTCAATTCCAAATACTTACATCATTTATAACATTGACACCAAGCAACTGTAGATTAGCAATAGTCTGTTTATCCTTAATTTGGGCATGAGTGGCGAGTTTTGACAAATTTTCCTCAGTTATTCCATTCTTAGTCATGGCGTAAAGTGCTATTATCCTCATTTTGTCGTATTCGTTTGTAATTTTGGGATCCAGCAAGATCGGAACTATGTTTCTCATGTGGTCTTTAATTTTCTCACCTTCAGCGTCAGTGCCCATTGCCAAATCCTGAAAAAAAACATTTTGTTGAGCAACATGGTTTTAAGAGATTAAAAATTCTCTAATAAATGGTTTTAGGTGATGAAACATGAAAGCTCCTGAAGGTTCTGCCTTGGGCACACTGATCTTCGCCATGTACTATTGCATTGAAGTGCAGGTCTACATGACTGATTGAAAGAGAGAAAAATTACAAAAGCTTTTGATGAGGTAAATGACTATAACAAAGTTAGGAAACATGGAAAATAAAGACTACTATTAAATTACCTGTTCAACTTTGCACAACTTATCCACATATCCCTGATACGCTTTCATACAATCTTCAGCTAGATGCAAATGTGTAGCATACTTGGACAACTCTTTCTGGTACTGAGGCATCTTTTTGATCATAGTGGAAAGATCCTTCATAGACTGTTTGTCACTCTGAGTCATGCGTTTGGAATCAGTGAACTTCTTCAGGTTCTTAGTGACACTTTGAGACACAACAGCAATATGTTGATGGCGGAGTTCAACCCAAAGTTCATCGTTTTCGTCCAGCAACACTTCTTTAGTAACTCCCGCGGAAGCCTCGTATCTAAAAAAAGGAAATGGTTCGTTTCAAATAATACTCATCATTATTAGTTGTAGTTTTTTTTACCTATAAACATCATTTTCAATAGGCAGCAAATCATAAGCCATGGCTTGGAATGTAAGTTCATGTAGTAAAGGAGAGACACAATCAAATCCTCGGTCTAGAATAAGTAGCTGAGACCTAGCTTTTTCTGGACCTTCACCCATGGTAGGTTCATCAGCTTTGTAAGCATCTAGTTTCTGTTGAATCAGCTGGGCCAGTTCTACATTTCGCTCCCAATCACTGAAAACATGTGAATATAACGTAAAAATGGAATGAAAAATAACTATTTCAACATATTTCTTAATCAAAAGCAAGGTTCATACAAGTGAACAAATAAGTGATCTGCCACAGAAGTGTAAATGGGGATACTGGCTTACTCTAGCCTGCCCAGTAGTGTGTGCGTTGGTAAAACAGGAGATCATAGTCTTGTCTCACCATTAGTTGGGCAGCAACTGCTTGCTCTGAAAAAACAATAATCATATAAATTACCTTCTGTATCGTACATGAGGGTATTCACCCAGAGTAGCACAAAGTGTAGCAATTTGTTCCGCCATTCTTTCCATGTTCGCATTACGAGCAGCAGCAAACGTTGGATCATAGCTGCATTGGAAAGTGTCTGGAGAATCTAGGGAAAACACCTAAAAAATATTACAATCATAAAAATATATTTCAACATCCAGATCGAGTCTACACAAAGTAAAAAATAAACTTTTCAAGATTATACAAGCTATCAAACTTTCATTAGAATTTTTTCAGTAAAAGAAATATTACAGTAGCAAATTATTCAGGGTGCAACAACCAATATTTTAAGGAAAGCATCATTAAACCTTAAACTTCGAAATAAAACTATCAATACAACAAAATACATAAGCTATTTTCTCCTTAAAAAGACTATGGAAAAGCAGTGTCCTCAAATATTCACTACACCATATCATATTAGGATTGTGTCATAAGCATCTTGCTGGTGACGGCATTTCCTGTGTATGACAAGCGACGTCGCCACAACATGGTCCGAACGCGTTTTGGTTACGACATCCTCAGACAGGTCATGGAGTCTAAGTTAGAACCAACGTAGGAACCATCAGTTTTTCGAAGAGAAGAAAGATTAGGTCCTTTTCGCAAATTTTTATTCAAAAATAAATAATCTCTTTTTTAACTCATTGTTGAGCTAACAACATCGCATCAGGCGTTGTATGTTCTTGCGAATTTTAATAATTATAATAATTGTAGCTTGATACTATATTTTGTCAAAAGTTACTTTTATAGTGTTGAAGAATGTGCCGTACCATTAATTGTGCCTGTAGGTGCTATATAAGTGACTTTATAGGGATAATCCTGCAAGTAACCAAATTTTCACGTGTATTTCCTCCCCATATACGCCGAATACACCAAAATTATAGCTCTTCATAAGAAAACGGGCCAACATGACTGGCAATGTAATTCATGTAAAAATGTTGAAGTAGAAGACTTTCCATGAATTCACACACATTAAAAAATGGATGAAGTTCTGACCCTTTTGCGACATCATCTAAAGTACCGGTCACTCCTTCCGACTCTGCAAAATTTGATATTGTGTTTAACAATCAAATCGAACACTTGCTAAAAAAACCTAATGCTACTAATAAAGACATTTTATCGGCAATTTGGCAAGTTTTCAATCTTTTGTTGGAGCAACAGAAAGCATTTCAAGATGCTTTAGATGAGTTGAAGTTGTGGCAACGTGAAAAGGAAGACAAAATTGTTAATTTGGAGAGGGAAATAGCCGAGCTACGTAGTATTGTCCAGGATAACATGCTCGTCGATCAAAAGGCCAATTTTCATGCTGAGGCTGTCCAAAGATTGGCGGAAACATCTGATAACATTGACCTGTACAGTGAAATGCAAGATAGAAGTGCTCGTGCCAAAAACATCATTATTTACTACATGGATGAAGGCCCATCTGCTATGACGTTAGAGCGTATCGACCATGATAAGTCGTGTGTTGCTGATATTTAAAGTGTCCTGGAAGTTGATTTGATTGCACCCGTTAAGGTTATTAGTCTTGACAAACCCAAACCAAGACCTGTTAAGGTTATTTTCAATGATCAGTTCTTTGCACTGAAATGCCTTCGTAACATTAATTTTCAAGCATGTTACAATAAAGCAAGATCTTACTAAACGACACAGAGCAATCTTCTTAGTGACTTGAAAATAAGGAAATATCGGCATTAGATATGGCAATGGCATTCCCTACATTTCCAAAATTAATAACTCCTCTCGTTCAAAAAACTAATTGAACAAGATGACCAAATGATAAGCTGTTATTGACAGAACGTCGGTGGACTTCGTACAAAAATTGATACTCTGTGATTACTCGGTCATCATCCTTCTAGACACTTAGCTGAATGAATCCTTCTCAACCAGTGAACTTAATTTTCAAGGATACAATATCTTCAGAATGGACTGCAGTGCTTCTACTAGTGATAAAGGGCGTGGTGGTGGAGTGATTATTGCTGTGTCTAGTGTTCTAAAGTCCCGTAAACTGCCGTTGTCCTCTAAAGAAGTCGAACAGCTATTTGTCGAAGTGAAATTTTGCAAGAAAACCATCATTTTTGGAGCCATCTATGTTCTACCAAATTCTTCATCAGTTAAATATGATATTCATTGTTTATCCCTTCTTGAAATTTCTAAGATTTGTTCAGGACTGACGTGGCCATCTCTGGTGATTATAATCTTCCAGAGGCAACTTGGAATAATGATGATCATACTTTTGTCCATTGCCCTGAGAATTCACCGGCACGTCGATTGGCAGAAACATTCTCCTATCTCAACTCAATATTGATCCGAATGAGCGTAATGTGTTTTTAGATTTATTGTTTTCTAGTTTGTTTTATATCAATGTGTTACCAGCTTATGATATTTTACTACCAGAGAGTGTACACCACAGAGCCTATGCCTTTACAATTTTAGCAAAGTGTAGTTATTCTGATTTTGATGAGCTCTGTTACGATTTTACAAATGCAAACTTACTGCAATCAATGATTATTTAGCATCTTGTGACTGGGATGCATTATTTGGTGATGTAAATGTGAATGCGGCAGTTGAAAGGTTTTATGGAGTCTTAGAAAATTGCTTGGATTGGTTTGTGTCTCAAAAGCGGATAAAAAATTCCTGTTACCCTACATGGTTCAGACCTGAACTTAAAGGTCTAGTTTGTCGAAAAAAGATTGCCCGTAAAATGTTTATAGAAACAAACCAATATGAGGACTATGTGACTGTCTCAGAGTTACGCTCTTTATGTAAAGAAGAACATAACGGATGTCGTGCAATTCATATTGATCGAGTCCAGGAATCTTTGATAGCCGATCACGGCGCTTTTGGAGATATGTAAAGAGTTTAAGAAATTCAAGTAGCTTACCTAATATTATGCACTTAGAAGGAGTTAGAGTGCAAGATGGGATGACAATGAGTAATTTGTTTGCAAAGCACTTCAATATTGTATATGATAGTTCTGTATATCCTGTACTCTCTTTTTTATTTGAGAAGACAGGATATATACTACTAAACAAAATTTCTCTTGAGGAAGTATTTAATAAAATCGTAAGTCTCCCAGTGAAGTTCAGCTCGGATCCTGACCAAATTCCAGAGGTTTTTCTCAAAGAATGTATCTTTACAGTCACTAAATCCTTGCTTCTTATTTTTACCATGTCCATCCAAACGTGTCTTTCCTGACACTTGGAAGCACAGTTATATTAAGCTAACTTTTAAGTCAGGAGATGTTGAAGATATTAGCACTACAGAGGTGTATGTACCCAGTCATCAATTCCGAAACTTCTTGATAGCTTGATATATGATCAACTTAACAGATATTGCCGTGGGCTTGTAAGTAGCTGTCAATTTGGGTTTACTAAGGGTAGATCAACTGTGGAGAATTTGGTGTCTTATAAAGTTGATCTATTGAAGGCCTTGGAAGAGGGTCACCAGGTGGATGCAATCTACACAGACTTTTTGAAAGCCTTCGACAGAGTGAACTTCGACATTCTATTGGCGAAGCTGCCAGCTAATGTTTTTTCAGAAAACACTATAAGATGGTTAGAGAGCTTCCTTAAGGGTAGGACTCAATTTGTAAAAATTAATGGACATCTGTCTTCGAAATTCAAGGTTACATCAGGGGTACCTCAGGGGTCCCATTGTGCTACTCTCCTCCTCATCTCGTTTTTGAATGACATCCCTGGTGTTCTTATTCATTCCAAAGGAACTATGTTTGCTGATGGCCTGAAAATTTACAGGACAATAACGGAGAAAGATGACATGACTCTAATAAATTCTTTTTCATAAGTTTTTTCAAAAGTAGGAGTAGAATTTCAACTGGCTGTAGATTAAATAATGATACTCTCTCTTATAAAGCTACCGCTAGGGATCTTGGAGTGCTTTTTGATGAAGGGCTTAATTTGTCAGACCATGTTCTCAAAGTTAGTATAAAGGGCTTTGTTTGGAGAAACTGTAAGTGATTTTCTATCAATACCTTTCGAATTTTATATTGCTCTTTGGTGAGATCAAATTTAGAATATGCCACAGTAGTGTGGTCCCCTCAGTACCAGTGTTATAAAGATGATCTAGAGCGTGTCCAGTATAAATTTTTACGTCTTGCAACATGATGGAATATCATAGAGCAGACATGTTAGAACATTTGCGTTTACCTACATTGGAGCATAGACGCTTGGTCTTTGATGGTTGTTTCGCTTTCAAGATTTTATTGGGGATCACCGACTGCGAAACTTTGTTAACATTAATAGATCTTAATGTACCCCGTAGAACATTGCGTAATAGTAATTTGCTTGCGATTAAGTTCCATCCCACATCGGCGCTCCATTTTAGATCGAGATTTTGCAACATTGCATCATTGGTGCGTTTGATAACACCGCATCTCGTACATTCCAAGGCAAGCTTTCCACCTTAATGATCATAGTTGAGCGATTTTGATCAGTACCCATCTAGCGCTCGTAGGGGGTGTCGTTCTGCTGCGAAATGGCTGTTCCCTGGGTGAACGCAGGCAGTGATATTTTGTATTGCATAACGTTATTTTTGTTAAAATATGCGACAGCACTGCTCAGGATGTGTTAATTTCATCACCATCGGTGGAAATCAGAGATAATTCTAAAAATGAATCAAAACACTAAGTCGCATCAAAATTTTAATATTCTAATCTATTAATTTAAATGTTCAAACAGACCTCTATCTTGGGTTTGACAGTAACCTAACCTATTGTAACAACCTGTGCGAACATTTTCTGGTGTAGCATAGTGGCAACGCAGCAGATTCCATGACCTTCTGCGTCACCTTTGCTACGCAATGTGGTAATGACCTTCGCTCTTCAGTCGGCTTCTATCTTTTTCTGACTTGAATACACACTTCTCGCGCTTCTCTCTTGTACACATTGATCTCAACCATCAGACAAATTTCATTTTCACTGTATATTGAACGCAGCTGTATCTATAATTCTAACATGATATGGTATAGTGGAAAAAGAGAAATTTACATATAAGATGGCTAGCAAAGTGCATACACTCAAAGGTATATTAGACAAAGAAACTATAAAGCAATATCTTACTACACATGCTCACTATATTCTCACACACCTGCGACTCATAGGGCAAAAATGCAATGTTGATCTCCTTCAAGGTTTTTATTTTCCTTGCTGCACAAGATTTGCACAACTCATTGAACAATTCCTCAGGACAGACTTGCACACAAAACACGTTTTATTATAAATCAAAAGATAATAAGAATGATATGATAAATGTACAAGGTCAAGGAAATGCTATGCATCAAAGTTAAGTTAAAATCAAATTAAATTCACTGTCTAATAAATGAATAACCAATTAGAGGTTTAGTTAATTAGTTTTTGTAGACTCAATTATGGTGCATGTATAGATCAAGAAGAGTCCAGGAACTACCAAAGTTAAGTAGACACAACAAGCAAAGGCATGGTTAGTGATTTCTCTTTTTATGAAACCTCTTTAATACCTGTGACTCTGTTGGTATAAATGCAATGTTGATCTCTTTCAATGTTTTTATGAACTTTGCTATTCTGTGACGTGCCAACTGATTGAACAATTCATCTGGACAGGCTGTAGAAAATAAAAAATCAAAAAATAGAGAATGATATATGAAAATGAATTAAATATAAGAAACTCATTATTTGATAAAAATTGCTACTAAAAAAATGGTAATATAAATCATCACTATAGTAATGGGTAATTCATTCAAGGTACAATCAACTTTATTGGGTCATCTTTATTATCATAATGAAAAGGCATTCATATTTCTTTATGAGCATTTAACAACTCACTGCTGATTTCAAACTCCTTAATTGTAGGGTGAATGTAAAAGGAACCCGGACTCTACCAGTAGTCGGACAAATGTTATTAGTAAACTAAATACAGCAGACTCTCAACTATCCGGCCTAAGGTGGCGAGCAGCTAGTCCGGATAACGAAAAAGCCGGATAAGCGGAATCAATGTTTATGTTTAGCGGCGCCGCGTTCTAGGCGAGCCGGATAAGCCGGGGTCCGGATAGCGGCGAACCGGATAGTTGAGAGTTTACTGTATTTGAAATGCTATACTTGCTGGTAATTGGTACCAGGTATATCAACTGATTTGTGACAATTACAATAATTCCACATCCACAGTTGTCATATTGACAACAGCGTGCAATCCATTCCTCAATTTTTGTAATTTGTGTAGTAAGTGACAAACTTTGAAGGCAAGAAGAATCATCAGCTGACAACATATAAATACTACTTCTTACATATGCAGAAGACATTCAAAATTTACGAAATAAATTCATCTTAATATGTTACTTATCATTTTGAGGTCAATTTGGAGCCTGGATCATCATGCTAGTCAAATAATGTCTATTGGAATGGCGTGGTCGTTATCAATCTAAGTTTTTCCCTTTAAATATTGAAACTATCAAACTTTTATTTTGGAATTAAACCAAAATACGACTGAAGCCCCAGCCAATGCATGGACAGCGAATGATAACAAATAATGTGGAATATGGCCAGTGATATTGTGTCTGACTACTGGAATGAACGAATTTTCATAGCATGCCAATAACTGGCAACTTCCATTTTCATGCCATTTTTTCACGAGACTGTGAAATAAAATTTTACATATCAACTTCATTCGGGAATGGCTACCCAAAAAAAAAATTCTGTATATATAATAAATGCAGGCTAAAGGAGACAGAACTATGAGGAAATCTTGGGAAATTGCTTGAATATGTAAACAGTATGGTAGTTCAAAGTTGTCAGTGCAGGTCCGGATTAAAGGAAAAAATTAGTTTCTTGTTCATTATTATCTATTTTGTAGGTATTTTTGATAAAAATATCTACTCGTATATTAAATGAAGTCAGTATGAGTGTGTTTGATTTCTTTTCCTTAATATCTTAATGACAGCTGATTTGAAAATTTTTATCCTACTAACACAAATTTATAAATACGGTTGTCCAGAACTGGCCAATCAAATGCTGTCTGACAATGTGAAACTAGCTGGCCAACTAGTAGCACCTTCTGTTCAAGTATTGGAAGAATAGCTCCTTTTTCATTAATATATTTTTTTATAAAATTACAGGAATATCTATAAGCAATATATATTTGTTGTCAGCAAAAAGTTAACAACATATATGATCACCTCCAAAAGCAATAGTTGTTTTAACTTGGACACAAAATTTGTAACTAAAATTTGTATTCCACTTTTGTCTAAATTGTCTGACCTGGCACCTACCTCTCTTATCCATGTAGACATACTGAACACAAAACTACACAATAACAGCCAACACAGTAAAGAAATAATCTTCAAAAACTGAATGCCAACAATTCTTTTTTACTTTGACAATAAGAACTATATAAAACTATTGTTTCTGTATTTAAAAAAAAAGTACCTCTAAATGAACCACCAAATAAACCATTAAATGCTAAAGTTAATACAAGCTTGAGGTAATTATCTAGCTTAGCTACACCAGCTCTTTTTGTTTTGCTGTCGGAATAGGCACTAGGTTTGGGTTGTAACTGATGGAAATGAGATTAAAAATGCCGGCAAATGGGTTAGTTGCAGAATATTGTTGATATTATCTGGGTTTTAAAAGGTATAAACACCTTCTTAGTCACGACTCACGACGTTTCCAGAATGGAAAAGATCCTATACATTCCGCGATGTTGCCACATTGAAGAAATATATAAATAAAATATATAATACGCATACAAATTCAATATTAAGAATATCCATCAACATGAAAACCTATGAAGTAATAAAATCTGGCTGTCATGGCACAGTCTTTGAAAACAAACATTCAATAAAAACCTATTATATAGTAAAATATTTCAGAACTTCCATATTTGCAGTCATTTTCAGTCCCATTTCTTTTATCTACACCCAAAAACTTGGGCCTGATATGATTTTTTCATCAAAAATGGCTGGTATAGTTAAGCTAGAGAATTACCTTGATTTCCATATCCATAATAGGCAGAAATTAGGGCTTAAAAATTATTCGATTCAACATGTTTAATGATTGTGAAAAGCAAAAAGTCCCATACTTTGAAAGTAAAGCGATGCAACTTACCTTCTGTAAAAAAGACATGTGCTGACTTGTACATGTGTCTGCCTTCAAAATCATTCATCAAAGCATGCACAGATTTTTCAGATGGGGTGATGAGATATATTCCTTCCATTGTTGGTAAAGGTTCTCGTTTTTTATTTATGTCTTCAACCACTGCACAAAAAATGTGTTAAAAGAGAAGTTACATTACCTTTTTATACCAAATAAACACTTACACGTAATATACTCGGCCGATATATCGTGCATTTTGCAGCAGGCTGATACCATCCTCATCGCTAGCTGATCTACAACTAAAACTCGCCACTCAACATTATGTGAACCTTGCTGTGGTGTTGGCCCATTTTTCTTTGAAGGTTTATGTTTTATGACCTCATTCATAATTTCTACAAGTAAAAGCGCAAATGGTTATTTGGTAATAAGATCGTGAACTACTCTGTAGCTCAAGAAACTTATCGAACAACCCTCGTATCAGCAAGAAATATTGACATTTTGACGTCATTGAAAACGGTGGTAATTCGATAACAAACTATTGTTGATATAGCAAAGACAGTGCCCTGTTTTCAAATATCTGTCTGTAATGATGGGTTCAACAGCCTATCAAGCTTATACATAAATAAATATTCCTAAAAGGGTCAACTTCGTTCAAGGAAATTACTCAGATCTATAGAAAAGCAAAAGCACTTACTTTGTCCGACCTGAGCCTTAAGAGCCATGATAACTCAATTATTCTGCAACTCGTTATATCTGGCTGAAATTGCACCACACAAATTGTACACAATTGGGTTTGATTATTTTCAAAGAAAATCGGCAGAATCGGAGCAGTGGGTGACAAATCTTGAATGAATGATGATAGCAGTGCGCATGCCTTGGCGCCTACTACAAAATCTAGTTAAGGAACTATCCACTAGGTAGCAAAAGGGAGTCAGTTTTGAAAACTGAATCATCATTGCGCTCATCGCTACAGTCGATGAACACTGGTTGCATAACCAGTGGCATTTTTAGTTAGCACATGTCAGGATGTCACACAAACATTTTTAGGTTACAGAAATCTAAACAACAAACTTCAGTATTTGGTTTCAATACTTTAAAATACGTGCTCCAAGGAAAATATGTTTTACCTCATAGGTCTAGGATTAGGAGATTGCAAGGATATCACCGTCAAAGGTCTGGAAATAGTAAAAAAGTGTGACAAAGTATACTTAGAATCATATACGTCTATACTTACCTGTGGTGTTGAAGCATTAGAGCAATTTTATGGTGCAAAACTGATACTTGCGGATCGAGATTTGATAGAACAAGGAGCCGATGAAATTCTGGATGACGCAAAACATAGTGATGTCGCCTTATTAGTTGTTGGAGACCCATTTGGTGCCACAACACATACAGATCTTGTTCTTAGAGCAAAGGAAAAGCAAATTGATGTGAAGTGTATTCACAATGCTTCTATACTGTCTGCTATAGGGTGCTGTGGATTGCAATTGTACAGTTTTGGAGAAACTGTTTCGATACCTTTTTGGACTGATACATGGCAACCAGACAGCTTTTTTGAAAAAATATGTAATAATCATAGGTGAGGATAAAAGCAAGAAGCTCAAAACTAATCTTGCCCATTTCTTGGTTCTGTAATTCATTCAAGATTAGAATTAGTATTTTACCATACCAAACAGAAAGTATTGTACAAAGCATGATAACTCTCAACTATGAATTTTATTACAGGAACAATCTTCACACTTTGTGCCTCTTAGATATCAAAGTTAAGGAACCAACCCTAGAAAGTATGACAAAGAAGAAGAAGGTTTACATGGATCCAAGGTTTATGTCAGTGAAAGAAGCTGCAGTACAGTTACTGGAGATTTTGAAAAAATCTGAGTCGATTGTGATAGATGAGAGCAGTTTGTGCATAGGATTAGCCAGAGTTGGTGCTGAAGATCAACAGATAGTTGCTTGTTCTTTATCAAAAATGGCTAGTGTTGATTTGGGAGGGCCCTTACATTCCTTTATTGTTGTAGGACCTAAACTTCATCCTTTAGAAGAGGAGTATTTGCTACAGTTTAGAATTGTATAACTTGTGACTATAAAATATATTTTTTGTACATCTCAAGTATTTTTTCTTTTTGAATATATTTTTAGAGATGTGGATTATATACAGCAAATCATTTGCTATGCTGCAAAAACAATAAATCCCAATACAAAATTGTTGTTAATGGTTATATTGATTTTCCTTCAGTTCAGCTGCATAAAGCTGTTAATGGCTCTGAATAAAATTGAAATGAAAAGATATGTTCATTTGAATATTCTAGAAAATATTTCCAAAACAGCACTTCCCTAAAATTCGATATGGCAATGGTATTTCTACCTTGAAAAGACATTTCTGTAGCTTTTTTGACATTACTAGTGTTTTTATAATACATCCATTCACTACGGGATATCGCGAAAAAATCTCTTATGTAGTTTTTCCTACAAGATGTCAACTTCGTCTCGACATATTATCGGTTTTTTGCAACATTATATAGGTTTTTTAGGTATTAAACCTGCGGCACGGGTATTACGTATCTTGAAAAGTGATATTTCTTTGGTTTCTAGGTTTTTTTTGACATCGTAGGTTTTTCTAAAGGATGTTAACTAAGCACAAGTTGTACACTTGTGAACTCTGTTTGCAGCTGTACGTGTTGCTTAACCGTTGGCGTTCAGCGAGCAAAGGTGGGATGAACTATTTGCACACTAAAAACTACCTAGTGCAGAATGACATTCGGCGGTTTTTTACCTCCCTGGGCTATTATGTAAAAAACCGACAAAACGTCATCTCGTAGACTAGGTAGTTTTTAGTGTGCAAATAGGTCATTCACTTTTTCTTGGTGTGATCGCTGACGTTTAAGCAACACGTACAGCTAGCTACACAACGAGTTCACAACAAGTGTACAACCAACAGAACAGCTTTGTGCTAAGGTCTAAATTGACATCTTAGTAAAACCACAGAGTACTACCAGTGGCAACACTCTGTCAATAATCAGGTATTATCAACGCCAACTTGAGTTCTATGCGTTTGGTGGGATTCCTGTTGCTATGACATCTAAGGGTTATCCGTGGAATGATTGATACGTGACCACAAAACAGTTTTATCAATACAAATCAATTATCTGGCCTAAATGCATTTGGGGAAATAATAAACACAAATTCTGCAGCTTGACATATGACATTCGTGACGTCAGGCTAATAACGCGTAACAACCCCTAGGAAAAAATCATCCGGACGCTAATGAACATAAGCGGGAAATGTGGTAAGCACAGTTGGGGTCACGAAGATCAAAGGGACCGACAGCAGGTGTCGCATTTGTATCATTTGTGGTAGAACCATACACTGATGTCACTTTTCAAAATACGTAATACCGTACCCGGACTTACCCTGGCTCGAAGTAGCTTAATACTTATGTTTACGATCGATACTATTCCATATCGATATATTTCATAGAGTCATTGATTCCATCACTTACCTCACCTATCGCAACCGCGCCACCTACCTTTACATTTGAGATTTCAAATTCGCAATTAAAAAAAAAAGATTCTTTAAATCTTATAGCAACAACTTGTTTTTCGCTGTAAGTTATCTACAGAAAATAGGTAAAGATGTGATATTCACGATAAACATAACTGTCACGTACGTTTCTTATTAGTTCGATCACGTCGAGTTTTTTTTTTGCTAGTGTGATTTTGTACGATGAACGCGAAGAGGTGGTGTCTCGTAGTGCCTGCCAGTGCCCTGAATCTCAATGTAAGTTCATTGTTTGCTTTTTACTTTGTAATTGTATAAACCGTGTCCTATTTTACTGAATTCAAATCTTTTGAATATGCCGGATCACCTTGTCATTCGTCAAGCTTCTTGCAGTTTTGCAAATGTTTTGTCAGGAGTATATTTCTAATAAGGCAGGTGTAGGTGAACCGTTTGCATTCGCCTAGAGGCCTAGATAGGATTAAAATATACACAGTGCATTGTAAGTGCAATAGTATAAATCATAGAAGTAATCGTTTATTGTTCATCTATAGTCCATCAAGTTTTTTTGATGTTTTATGTTGTTTATGTACGAGGTCGATGGCATCAATTGTCGGCTTGCCTTTTTTACTACTAATTCCGTGTGCTTTGACCAGCATGCTTTAACAACTTTAGCAGCGCCACAGGCAGCGCTTCAGAGAGCAAATTTCCTTATGACAATCATTGAGAAGCGAGATGTGGGATATATCTAGTGAAGGACGCACGTCTCACAATGTTTGTACCAAAAGACACAACATTATAATATATACCCACCATTTTCTTGAATAAAAAGCAGATTTTTGGACGAGGGTGCACAATTAGGTAATTTGTGGGCGCTGAAGGAGAAATTTGACCACCAAAAATTGTGTTGTGGGGATGTGTGATATAGAAAATAGGACCTCCCGTGGAACTGACTGATAGTAATTTTGGCCTACACAATCCTAATTTTTTTTATAAATCTTTAAACTTGTACATCAAAATTACCATTTTCGTTTCTCGTTATTACAAGCCAATGAAACTGCATACACTGGTAATATTCGTAGATTTACGTACCCGTTTTATCTGGGTTACAAGTTTTCACCTACATCACAGATAAACAGTCATTGTTGAACAATTTCTCATCCGAAATCTGGAAGATAGTGTAAAGTAGATTGACTTTAAAACACTTCCCACGCCTTCCTAAACGGCTTATTCTAGTACAATTTTCCATGTAGTGCAATTTTTTATATACGAAGTGGCATCAAAAGGTTTAGGTTTTGTCCTATTCTGCTTTTCATGGAAAAAGATCCTTGGATTGCAGCAGTGAGCGTGTCCTTATTAGCCTTATTTATTTCTCAATAGCAAACGATTATCTATTTTTAATTCCTGAAATGCAAATTGCGGACAATTTTAAGTTCAGGTGTATCGTTGCCAATGAAACCTCTGGCCACGATCTTCAAGCTCATTTTAAGGTGAGATTCATTTTCATGTACGCTCCTTACTTTTTGTCGACGACAGAATAAAGCGAAACATTGAAATTAATTTATTGTTGCATCAAAATGTTGAATAAAAAATGTTCATTGCCAAAGTTACCATTGCATTACGTTAAGCAGACTATTTTTGTCACCCATATTTCACTACTGCTCACGCGAGCGGAGCCGCGGCTTAAGTCTTATAGGAAATAAAAACATACATACAGGGAAAACAAAATTTGTCTGACGGCTTGAGTTCAGTGTGTACGAGAGAGAAGAAGCCGGTTAAGAAGCAAAAGTCATCATCATATTACAACGGTGATGCAGAAGGTTGCGTTGTCGATATGTTACACCAAAAAATGTTCACAAAGGCTTCTACAACAGGCTAGGTTGCTGTCAAACCCAAGAAGGAGGTCTGTTCGAACAGTTAGTTTAATATTTTGTTTTCACTTTGATTAGAATTATTTATTTCAATTTTGATGCGACTTAGTGTTTTAATTTATTTTGAAATTATATTTAATTTTCACCGATGATAAAATCAACACACCCTGAGTTATTATGACATTTTGTGACAAGGAATGGTCGGAAAATGTAACAAATACCATTACGCAATACAAATTATCACTGCCTTTGTGTGCGCAGGTGAAAACCATTTCGAAGCAGGACGACATCCCCAATGAGCGCTAGACATACTGACCAAAATCCTCATCTATAATCATGGACGTGGAAACAATTGATGCAATGTTGCAGAATTTGCTGCGAATCTGACCTTTCATTTCGACCTAAGATAGCATAGCATATTGGCGTCGCGGTGATGAGCTTCGCTATCCAGCCGGCTTCTATCTCTTACTAGCATATGTGTATATACACACTTATACCTCATACAGATTGAACTCAAGCCGGCAGACAAATTTGGTTCTCAGTGTATAAGTATTTGTATTTTGGGAGGGATGTCAAAAATCTTCATGCATCTATCTAATCTGGTGCTTAAATTACGAAAAGATTTGTCAATTTGGTGCGGGGGCTGACTGAGGGTTACAGGTGGTTCCATTTTCTAACCCAAAACCCTCACGTAATCCTAGTATTTATTAGTCAAACTAAATTAAATGGAACCGCCGCCGCTCTCTTGATAACCTGAGATTTTAGTCGAAGCGGCTTTTGCCCCTGTTATGGTATCTGTATGGCTGTGCTGAATGATTCAGAAACAGTGACAAGTGCAGTGGCGGATTTAGAGGGGCGGTGCGGAGGACGCGCCCCCCTTAGACGTCTGACACTTGCTTTTGTAATCTATCACCATTGTGTTACTTTCTGACACATCACGGCGACAGAAGCATACTAACTATAAGTTATTGCTATAGGAACTGAGCATTGCGATTTTTTGGTATCCTTTGGTTATTCCAAATGCTGACATCACTTGTTTACAGCACAATTTTTACGATTTATACATATGTACGAGTATTGTGGCTTGCGGCAAATTTAAATCTGGGTACCTAATACGAGCCCCTTCCCACTTCAGTTGGCTCAACTATTGAAATCTTAGTTTTTTTCTTATCAAACACAAATAATAAAAATGTAGCAGGGTGTTAGAGGTTTAAAATATTAACAATGAATATTTTGATAATATATAGTAGAAAACACCAACTTTATCACTCCCTAATCAAATTTGCAGCATAAAAATAACACATGTTGCAATTACAGCATATCAACCTATTTTCATTTCAATGCAAAATAAGTCTATAACGCATAGGTGGCTGTGAAAAATAAAAGCCATGACAATTGTTTTTATTAATCACAGCTGTCAGTATACGTTTAAAATACTTTTGGGTAGTTAAGGTTTTCAAAATGGGTAGAGGAAAGGTTATTAGTGGGAAAATTCGGTTACCTACTGATAATTACATTTTTTAATTCTGGGAAATCAAACTCAGAAATTGCAACTTTGTTAGACTTATCGCGGTACAGTGTGAGAAATGTTGTTAGAATTTATAACGTAACTGGTTCAGTTTATTAAGCCACGATATGTGAAAAAAGTAATATCACAAATGCCGACCGAAGAGCATTAAGAAGAATAATCCTGAAAAACAGCCGTGCCAATTATTTACAATTAAGTGCTCTGTGGAGTGACGCTGTTGGAAGGAGAATTTCGAGGTCCACAACTCATAGAGAGGCCCACAAACTGGGATTTAGCACTTGCAAGGTAAGTTTTCTTATAAAAAAAAGTGAAGTAAAAACCCTAAAGTTGCACAACTTGTTTATAGGCCAAAGAAAAGCCACTATTAACTCCACTGCGAAAGAAAAATCGGCTTGGATGGGCTAAAGAACATAGACAATGGACACCTCAACAATGGTGTGCAATACAATGGAGTGATGAGGCCCGATTCGAAGTTTGTGTTGGTGACAGTCGCAGTAGAATTATTCGTAAAAAAATGAAGCATTCCATGTTGACTGTGAGAGAGAAAACTGAAATTTCCAGCATCCATTATGTATGTCATCAAAAGGAGTAGGAAAACTTCATTTTATTGATGGAAATGTGGATACAAACAAATATTTGGCAATTTTAGAACAATCGCTTTTACCAGTGATGGAAGAATGTTTAACATTCTGCTAAGATTTTGTGTTTCAGCTAGATGGTGCAGTGTGCCATACCTCAAAAAAGGCTATAAAATGTATGGAAGAAAATAATGTACCACTTTTGAAATGGGTTTCTAGCAGTCCAGATCTGTCATTTATTCGCACATTGTTTATTTGTTCAGATGTTCTATTAGTTATAGGTCTAAGTGATTTCAAATATGTATTTTTTACGACTAGAGTGTATCTAAAATGTTCAGAGGTAGTTCTCCTCGATGATTCCAATGACCATAATTTGGTTTGGTTGGGCTCAAACAAGACCGATGCAGCAGTTAAAGCGTTCGCTCTTACTCAAGGGCTAACCCAGCTGGTGACGGGCGGTACTGTTTTCCCGCGAGTCTCGTCACATGCCAGTAGCCTGCTGGATCTCTTTCTGTCCACGCATCCTGCCCCTTAAAGCACTGCTGCCTTGTCCCTGTCCCCCCTGGTTAGCTCAGACCACGGTGTTGTGGAGGTTAGGTTTCGGTCAGAACCCGCTGTGGCAGCAGAGACTCGCACAGGCCGCAAAATTTGGCAGTACGGACATGCCGACTGGGAGGGGCTCATAGACTTCTCTTATACCTTTCCTTGGAGAGATGTCTGTTTCACTTCGGAATGGAGGAATACATCCCTCATACAGTGAAAGTTCCTAAACCAGGGTCACAGCGCAATGGCAGTCAGTTTTTCTGGACGCTGACCAAGCAAATTGAAAAGAAACTCTCACACAGCAGCCTTCCACCACTTACGTGTCAGGATGGAACGACTGCATCGGACTCAAAGGCCAAGGCTGACGTCCTTGCCAATATCTTTGCTGCCAACTTCCCCATGGACGTCTCTTCCAATGCCCAAGTGTCGTCAATTCAAAGGGTTCCCTACACTATGTGGGAAGTAATATTCAGGTATAAGACCGTAAGACGAGTGCTCTTGTCGCTCGACATCAACAAAGCTTCTGGACCGGACTTGATTCCTGCCATTGTACTGGAGATGTGTGCAGCGGAGCTTGCTTCAATTCTTCCGCGCCTCTTCCAGATACCTTATGAATCTGGCACCTTCCCAGAAAACTGGAAATTCGCTCATGTTTGACCCATCCCAAAAAAGGGATCAAAGACCGACCCTTACAACTACAGGCCTAGAGCTCTGCATTCTGTTATGAGTAAGGTGATTTAGAGGTGCCTAAATCGCAAGCTTCTGGACTACCTCGAACGTCACAGCTTGATTAGCGACAGACAGTATGGTTTCCGGTACCAGCGATCCACAGGGGACTTCCTAGCTTACCTCACGCAATTGTGGAGTAAAGTCATCCAGTCTCATAGTGAGGCTTATGTCGTTGCTTTTGATATCACGAAAGCATTCGATCAGTTGTTGCATGCTGCCCTTTTAAGCAAACTTCCATCCTATGGCCTCTCAGAAAATTTTTGCAGATGGGTGGCTGACTTTATCTCTGGCCGCAAGATATCCGTCGTAATTGACGGGTTCTCCTCTTCATCTCACAACGTCAACGGGGGTGATCTCCAGGGATCGGTCTTGACACCGACACGTTCCTCTTACATATCAACGACCTCCTTTCCTGCACGATCAACCCAAACCACAGTTTCGTTGATGACAGCACTCTACATCCAAGAATTCAGAGTGACAGCTGATCTCTGCCGCTGAGCTGGAAAATAGATGACTAGCGGCTACTTCCTCTCTGACGAACGACCTGGAGGTTATTACTGCTTGGGGATGCAACAATCTTGTACAGTTTCATGCTTCCAAAACACAGTACTGTACCTTGACGAACAAAAAGCGTCCTAAAGCTTATCCAGTTTCGATAGGTGGCCGAGCTCTGCCAAAGAGCCATTCACTTCGACAGGTCGGAGTCCAGATCACCGAGGACCTGGTCTGGCATGAACTCATCTCGTCAAGAGCGGCAGCTGCTGGGAAAAAGTTAGGTTATTTGTTTAGGGCTCAGAAGTACTTTTCTCCGCATGACCTTCTCATTCTATACAAGGCCCAGATAAGGCCTAGCCTCGAGTATTGCTCACACATTTGGGGTGCTGCTGTCCCGACTACATTATTTATGCTCGATGCTGACCAGAGGAGGGCTGTCCGACTGATCGATGCCTCTTCTCTAACAGACAGTCTCGGAACCCTTTCACACAGGCGGGCCATCGGCGATCTAGCTCTCTTGTACCGCTATACCAACGCGCTTTGCTCCTCAGAGCTCTCTTCCATGATGCCGCCACACAATGTGCCTGCCAGACAGACCCGCCTCACTGACCTCCCATCCTAACCGTGTCGTGTTCGTTTTCGCAATCAAAAACATTGTTTTGTGTGGAATGGTCTGGGATATGTCTCGGAATCCCTCAGAATGTTTTTTTTTTTGTTACCAGCAATGAAGTGTTTTATATTTGAATCTTTAATATTATTACACTAGTTAATTATACATGTCACGTACTTATTTTGTTCTCATATTGCCTTTCTGAGGATTTCTGAGCATTTTTCATGTTTTTTTTTTTCAAGCAGGCCTTGACCAGATAGAACACGATGGATTTAAGAAGCAATAATAGGATAAATTCTAGAAGTTGCACTGAGGTTAAAAAATGACCAGCTCCAAATATCCAAATATCGTCTGCCCCCCCCCCTGAACGAAATCCTGAATCCGCTCTTGGACCAGTGGCATTGCTACATGTTCAACATTTCACCAACTTGTTTATGCTACATCATTTAACTTTCTTTATAATGGGTGGAAAATAAAAACAACATAATAAACGACAAATTGTTTATTAAAATTAATAAGTAAAACAGAAACGTGAATACATAGTAATTACTTGCATTTAATCATATATTTACAATAAATTTATACTCCTTACGAACGAGGAGTGTAGATTGGATGGTGGGATATAAACCTGCTGGTAAAACGGCACAACATTATACAAGAGTTTTTTTGTTCCACAATTCAGTGCCCAACGGAAAAATTAAGCTCAAAAATATGCATTTTAAAACATGTCAGAGGTTTCTTTATGCGAGATTGATCTCCAAAATATTCCATTTTCAAGACATGTAGCATGTTATTTTTTTTGTAAAAAATAACTTCATTTGTTAACGCATTTTTTGAGAAAATAACTTATTTTTTGTATATTAACATCCTGTGGGCAATGTATTATGAATCATGCAATTATATACACTGCTCGGTTCGTACATATTTAAACTAGTATCAAAAGCATTGATAATGCTATGCTGTTGTTCATATTGTTATCAAATTGAGCAGTGTTGAACAGTGAGACAATAGGAACACTCAGTTTTTTTGGTTACATATAATTGGAATATTGTTTTTTATATGCTAACACATTTCACAAAACTTTTGGGAAAAACTGGACCTCTGACTCCTGTCTCATATACGTAGCGACATACGAGACTCTAGTAAGCGTATTATTACTATCATTTTTGCTTACCAATAATGTATACCCTATCTGTATTCTGAAGTCAGGTGTAGATAGTTGTAAAAAAGACAAGTTTTTCCCAAATTTTTCGATTTAAAAAAGGAAATACATGTCTAAGTATGGACAACTACATGGCAATTTTTGTATAGTACACGAGCGCTTATTTTTAAATGACGTCACAGTGGCTTGGTAATTTTTTACATTTAAATTCAACGTTAAATATTACCTCATATAAAATCTGTAGATACTTAGATGCTTTTGGTCAGTACATTTGTCTGGAATCTTGAGAGCAAATGTATGCATAACAACCTCTGAATTGAGAAATATATAGATTTGGAATGTCATTTAAAATTGCTCAGGATGGAGTTAGGGCAGTCAGAACATATTTTTCATTAACCATTTCTCAACGTCACTACGAAGTTGATGGTCATTCATGAGATATCGGATTTCTATTGGCAAGAAGAGGTTCATACACAAATCTTTAGATGGCCAAATTACTGACAGATGTAGCTGACGTGGGATAATTACTTATATAAACACTGTAATTTTTAACAATTCCCTGATGAAGTATAGCAATGAAACACATTGTGTTTGTACTTGATAGTTTCCTGAGTTTATAATATTCACACTACATTTTAGCTCATGAAATATCAAACATGATCCTTAATTATATGACAGATCAACAAAACGTAGTACAAGCTTCACAAAATAAATTGATTACATTTGTATATTAAGTTTGTACTAGTTGTGAAGCAAATTGCTTAACATCTCTTATGTCTTGAGGTAGATTTTTGTATTTGTACTGGTACCTTCTCAATAACGATTTGCAAATATGAGGTTTGATAAAAGAAAAACAGGCTATCTTAACTGCAGAGCTTCAAGGACAAAATGGTACCAAAGCTCATTCAAATATAATATAAGGTTTATCATTTGCGTCAGAGATTTCATCAAGACGTCAGTCAGTATATATGAATCTAAAAATACTCGTACATAAGAGTTATAGGCTATAATTTTCTTTGTGAGAAAAACAGTCGTTCAAATAAGTTTCCAAAATATGTGCTTCGAAGCAGTTGTTGGATCCATAAACTGAATTGCCAAATTACATAATTTGATGTCTGTAGAATTAAAAAAGCAGAAAATCAAATGTCATCGTAGTATGTAGTCTGTTTTTCGAGAATCAGGCCACATAGGGCTTTACATTCGATCCAACTACCAAAAGTTGAATAAAATGTTGCCTCTCACATATACATATAAATTGTAACAATATAATGGATGATAAGGTGCCTCTATGTACATATGGTTTTTCAGCAACATACATATAGATGAACAATAGTGCTGAGTTACTTCTCACTTCTCGTACAACGTGTAATACCAACATCAAAGAATCAATTCACCTATTTATAATGCTGCGAATTTTCAACATCCATATATGAAAACGAACACACATGAAAATGTAAAACCTTTAATATAAATATAACCTGAGTCTTATTGCAGTGTTATTTGGGCGATTCTAAATTCTCAACAATACATTCACTAAAAATTAATAAATTGGACAAGGAAATCGTTCTCACCATTAAAAATATAATTGCCTAAAGAACTGATTTCGCTTGCTTTGTCATGTTCACATCTAAATTTATTATAAATGCCTCAAATTTAGAACACCCTCATCACTTAGTTTACACCCTTTTGGAATGACAAGCGTCAAGTTACAAAATTCGCGGTCAACATGTAAGCATATCATAAACTGTGTAGACAGTGCTTTTCAAAAAGTCCCATGTGCTTATTTTTAGATGGATTTAGTTAACAAACTGACTTTCAACGGTTCTAAAATTGGAGCATGAGTATTATATTTTAACGTAAAAGTGCTATCTAAAAAAGATGATGGATGGATGCCATTTTTGAGCATATTTAAATAGTTTGGAGTATCATGTAATATCTCAATTTGAAGCTCCTAATCACCTAATGCTACATTTATTTTTTTTAAAATGTCACACTGAGGAGTTGTGAAAGTTGAGCGTTTTTGTTCATTCATTCATCACTTAACTTAAAAACTGATAATGTAACTCCTGAAACTTATTCTGTAGTTTTAATATGTTTTGAGACTCCATTGTCTAGCGGAGTCAAACATATATATGTTTTAATTTCTACCGCGGTGGCCTGTTTAAAGTACAATGCCAGTATATATTTGTTTATCTTTTTTTCCAGGGGTCAGTTGATCAAATTTTCCTTTTCTTCATTCCTAAACAGCCTGTTGCATGCTACATGATGTTCAATCAATTATTATAGATATAGAATAAACGGCCACCTGGAAGACATAAGTATAAACAAAAATATTCAGTCATTAATTGTATAATTGTACTTGAAAAAGGTCACCACTGTAGTCGAAACGTCGTAGAATAAATAAAGATTAAAATATATATGTGCATTGCTTCGCCCACTCAAGGGAGTACTATTAAAAACTAATCATCAACAACGTTGTGTATATCAATATTCTTCTTTTGGAGGTGTCTATCTGAATATGCAATAAAATGTGGAATCTAGCGTTTAGAAACCTGACAAATGGGATGTTCCATGAAGTACATCCTTGCAAGAGAAGAATATTGATATAACACACTATAGCATTATGATGATTGGTTGTAGAGCGATGAGCGATTCAAAACACTCAAATTTGACAGCCTGCTAGTGATAGTAAGAGTAGCCATCTTGAATTTTCAACTGTCACCTTTAGGTTAAAATATATTATACATAATTTATGAATTTCATCAACCTGAAGTTGGGCATGGTAACTTGAATCATACAAAAAACAAGTAGTGAGGGGGCTTTTTGAAAAGCACTGTATAAAAAATAGTCACAGCATAATTTGTGTCATATATTTTCTTACGTTACGAAGCAATTCTGCTTTTCCTAAAATAAAGTGTGTTCTTTAGAAAGAAAACATTTATTTGTTGAAAACTACTTGACGTTTGTTCTGCAAGATATTGATTTAACATTGCCACTTCACTGTGACGAAACATATTACAGTACTAGTGCTAGGGAATACTAGTGAGGTAGGGGATAATCATACACAGTAGTACCAAAATGATGGTTCAAACACTGATCCAAATCGTGTGTGGCCAAAAGGTCTTACATCAAAGTGCGCTTGGTAACATTTAAACAATTAAGACATCAATCTTAAATATAATTCCGACATTTATGACGCCCAGCGCTTTTTTGCCAATTCATACTGGTACTTTTGCTTTCAAATCATAACGTGACGATTTTTTTCCTAGAGAATGTATGTCAAGATCATATAATAAACAAAAAATTCTTATCGGGATGATATTGAATGTGAGAAATAACCTAAAAGATCAAAGTTTGTATTAAAACAAACAAAACTAAACTTTTTTTTGTACTAACATAAGTTCATTCGGTTTGATGACTCATTGTGTGAATATTTCAAAAAAAATCGCCAGATAAGACCAGACAGCATGCCACTCAGTTCAATTTCATTTATTGCATTTCCAAACTATGTTAACCATTTTCAAATTTATTCCCATTGCTTTTCCGGTCCAACACCTCTTACATTAAAAATCATAACATTTAATCGCTATAGCAAAAACATATTTTGGATTGAATCTTGTTGACCATTTGAAATGGCTAATCGGTATTATTTATCTCACAAAAAGTACAGCTTTTTGACTTTGACACCGTTTAGGTTGCTATAGTGACAGGGATATTTAGCCTCATGACATAGTGATTAACCTTAGCTAAATATTACTAAATATTCCGACAATAATTAACAGTGTAGTAAAAACATCTTGCATTTTTGAATTACAAAAATTGAGGTATTTACATAGAAACTTAAAGCAAAAATTAAAAAAATTTATAACCTAAGGTTTTTTCACTAAACTTTTAAATCGAACCCTGATGCCTCAGAATATTAATGACTATAACAAAATTACCCGTTGCAGAAAAATCGCTAAAGCCACATTCACACCCGTCGACGTGACAGTACAAAAAAGGATATCACCCATAGAATAAAAATAATTATAAAAAGTCTTTGATGTACTGAAACATTGACGTAACCGACATTCATCATCTAAATACTAAATTAACTTGGAGTTTGGCAACGCATTTCCAAATTATTGTCCTCTAAAACACATAAATGAATTTCAATTGTTCTTAGTGTCATCATCACTTTTGTTCCTTAGTATTCTTATTAAATCATTAACATACTTACTAATAAATGCAGTGAAAAATAAAAAACATTTGGATTTTATTTAAGTCGAGAGTTGATTTGGAAAAATATTTGCCAAGCTCCACAACAAAAAAAACTTAACATTATAACAAAACATTGTTTCAACTTCGAAACTGAAATATATTGTGTATCCCATAACTTGCATTTCAGTTGCGATTGTGTGGTTAACATTTAGTCAAGGATACAAGAAAAATATATTTGTATATTGTATAAAAAATCTGAGGAAGCTATTAGTTGGCAGGCATATTATGAGGTATTGCATACTGTGATATATCTCTTGGATTTGTACTACATATTTCTTGCTAGACATCAAAACATATATTTGAATAAACTATAAAATATAAAAAAATAAATTAATGTCATGTTTTCATGAGGTAGATAAGGTAACTTAAAACGAAAATGCTCTGCACAATATATAGTATGTATATTTAAATCTGTGTATATTATAAAAACCCGTATTTGTTTATTTATTTAGCAAAAATACTGCGAGTTTGAGGTAGATCTGTAATATATAGTTGCTGTATTGTTTCAGTTGTTGCATATTTGACTAGTATCGCCAGCTTAAATTACTGCTATTTGGTTTTCAGTAAATATATTTCTATATAAATATATGGCATGTATGCTTTTATCATGATATACTAAACGTAAATATTTTAATCAACACATACAGGGTTCATACGACCTACATTTTATGTGGATCTACTTTATTTGAGCTGAGGCAGGCTTTCATGGATCAACTAGATAATAAAAAAATATACAGTACTTGTCAGAAAGGTCCTCCCAACATACTTCTTGAACTATCCTATATTTCAACGTTGAAATAAATGTTGAACATTTCAAGATGGCGGCAGGGTAACTTCTTTTAACATTTTCCGAATGGAATGGAGGATCATGTGATATCTCATTTTGATGCCCTTTATCCCTTACGAGTCTTTTATAACCTTCGAATATAAAATCACTTTCTTTCAAAATGGCGGACTGTCAGGGTGTCAAACTCGAGCGTTTGCGTACATTGAATCGCTTGTAACAATGTAACTAATCGTCAAAACGTTTTAGTATGTAATATTAATCTTCTTATTTTGGAAGGGTATATTTGAATTTGCAATAATATTATTGCATTATTTGATACGTTCAGTTTAAATAATACTGACTATTTTGGAATCTTTCATATTTCATTACATAGTTGGTAGACCCTTTCGAGATAAGAAGATTTATATGAAATAGGATACGTTTTGATGATTGGTTGTCGAGTTAGCTACTCAATGAACAAGAACACTCAACTTCGAGAGCCTGTCAAATCGCCATTTTGGATGATCGTGATTTTATATCCTAGAGTTATAAAGTGCTTCAAAATGAGATATAAGACGACCACCTCTATTTGAAAAAAAATGTTCCAAAATGGTGCCCGGGTGGCATCTTGAAATTTCCAACTACCACTTTTACACCAAAATATATTTCTCAGGCATTAATTTCATCACCCGAATTTCAGCTCCCTAGCTTGACACATTCAAAAAATAAGTGGAGGAGGTCTTTCTTAAAAAGCAGTTTCTCTACGATAACATAATTCAATAAATTTCACACTCATGGTTCTAAAGGCAACTTAAAAAAATTTTAGCTTCTCATACTGATTAGAAATAATTAAAATAATAAATCATGACACTCAGGATGTCTGAATTTGCCATGACAAAAATTTAAGATCATCGAATTAGAAATGAAAATAATAGTTGAAATTACGTTAACAGATTTTGTTCATTTCATTTAGTCCAGTATTAAGAAACAATTTTAGGAGTTCTCCAGCATAGGTTCAACAAATTTTGTGGGAATTCACAATAGCTTTTATCATTCAATTTCAGGATTAGATTTACAAAGTTTATCGTGGTCAAAAAGTTATTAATAGATTTTAGTTATTATCAATTAATCCATAAAAATCTGCATTGTGTTTAATCTTTATCGTGGATTAGATCCACATCTCACACCAGACTATACTTATTAAAGCTAGAAAATTAATCTGAAATATCTGAGTGAAGATATTTACAAAAAAAAATCTTAAGCAAAAAAGGGCAATTTCCTTTTACCTGAGTTTGTTACATAAAAGAGGATAAACTTATACACTATACTTTATTTTTTGCACTAATGACTAGGGATGAAGATTGATATACCAAGAAATCTGAGGCAGAGTAGTTTCATATTGAGGTAGTTTCTTACCCATAGGGCGTGCAGATTATTTGTAGGTGCTTCCAATAATCGTTTAGAGTCAAACAAAAAAATAACGTTCTCCATATACATATAAGTACAACAAAACATCGAATTTCTTGTAATAACGAAAAAAACTCAATAATTCCTTTCCAATCGCGTAAAAGTAAAAACAAAGTCAATTTCTAGAAAAATCAAAAGGCCGCTCGTTCTCACATCAACTACTTAACCATCTCTTTTCCTATAAAAAGCTATACACGGGAGGGGCGGCTTGAGAGAATTGGAGCTCAGATTATCCCATTTTATTAAAAAAATTAGCCCATTTATCATCTGGGTACCATACAGATACAGTTTGAACATTTAACTAGCAGTTGGGTTTCTCACCATTTTTATATTTAATCATACAGTTAAGACGAAAAACCAGTGGAAAATTGAGTCACTTATAAACAGCGAATCAAACAGACGACACTTTAATGGATTACTAGCATATCCTGTTTTTTCGTTATTGCTTGTATAGAATGGTATCACAGATGACTTTTTAAATGAGTGTGTAATGCTATCTATCTATGCATGTTGTTTCTATAAAAATTTGTTTATAGAGTTATTAATTTATTAGTGATTTATATTTTTTCATATGAACTGTGAACGACATATCTGTGACTTGATTAAAATTCTTCGCTTTTTCGCTGAATAAAAATAATTAAAATAAAAACATTATTATTATATTAATATTAATCAGTTACACGTTATTTCCATAAATACATGTGGCATTTTTAAATTTTATTTAACCTTTGCCATACTTCAGATGAGTATTTTCATTCTTTACTACCTCTAAAATGGGTAGATTTTCAGGTACAAGTTTACATTTTGTACCAAAAGAAGCCTACGAAAAAAAAAAAGATTCTGACGCATACATTAGTAACTTGCCTTCAAATTATTTTGAACTAAACGGGTATCTAAATCACGTCGCTGATTAATATTCATTATCAGTATTTTTCTTTAATTGCATCAAATACAGATTCTTTATTCTGCTCTTTGAGATGTCTGAATTTTTATAGAGCATCATATCTCTTATTTTAACGAAGAAAAGCTTTTCATATTTTTCGTTCAGGTGAAACAATATTTATAGAAACAACCAAATATACTAGTTTTTGTAACAGAAACGATTACACATTATAAGTAGTCTGAAATTGCGTGGATTATAATATACATTTCTGCAAATAACCTCAAGATAACTTTTCAAAATATTAGCTATGACAATGTGATCCATCGAATTAAAATCACAGATGTAAAAAATAGTTTATTGTCATTTCAAATTATTTTCAGAAAAGCTATCAAGGTGGCAGAAATATCAGTAAATTATTAGTACGTGTATCTGTAGTTTTATCCAATAATCAGTATAAACATGGAGTCGAATCAGCAGGTCGACCGCAGGATAAGTTGCAGGACTGTGAATAGTTCAATATTCGTAATCATTCAACGATCAATTGGATAAATTATATTCATTCGTAATGTAATCTCTAGCTACTTATAATACGTAATCGAAATGCAACAAATCATCAACCAACAATCTCCATTCCCTCTAAGGTCACACCCTCCTCAACAACGCACACAACCCGTTACCCTACACAATGTCGCTTCAGAGCACTAGCGCGCTGAACCGCCTACGCCAATGCGCCGTAAGCCACGTCCCCTAGGGCTATATTATTGACTGCGAGGACGGTCATTGCGCGGGAAAACGCTGTCGCTTCAGAGCACCAACGCGCTGAGCCGCCTGCGTCTTCCCCTCCCGCCGCCGGCAGCCAATGCCCCGAAAGGCCCCTCCCACGGCGCGGTTAGCCACGCCCCCTAGGGCTGTATAGCCTGAGGGGGCGGTCCGGGTGGGGGAGGTCCTTGCGCTGTGGCGCCGCCTCCCGCCGCTTGCTGTTGTTGGAACGCCTTTAAGCTCATCTCGTGCTTGTGTTCGCGCGCGATATGCCTGCGCACGGTGTTGTTGCGCGTGAATGTTCTCGAACAGAACGGACAAGGTACTCGGATGCCCTGATGGCGTTGGCGGATGTGCGCGCGCAAGTTGGTCTCGTAGCCATACAGACGTTCGCAGAACGGACATTTCAGCTTTTTGCCTGGAAATAACAATAATAAGTTTAGTTATACGATAAGTTACGTTACGTTATAAGAAAGAGATGGCGAGAAACTATTTATAAAAAATCAGTACGATACCTGGATTTCAGGATGACCCTCCCCGACATTTGGTCGCATCTCTGGATATCTCCATAATAGGCTCATTTTTTGGTATTGTGCTTATCTCTAGATAGACAAAACCTAATGTTACTGATGGAAGATAGTCCAACAGTGTTAAGCTCCTCAGAGAGTTAAAGAGGTGGTACTTCGCTAGGTATTTGGGCCTAGCACGTATATACGTCCAAAAGGACCTGGAGGATGGCCTGTGTACAGGTATAATGACGTACAATGACGGCAGAGCTATTGTGTCTGCCACTTTACCGTACCCAGAATTTTATGATACAGGCTTAAATAATGATGAAAATTAGTTTATCTGTATAAAATATACAACGTAGTTAGTTCCAATAAGCTGTTTAGAGCCTAGCGAATGGAAGGTAAATTTCTCGTTTCCATATGGGCTAACTGTATCGTTGTCGCAGATTTTGCTTCTTAGTCGCCGAAAAATGTCTCATCTAGTTATATGATATGGAAAGGTGATCAGGAAGTAGTAATCTGGAGAATTCCTACTGTGAAACTGATGCGACCTGGAACCCCGGAACTTGATTTATGAGGGCCCCAGAGTTGAAAAAATTACCAAAATCATTACGCTCCAGTACCCCCTCAGCTCTTTAGCTATCACCAGCGGAAGCCCAGTACGAATTTCCATCCTAACAAAATTTTGCGATTTTGCAAACACATCACAAGCCGAGAGCCATCTAAAGCACACAGGATGCTCGAGGTTGCGGCTGAAGAAGCCCCAGGGTAGGTGCAAAATGGAGGGCTATTCTTTGCCGTTGGGGAAAATTGAGAAGTGGGAATCGGGTACTCAGCCAACTGTTTTTGAAATTCCCTTCGATTTTTGGACATTTGGGGCTCCCTATCAAACCGAGGCCTTGGACATAGCCATAGGGTACAGACGGAAGAGTACACGGGGTAACATTCGCTTTTTCTTGACAGGATATAGATACTCACCATCTGGTGTGTTGACGGTACCCGTCTTATGGTACGGTTTTCCTCCCACCGTATTCCAAAGATTCGTAGCGGTAAGTATCTCCTGCTCCCGTTCGTTGAAGTTGGTGGTGGTTGGTAGGGAGCCGTTGGAGGTGTTCATTGGTCCACCTCCACCGCCTCCCCCTACTCCCATGCAACCCGTGCTGCTCGGAGACTCGTCTTGCTGTATGCTGCTGGGGTCCATCTTCATTCGCAGGTCTGGAACAATGACAGATTCTTAGGTGCTTACTTACTTGCCGGCTCGCAAAATTTTAAATAATGACCGAAAGCGTATAATTGGTGCGAGTAGTAAAAAATGAGTGTATTGGAAGGAACAATGAGTAATACATGAGTAGTTAAGATTTTCTCTGAAAATATAAATGCAAGAGAGTTGGTTGCTCAACTTGAGCAACGCTTCTGAAAGCGAGTGCCGGCGATTGAAAAAATAAAGAGTGGGGTTGGGGCTGATTCCAGCTCCCAGGATACATGAAAATCTATTATTCGTTTCACTGAAACCCATTTTGGGAATAAATTGCGTAAAAATGAGACAGTCCACGGACTGTCTTCTGAGTCCCCTGCAGAATTTTTTTCTGGATGCGCCAGAGACCCAACTATGATGATCTGTGGCGAAATGTATCAAACGCGTTGAATAAGATGCCTTCTCCGAGTGCAATGGGAACATTTTCATTTTCGCTTTCATTCTAGGATTTTATGTAGAATAGACCAAACACATGAAAAATTTAAACGAAATACCCTAATTGAATAAAATGTTGCTTTGAGCTAAAAGCTTTGTTCTAATGAGAACGAATGTGCAGTTAAGATAACATCACTCTTGTTATATTTCATCATAGATTTCATCACTGACATCTAGCTTTTTCGATGTGACACCTATAATATTAAATATCAAAAAGTATGATGATTTTTAACTCACCTTCGGGACAGCCTGGATCTTGACACCTATCTATTTTTTTACTTTCTGGACATATTAAAGCTGTTGCTGGGTCTGGATCAAACCTTGTTTCTGAAGCATCGTCCGAACCTGGCTGGTTTGGTAGATTTGAAGATCTAGAACAAAAAAAAGTGTCATCAAACATCTCCAATGTCTTATTTTTAACAGTTTCGCAGTTGATACCCCTCTAAGTGGTTCTTATATCTTTTTATGATAACTTCTTCTACAACTACACAGCTACTAAGATATTCACTGTAGATACATTTTTAATGCAATTTGCTTCACAAAACCTTATTTCTTAAACAAAAGAGTAAGGACAATACTTTCCGAACTAACCTACAAAAGCATCTATTTTATCTATAGTTGTACCCTTGAATCTTGCAAATTATCTCTTGTATATTTTGACTATGTGTCATTTTTAGACAATGATCGTATACGTTTTGCGTTTATATTGTTATATTACCGAAAAGCTTCATAAACATTACATACTTATATCTATATTAAATGCTTGTTGACAAGCTTATTTACATTTTAACTTGTTTGTTGTGATTAACTAATCTGATATAATGTGGGTTTTACATGCATAAATTTACGTCATTATTTACATTTTATTTTGGAGTACTTTTTCCTGGTGATTATTAAAATTGAGCCACAAAATATATAGTTAAGATTTTTTTGTAACCACCGTCGAGATTTTGAACAATTTGTATTGGTGTGATGATCATACGACCCAAACCTTATATTTCATTACCCTAACATACCAATGGTTCAAATATAGGGTTGTTAAAGCCGTGTAATCTAAAATTTAGTAGTAATTATATATATAATTATTAATTAGTAATTATTAATTTAGTTGAAAATATGCAGCTGGCTAAAGAACAATATTATTTGATAAAACAATGTAATGTAAAACATGTTGTGTCTTATAATCTGTAAGGCAGCATGTTCCATTTCAATGACTTTATGAAGTGTGTTTCGTCTCTTTCATTAAATCTTCATGATATTCATAAGTATCCAGCTCTTTATTTTACCGGCAATCATTTTAGCAATTGCAGCTGCCGTGAAACAAATTGCGCATATCACTGTAAATCAAATGATAATAAAATAGACATAATTATATGTATTATTAAATTTTGAAAATAGTATCACTAACCTGTATCCTAGAGGTGCGCCCTGCCCCGGTTGCTGTCCACTCGCCGCCGCCCCAGGTGACAAGGGCGGCGCGCCCTGTTGCTGCTTCCCGTCCCTCAGCACCGACGCCCTAATGCTCTCTTGCATCAACTCGCTGGGGCTGCGCAGCTGCCTTTTGACTCCGCCTGCTCCTTCGTAATTGGGCGTGGCTGCACCGCTGCCTGGCCCACCCGTACTGGACGCAGGCGCCATTCGCTGCTCGTACCGCCCGTATGGATGGGGATGCATATAAGGGGACATTGCAGGGGAGTAGCTAGGCGATGGGGAGGACTGGTGTTGTTGCGGTTGGTGGGTGCTTGTGGGTGGCGTAGGGGAGGTGTCGAGCTCTTCTTTTATCAACTGAAAGAAAAATTTAGCGTAGTGTTGAATTGTGAAGGTCGAAATTCTGACGGAACAGGCAGGACGAAGCTGTACATGAGAATGCTGAAGAGTCTTTAGGGCTCAGAACAACGGATTCATTAGGATTGTGTAGAACAAAACTACGAAGAAAGGTTGGCTTCTCGACTAGACATTTTTTACTTTCGAAAATGAGATATGTTTTTTGGATGTTATTTGACATATACATCACTAAAAACCATTTGACTCATTTACGTCGGTCTGCCTGTCCGTCTGTCCACGAATCTGATAACCCCCTATAACTTGAAAAATATATACATTTTCACAGAATGTTGCTACTATGTCAAGAACGGAAAAGCGTTGTAGTTTTTGAAAATCGTTCTAGTGGCAGCGGTGAAAAAAGGTAAAAACAAAAAAAAATCGCTCAATACGATCCAGATCATTTTCGGAAAACAATTTGGGTTACAAATTGGGGTGCAGGAAGAGGGATAGGATATCTCAATTTTTTACAGTATCAACTCAGATTACAACAGTCTGTAACTTTTGGAGAAATGTAGACTAGAACCGAAAGAGCTTGATATTGTATCGGCAGCAAAATGCTATCAATTGCTGCAGAATTCAGTAGGCGTAAACCCCTGAAAATGAACGTTAGCTAGACATTTAATATTTTCTTACCTTTAACCTTTTTCTAGTGGGAGACTCTAGTCCCCCACTACCATCGGGTGCAGCACCACCTTGCTGTTGCTGCTGCATCTGATGCGGTCCCTGGGACTGCGCCACAGCCAGTTTCTCATGCTCAATTGAAAGTCCTTTGACCTGCAGGCATTCGGCCGCTTTGAGGAAACTCGTCAGCGAATCCTGCGCGACGTGCACCTGTAAATAAGAGCTGTAGTCGAACAAGCTTCGTTTGGAAATTATTTCATCATGCGGTCAATTAAACATTTGTTCTGGACAATTTTCATTACCCGTACTGAATTTTTCAATTACTCTAAGTCACTAAATTATTCGGTTTAATTAAACTCAATTTTCTGGAACCAGTTTAATTGAAAGTAATACTATTAAAATAATTTGCTTGAAAATAGCAAACCATGTACCTGTTTTCTTAAACCGTTTAATTAATTCAGGTAATTTATTTCATGTAGAAAAAGTACATTTAGAACAATCAAATATTTTAATATAAACAGTTAAACTGCTTATTTGAATCAAAGACTCGGCTCCTCATTAGTGAATGATCGGGTGTATGCGACAGGCGCAGTTCCGGTGACGCCCTAGTTTTATTTGGGATTTTCGCAAGGAGCTTCATATTCGTTGTTGGTGTAGTTGCTGTGAAGTGGATCAATTATATACCATAACCGTGGTTAAAATATTTCTCGGAAATAATCTGTATTCTGTGACGGACTGGAAAGAACTTTGAAATTTTATTTATGCATCCGTATTTAGGACAATGAAAAGTATTTTAAACAAAACATGTGCTTAATATAGGCTATTTTATATTATATAACGTAAGTGGAGCCTCGGTATAGACTTTGTAGTATTTGAAAGTATCATAGTTTGTTTAAAGAGATGTCGAAATTATTCATATATCTAACTGCGCTGAATGTAGGTGAGTGCAATATTGTTTTATTATTAGAAATAAATGTACAATTTTTGGTACGCATAATCTAGTGGGCTTATTCAGTTTTAGGTGTCCCTTTCCCTACTTTCTGAATTTAAAACAATGAATTGCTTCTAGTGAATTATGATATAGTCTGTTTTTGTACAAATAGACAAATAGTGGTAACACTTAATCCCATATATAATAAGTTCACAATTAATGCAAATAAACAGATTTTATTTTGATTCGAAAACATTAACTCTCAATATCAAGTTTTCCAAATTTTTTGATATCTGTAAGATTTGTCAGAGCACAGTTCTTTTAAACTCCAAACATTATGCAAATATCCTTTTAAATATAAATAAAAGAGTTCATTAAAACTTTTACCTAAACTAATTAAACAAATTTAAGGAATATAATTAAATTGTTATCTTGAAGCACTAACTAAACTCATTTTATTAGGTTATGAATTTTAAATAAATTTGTGTAATCAATCTAAATAAAGGGTTTAATAGATTGAAATAAACACTTGTGTTTTGTTTTAATTAGACCAGTTTCATAGATTCAAGTAAACTAATCCGAGTTAAATTAACCTATTTAAACTTGTTAGCTGCCACATAGTTAATTACATTTTTTGATTGGCCTAATTAAAATTTTAATTTGTTTGATTCATATTTTTTTCGGTGACATAAATGCTCATTACTGGCGGACAATGTTGCTAATATTCTCATTTTAATGTCTGCCCGGCCGTTCATGATGGCAACAATGTCGATTAAGGACGAAGGCGTAAAAAATATTAACAATATTTGTAGTAGCGAAAAAAAAAACAACCAGCACAAAACACAAATGATTGAAACCTGGAACCTAAGGTTGACGTCAAGGTCTTTGCTTCCTTAATCTCAGCAATAGGTACATTTGTTACTATATATTCCTCAACGGTAAAATATGTTTTACTGTCATCGCTCTGGTTGCTAAGATGGCATTTGTTATCGACTGTTCCCTAATGATAATGGTTTGCTTATTTGAAAGCATCCCCTTTGTTTATAATATCTCAAGTGGCTACAGAGATACAAAGGCACTTGCGGAAGGGCGAGTTCCGTACCGCGCTCCAACGTGGAAGGCATGGACTTCGGGTTTCCAATAACTTGAATTCGTCGCTTATTTTCCGGTCTGAAACAGTTGCTCTCATACGTGTTACAATAACAGAAGATCCCTTGACACCACTAGTCATATACATGCCTTCGACTAATGTTTGCACGTCAGCCTTTAGTCAAGGTTTCTAAGTGTGTGTGTGTGCGTGTGCATGTGCCAATCTATCAGGTAACAATACCGCTGTAATCGTCTTAACGCCTTACTACAAATGTTCGTTGTACATTTATCTTCATATATGCTAGTTGCGTATTTTTCATAACTGTAAATCATTTTAAGTTAAAGTGGTATTTTATTTCCTTTCTTCGACCAGGCTAAAGTGTATGTATGTTTGTAAACATTATCCGACTGGGTAACATAGCATGTCTTTATTCTTATTTGCCGCTTTGCGACTGAGCTGATATATGCACACGAAACAAATATGCATCACAGTTCCGTAATTTATTATACTTTGATAATAAGTATCTAAACCCCATACAAATTCAAAATAGAGTGGATTGTAAACACAATCATGCAATCATGCACTTTGCGCGTGATACACGAAAGCTGGAGAATTGAACTGGGTCGTATTCAGACCCGTTTTGCGATAATTGAATGATACATTTTCTTGATTGCAGATTCAGATTCAAATATTTTATTTGATGAATAAATTAATAAGTCACAAACGGCAAGGCCTCGGCAACTGGAAGTAGTTTAAAAATAAAATCATTGTATATTTTTTTGATATTATTCAAGACATCAACAAAAGTATGTCTCTGTCAGGATACTTATTTAAACATATGATTTTTCTTCCTATGTCAAAAAAATTAAAATCGCTCAAACTTTGTTTTTTGACGTTTTGCGGGCCCTGGTCATTTTCAGAAAAAATGTTTATTTATACGCTCCCAACCCTGGTAATTCTATGCACCTATTAGACATATTTCACACATCATAGATTGACGCGTACATTTGCCTTTAAGTGCCGTATCGTCAGTCGTTCCTACAAGTATAGGACGCCTTTATGGCCTCCTTGATTGTCATAGTTTTTTTTCTCCTTCAGAAAGGCTGAGTATTTCTAGATTTCACCTGTTCCGCGTCAGCGCTCTCCTATTGTGAAGTTATGTTTCCTTTTTGAATTGTAGGAAATTTAAGACTGATAAAACAGATGATATAAATCAAAAGCATGAATAATTTGATGCAAATAGATATTTGTGACATAGAACGCTGGCATGGAACAGCAGAAAACTATGAAAATCAAGGAGGCAATAGAGTCGTCCTACAATTGTAGGAACGACTGACGATACGGCCCTAAAACTTAGAACGATAGAGAAATGTTTTCGATTCGCGTACTCGTGCCTATCAAAGCGTACCGCCTGGCGAACCGGTCCGACTGATATACCTATGTATTAGTGAAGCCCAAAAAACATACAAGCTTCACGAACCGAAAGATATCTCGTTGCAGAGATGACGCGCAGATGTGGAAAGGGACAACGTTGCCACATGGTCGGTAACTAGCGTAGAGCAGCCAAAGAATGTCTATGGACTAACTGTATGGGCCTGTTTGACTGACTTAATACCTTAATTTCTCTTTAAATTGCGCCGAACTGAATCCGCTATAAACTGACCACGGCGTTGCGTGCAGAGTCAACCCACTAGAGAACTTTCTATATTTTTTATAGGTGATGTTGCCACCAAAACTTTTAATTTTCTTTCAAATAAGCTGAGGTTTGGAGTTTTCTTGTGTCTGTGTGTCATCATCCTGGCCTGAAGGTGTAATAGGTTTACCTTCACGAATCACAAGTATAAGATTATAGTAATCTAATTTTTGTAAATCCGAAGAATCTGTAATTTTGAACAGCCGAGTTGTCGGATATTGTTATGAGCTTATCATAAATTTTGTTGTAATCTTTGGTGAAGTGTAGGTATAGATGCTATTACTTATTGAAACATTTTCATACCTACGAGTGAAATGCATTCGTTGGGTTAGTTTCATTAGTGTGCAGATAGTGTGTGATATAAGATTTACATTGAACATTTTCAACTCTGTACTTGGCGCTGGTCACGGCGGACCAGAAGATCGACATCGAACCGACCAATGAGCGCTGCTCTGTTCACCTGTAGCTGAGCGATAACTTGAAAGTGTTTGTTGTGTTCAATTTTGGATTTGGAAATGATTTAGCAGGGCCGGCCTGAAGGCCAGTTTAGTACACACCTCGCCCTTGTACATAAACTCCAGCAGGGCAGCCATGTTGGCGGCCGACGTGCCATCCAGGATCACCAGCAGGTTGTGATGGGGCGGTGTGGATGCGGCAGTCGCCGCGAACAGCTCAGACAGGTGTTTGCTGCATGCGGCTAGGATTAGTTTGTGGGCCCGGAACGTCACCCCTGCAAAGAAACGGGATGTCAGATATTAGGTTAAAATATAGGATCATAGGACTTCATTGCCTGGCGAAATCTAAGCTCGTATATGTTTTAATATCAGAAATTAAAACATACACATATATGTGGTTTAGTCCGGCTAGACAATGGTGTCCTATGAACATGAAAAGTACAGGATAAATTTCAGGAGTTACATCAGATGGCGTCATGCAAAAATATGTAAGCATACACAATATTTAAACACGTTTCTGCATGTGAGCCGTCACCCTGTAAAAGTATCGCTTGACACTAGGAATGCTAAGAAAGGCACTGCCGGCATACACATTTCAACAACCACTTACGACCCTGTGTATTCCTGAAACCAAGGGCACGCTGAGGCGCAGGCCCTCTCAGTTAATTCTAATATTGTTCTAACAGTTGGAAGGTCGAAGTGTCTGTGTGTTGTGATTTTGTGAATAGTGTCCATATCAAGTTCAGGTCACTGTTTGATCAATCAAATGGTGAGGGTTTTCACTGAGTATCTTTTATTGTTTTGCTGTACTGCATGTCATGTGTATTTTCTAACCATGGTACCCTTACAATCATGATAATAATTGTAATTAGTCAAAGCTTGTCAGATGAGATATGTTTATCAACAGTTAAGATAAAGTTAAAGGTAACTTAGAGTCAAACATTTACAGAGGTGTGACGCCTCCATGTTATGAGACATACAGAGCCGGGTTGCCATAGGGGAATCACTGCTCGGCTTCCTCTGTCAGGGGAAATAGCGTATTGGGTATTGACACAACTGCCACTGGCCGGCGTGGTATCCTAGGTCTGTGTGACCGCCAAGATTCTTCTCGAGGCGATCGCAGGAGTCTGAAAGTATCTCATGGCAAGATGTGTATAGGGATTGTTACTTAAAGTTGGCACGCAGCTCGGTTATCTCTCAATCAGAGGTAACGTCGGAGTTTTTGGGTATTGACACGGCAACGTGATATCCTGGTTTCTGCGCTGTTTTTCGTAACAATCAAATACTTGGCATATCTGTCTAAGCACCAGATTATTAAGGTACCCATATCGGGCGTGACTTCAATGCGGTAGGAAGCTACCGTTCCCCTGACATGGACACGGGCGTGACTTCATTGCGGTAGGAAGCTACCGTTCATCCATGCGAGTTACTATATTTCCATATCAGGCGTGACTTCCATGCGGTAGGAAGCTACCGTTCCCCTGGTTATGGACATGGTTGTGACTTCCATGCGGCAGGATGCTAGCGTTCTCCTGATAGTGGACAGGGGCGTGACTTCATTGCGGTAGGAAGCTACCGTTCCCCTGTGCGAGGTATTTATATTTCCATATCAGGCGTGACTTCCATGCGGTAGGAAACTACCGTTCCCCTGGTTATGGACATGGGTGTGACTTCCATGCGGTAGGATGCAACCGTTCCCCCATGCAATGTATTGTAATTTATAATAATATAATTGAGAAATATCATGGTCATTATTGTATTGTTTTGTGATCAGTATGAAGACAGCTAATTAACATAATGAATATTCAGTAAAGTTGTGCATGTCATGAGTCGGTAGAATACGGAAGGTACTCAAACGGTTTTTTCCGAAAATAGGCTTGCCCCCGACAACCCAGTTCTATCGACCGTATCTCTTGCCAAGGAAGAACAACTCCCCTGTCATTACATCACCAAGTAAGTGGGTTTGAAATTATCCTGATATTGAAGCCCATGTTAAGTTGTGTATGTACTACTCTCGTAATAAAAGTGAAAAGGTACAGGGTACAGGGTAGTACTTCGAAACCTTCTAAAATAGGTTTGTGGTTTTCACGTTTATCGTTATATTTCTATTATTATCTCTTCATATCAACTTATAAATATTTATCACACACTGTCTTACCCTTGCTTGGGACTCTTCGTCAATTCCAGTACCAAATTAACAACGCGAATATTAAGCGCAGATATATGAATAAACAAATAAGCGAGGGCAACAACGATCCTTGTTTCGCGCTAGCTACCCCACAAAATACACAGTTCCACAAAAAAGTGATATGTGGTGGTTGTCCCATTATAGACTTTTCATGTAGTTTTCCTCACTCAACACGAATCTGTCAACAAGATTCGGATCAATTGACAAGCTTTAAAAAAAACTCGTAAACTAAACACGATGCTTTCATCCGTCTGACCAGAAGTCAGCCAACCATGGACAGCTGTTTCATGCTTCTTGGCTACTCATCAGCATGGTCTAGACTCTCGCCTCTGGGACAATACACGAGAGCATCGCAACTATCCTCTACCCTGGAGGTACGGTCTAGACCATGCTGATGAGTACCTAGTCAAGAAGCACGAAACAGCAGTCTATGGTTGGCTGTCTCTTAGTCAGACGGACGCGTTAGTTTATTCAATGACAAGTAGACCACGTCTGCTATACAGCCAGAATCGTCAGCTATCTAGCGGTCACATTCTGACTGGGATATTCAACGCGAGCTGAGATCTTCACAGTTCCAAAAAATAGCAGCTATATACTCTCCGCAGTGGTCGATTCTGGTGATAGATGGCGCTTTGCGCTGTCTCATTTCGATAAAACTGGTAAAAACAATAAAAAATTAGGAATTTTTTCTATAATAATATCCTTATACTCGTACTGTGCATCGTTAACGGTAACGTTTTGCTTTGAATGATATGTGCCATGGATTCCCACTTCGTTTTTTTCCTTGTTTTTCTTTTTGCATCCAGTAGTAATATAAAATATACGAGGGGGTACCCAAAAAAAAAAACGGAATTATTTTTTAAAAGCTATGAATTATCAACTTTTTCACAAAGTAACCTTATCTCCTTCAAAATACTGTCTACTACAACTAATACATTTGTCCCACCGGTGCTTCCACTGCTCGAAACATTTTTGGAAGTCTTCCTTAGACATATCTGACAGCTCCACCCTAGTTTTTTTCTCGACCTGTTCAAGGTCGTCAAAGCGGAGTCCTTTCATGCCCTCTTTCATCCGTGGAAATAAGAAAAGTCGCACGGAGCCTGGTCAGGCCAATAACGTGCGTGAGGCAGCGGAACCATGCCATTTTTACCCAGAAACTGTTGAACAGAAATGGCTGTGTGCGCAGGTGCATTATCGTGGTGGAAGAACTGACTGTCACAAATCGGGTCTTTTTTGACGAATACTTTTTCGTCTTAAAACCTCCAAATAAAAGGTCTGATTGACAGTGTGACCTGGGGGAACAAACTCGGAAGGGACTACGCATTTGACATCAAAAAAATAAATCAGCATTGTTTTGATGTTTGATTTGACTTGACGACATTTTTTTGGACGGGGTGATTGATTGACTGTTGCTATGTTTCTAGGTCATAACCGTAGCACCAAGTCTAATCACCAGTGATGATCTTTGACAGAAAATTTGGATCATATTCAAGCTGATGTTTCAAAGCACGACATGTTTCAACTCGGTGTTCTTTTTCATTGTCAGTCAGAGCCCGAGGAACAAACTTGGCAGCAACCCTTTTCATTCCCAAATCTTCTGTTAAAATTCGTTGAACCGAACTTCAGGACAACCCACTACTTACGGATAGTTGATCGATTGTCAGTCGACAGTCTGCAAGCACAAGCTCTCGAATTTTTTCAACATTTCCATCGATTCGGGCAGTTAACGGACGTCCAGAGCGAGGTTTGTCATCAATCGACATATCGCCATTTTTAAATCTGGCAAACCAGTCGTGCACCTGAGTTTTTCCCATAGCATCATTTTTGTTAGCTATTTTCAACATTAAAATAGTTTCGGCAGCATTTTTACCAATAAGAAAACAAAATTTCACAGCTGCACGTTGCTCACTGAAGCTTGTCATCGTAAAAAAGGAAACAAGCAAGAAGCAGCTCTAGCAAAAATAATGAATACAGAAGAACGAAACAAGCCAGATCGACAACTCAGGTGACACTGAACCGGTAATGAGTTGCGCTGTACGCCTCTAGGGGCAGAAATGTGTACTACACAAGCTCCGCCCACTGCAATGCTATTCCGGTTATTTTTGGGTACCTCCTCGTGCATGTTTATACCTCATTGACCTTGAACTCTTGGTGAAATGGTAATTGATCTATATGTGAATCAAGAAAGGGCTATTTTAAATTCCTCAATCAGCTCGAGTATTAGGAAATTTTCGTTACTGAGGTCTTCGCGACAGCTCCGGTATGAAACATAAATGGTGAATGTGCATTGTGTATCAGAGATGCACCCTCACCAAAATCTATGATCCTAATGAAGATACCATAATTTCATATTTGTCAATGTCAAAATGTTTTGCTATAGTATTTAAACATTTTTGACAAGAATGCCCTAATACGGTCCTGTTCAATTGAACATGGACAAATAATCATCCGTATCCGTTTGTTTACAACGTACTCGCATCGTTATTGATTGCAAATGCAAACATTACGTGCGTGTTATCAGAGGAGGAAGGCACCACAGAAATATAGGCCAATCCTTATCTTGTTTAACTTGCAATTTGCAAAGTTTATTGACATAAAATGGAGGTTGTTCATATCTGCAACCAATCATAAATGCAAGCGAGGCGTTGTGCGGTTGCAAATCAGGAACGTGGGTTCATAACCAATCATATCCAGTTGGCAACATACATCCTAGTTTGGAAATTTCTACCGGTTGTCGCTAGAAAGTTCTCCAATTCTGAGAGAAATCTGCGGTAAACTCTGCGTTTTATGTACTGAATGACTAGCTAGGCCAAAATTTGAATGGTGGTGAACTATGAGGGTTCTTGATATTAGTTTTTGACCGGCTAAATTGAGCTTGTGGATTCTTCTGACTCCGCGGCCGCACGTTTTGTAAACCGTAACAAATCTTTCACAAATGCAAACGTGCCTATAGAGCGCTTGGCTGGGTTTGCAAGCGCTTGTAGCCCATCCGATCGAGTGTCGGTTTCTGCTCAAAGGGGTTTGTCGCACAAGCGCTTGTGACGCGTCTGCAATGCCAGACTCTGCATGTTAGCTGTTAGCATGTTG